CCAGGCCCCCTGAGCCCGCCAAGCCTCCTTAAGTCCCGTAAGCTCCCTAAGCTGTCGAAGCCCCCTTACTCCTCCAGCTTTTCAAGCAGGAGAAAGGCTCTTTCGTAAGGGGCGGAGGAGCTCTGTCATTCCCTCAACCAGAGGGAGGGGAGCCCTCTCATGACCTATTCAAGAGAGAGGAGATAGAAGAGCTTGCTCATTGCTCTTTAGGATGCGGAGGAGCTTTTGCACAAGAGGCAAGGAGCTCTTTTACTTCTACAAACGCATAGAAGAGCGTTTAGATGACCTGTTACGAAATAGAATAAATGCTGTCTCACGTAAGCGAGAGAGACTGATGAGTTATGCGACGCTCCATTTCAGGGATAGGCCTTCGAAACCTTCAATTAGGGTTGAACTCTCGCAAAAAGGTAAAAGAGCTATGTCATTTCCTACGAAGCGATAAGCAGCCTAGAGACAATCGGCTTCTCTCATGTTTGCTTCATGGATAGAGAAGCTTTCTCAACCAAAACCAAAGAGACGGATCATGTCCCATTGAAAGATAGACGAGTTCTGTCTTTGTACGTTACGAGGTGGGGGAGCTCTTTCACAAGAGGTAGGTAGAGGACTCTCTCATGTCCGGCAAAGAGATAGAGACGATCTTTCATGACCCGCTACGAGATAGAGAGCCTCTTTCATGTAAAGGGTAAGATATAGAAGAGCTGTGAGCTCCTTTACCTATCGACGGGAACTCTTATAGCTTTCATGAATGAGTTCTTGCCAGTGAACAAAGGGAGCTCTTTCACAAAGGGTAGATAGAGACCTCTCTCATTTCCTGTAAAAGAAAGAGGAGGTCCCTCACGACCTGATTATTGCGAGATAGAGAAGCTATGTCATATAAAGATAAGAAATGGTAGAGCTGAGGACTCCTCTGCCTAGTGACGGGAAATCAGTTAGATAGGACATGAGAGAACTCTCATACATTTCTTATGAATGAGTTCTTCAATCTCTGAATAGAAAATGAATGAGCTCCTGTGTCTTCGCATACGAAATGACAGTGTGGAAATGAGCTGTCTCATGACCTGTTAGGAAACAGAGGAGATAAAGAGCTCGCTCATTGCAAAAGAGGAAGCGGAGGGCTCTTGCAGAAGAGGCAAGGAGCTCCTTCACTTGCTGCAAAGATACAGAGGAGCTTTCAGATGACCTATTCAGAGATAGCGAAACTAGATCACGTAAACGATAGAGATTGAAAAGTTATGTCATGCCCCATTTCAGGGATAGAGAATGGCCTTCCAGACTTTCATTTCGAATAAAGGAGAGATCTGTCACAGAAAGGTAGAAGAGCTATTCATTTCTTATTATATCACGGGTAGACAAGCTTTTTCTCAAATACAAACAAAAAACCTGGCTCATGCACCATGGAAAGATAGACGAGTTCTGTCACTCTCGATCACAAGGTGGAGGAGCTCTTTCACACGAGGTAGGTAGAGCACTCTCTCTTTTCTTGCAAAGAGATAGAGAAGATCTGTCATGACTCCATGAACCGTTACGAGATAGAGAAGCCTCTTTCATGTAAAAGATAGGTCATGGTAGAGCTGAGAGCTCCTCTGCCTAGTGATGGCAAACGAGAAATAGGAACCAAAGGAGATAGAAGAGGTTGCTCATTGCAAAATAGGAAACGGAGGAGCTATTGCAGAAGAGGCAAGCAGCTCCTTCACTTGCTGCGCAGACACAAAGGAGCTTTCAGATGACCTGTTCAGAGATAGCGAAACTCTCTCACGTAAACGATAGAGACTGATGAGTTGTGTCCCCATTCAAGGGATAGAGAATGGCCTTCCAAACTTTCATTTCGGGTAAAGAAGAGATCTGTCGCAAAAAGGTAGAAGAGCTATGTCATTTCTTATGCATCGATAAACGGCTACTCGCATGATTTCTTCATCGATAGAGAAGCAGCTATTTCTGAATAGAAATTCACAATGGAGCTGTCTCATGTCCCAGTGAAAGATAGACGAGTTGTGGCATTTGATTTGAGGTGAAGGAGCTCTTTCACAAGAGGTAGGTAGAGGACTCTCTAATGTTCTGCAAAGAGATAGAGACAATCTTTCTTGACCCGCTACGAGATAGAGGAGCCTCTTCCATGTAAAGGGTAGGATGTGGTAGAGCTGTGAGCTCCTCTACCTATCGACGGGAAATTAACAAGAAAGTACATTCGAGAGCTCTTACAGCTTCTATGAATGAGTTCTTGTGATTGAACAAAGGGAGCTCTTTCACAAAAGGTAGATAGAGACCTCTCTCATTTCCTGCAAAAGAAAGAGGAGGTCTCTCATGACCTATTGCGAGATAGAGAAGCTATGTCATATAAAAGATACGAAATGGTAGAGCTGAGCGCTGGTGACGGCAAATGAACTAGGTAGGACATGAGAGAGCTATTATACATTGTATGAGAGATTTCTTATATCTATATCTCTTGTGAACGAGTTCTTCAATCTCTGACTAGGAGATGAATGAGCTCCTGTATCTTCTCATACGAAATGACAGAATGGATATAAATGGTGTCCTCTAGCTGTTAACGCAACATGAAAAAACCTCCTCTATCCCCTAAAAGAGAAGGAGAGAGGGAAGCCCGCTCATGACCTATTAGGAACCAGAGGAGATAAAAGAGCTTGCTCATTGCAAAATAGGAAGCGGAGGGCTCTTGCAGAAGAGGCAAGGAGCTCCTTCACTTGCTGCAAAGATACAGAGGAGCTTTCAGATGACCTATTCAGAGATAGCGAAACTCTATCACGTAAACGATAGCGAGTGATGCGTTATGTCATGTCCCATTTGATGGACAGAGAATGGCCCAGAGTGGCCTTCAAAACTCTTCATTGATAGAGAAGCTGCGAAGCTATTTCTGAAAATCGACATAGAAGAGAACTCTCTCATTTCCTGCAGCGTGAAAAAGGAGGTCTCTCATGACCTATTTCGAGATAGAGAAATTTCAGGTAAGAGTTAGGTAATGGTAGAGCTGGGCACGCCTCTGCCTCTTGACGAGAAATGAGCTCGTGTATACTTCATGAATGCGTTCTTCTATCTCTCAGATGAAAGAGCTCCTCGATCCTTCTTATAGGGCATGAAAGAAATCCTGTGTTCGAACTGAAAAGACCCTTTGATAAGCAAAAGAGAAAGGGAAACGAATCGATGCCTTCTATCTTTTAGTGCAGAGCTTCTCACTTCTAATGCGACATGATAGAGCTCCTCTATTTTCTTGGAAATGAAACAGCTTGCGTTCTCTCCTGAGTGAAAGATGTCTCTGTCGTGGAAATGAGATCTCCTCTATGTTTCTAAGAAATGAGATAGCTCACCTCTACCTCGTAATCGGAAATGAGAGAGCCCTTCGCCCCTCTTCAGGCTATGAAACAACTTGTCTATCTCTTACTTCAAAGTGTGCTAGAGCTACATGGCTGCACTTGCTGGCGCCGGTGCACACACAGACCAAACCTTCACTATTACTGTTACTACTACTAATACTATTACTAGTATTATTACTATTCCTATTCCTATTACTATTACTAGTACTATTATTATTCCTATTACAATTACGGTCAGTATTATTATACTCATAATAATATTAAAATTATTATTATTGCACTACTACTGAAAGAAGAACCAGCCGTGAAATAGACCCTAAAGGTCTCGGCCACATATATATATATATAATGTATATACCTGTACCATCTATTGCATATATACATATACCCGATTCTCGGGCCGCTCCTTTTGTTTACAGCCCAAAAGATTCTATCTATGTGTTTGGTTCTGTTTTGAGGCCACGCCGCCTTTTTGATTTTTTAGATGGGGGGAACCCCACATTTTGTAATACAGGTTGTTAGAAAGGCCTTTGCCAGGACCATTGGGTTTTATGGTTTCTAGCCAGCCAAGGGTAAATTACGTTGCAACTTCCACGAACCCATAGATATAACATTTCATCTCAAAAGCCGCAAAGTGCTCGACTTTTCATGAAACCCTCCCTCCACAAAGTCACCGCAACAATGGATCTCTGCAAGGTGTGCGCCCGGCCAGGACTGGCCAGACGTCCATGGCCTGAGTACCATGGTGGACTGAGTGAGATCTTCAACTACTTGTAAGATTCAGGAACAGTCTCTTCCTTTTGAAGCTCTTTTGGGGTGTTACCAACTCTCATTCTGTAATTTCGAGTCTCTGTCTCTCTTCCTCGGTCCCTGCCCTCCCACGACCTCTCCTGCCTTTCCCCCCATTGCTCCTGCACCTTTTGTAGCAGAGCATCGTTTCACTTGGTGGCAGTGACCGCAGCGTGTGGCACTCGCGAAAGCATCCAGAGACCACTGCGCTACCGACCTGCACGGATTCGACTTGTTCTGCGGGAAGCGCCATCGGAAAACTTGGCTCGAGAGACGCTCTCCCTTGCCAAAGTTCGAAGGCGTTTTCGAAGCGACGATCTCAGCATGTCTCTGCTTTGCAGGGGGGCAAAATGTCCTGAAATCCACTGTTGCCGCATGGCCTAGGAGTGCAGCGAGAAGATGATGAAACAGGCTGGAAATTCTAGCCTGTGGCTGTTGCTGGCAGCGTCGTTTTTCGGAGTGTGCGCGAACCTCTGACTGGGGGCTGCTTATTCAGAAAGACCGATGTAAACCAGAAATACGACCAAAGACTACTCACAAAGTGTGCCGGCGATTCCCCCCCCCCCCATCTTCCACCACCTCGGAAATTCTGAGCCGGTGTCACAGAAAGAATCACAGAAAGTGTCACAGAAAGTGTCACAGAAAGTGGCTCAAGTCGGAGAAGGGAGAAGGGGGCAACCTGCGAGCTTGAGACCGGCCGAGAACTCAGCAACTCGCGCACACACGCGAGTTTGGCCGGACATCTTCGGCCTCTGAGGTGCTGAGCCATGATGCAGCCCGCAAAGCGAAGTTCTCAGCCGACTTTTTGTCGTGGTTTCTTTCACTTGAACGTGGACTTGCACACATGCACGCGATTGCACGCGCAGATGCACGCACGCGAAGCGCATGCCAAGATGCCATCTCAGGCACGCCGTGCTGCAAACGTGTGGCGTCACGGCCCGTGCCTGAGTGTGATTTGCCTGCCGACTCTCGGCTGTCATGAGCTCCGGCGAACTCCTGCGGGAGCTCCTGAGCGTTACTCATTTGGTACACTCAGTTACTGCTGCTTCCCATTGCTGGGTACCTGTGGCAGAAGCTCACCTCCAAGGCCGCCCCTAGTCATCGAATCAAGCCTTTAAAAGGAGGGCTTCAAGCTTAAGCTGAAAAGCTGAAAGGATGATGTTTCAGATGTTTGGTGCATTTTGGTCCGCATGCTGCCTCAGCGATGTAAGTGTCATGCAGGTTGCAGGTCAGAACCTCTCCTCGTTGTTCGCAGTCATCTGGAAGTACCGAAGGAGCCGCATTTTTTTTGTGTGTGTGTGTGTGTGCGGAAACACTTGGGACTTGCGATGCTCAACATGATAGTGTGGGCCGAAGCCATCCGAATCGAACAGGACGGACTTCCGAGGCTTCATGCAGAGTCACCGAGCTGCCATCCAGAAAGGGAAGGAGTCTGGCGACTATGTTCCCGGCGTGATGAACTACTACAGCCTGATGTCGGACGGATTTGCGCGGGGTTTCCATTGCCAGCTCCCATCGCGCCGAGCGCAGCATGCGGCTTACCGCTCAGCCAGGACTTGATCACTCTCACAAGTGGGCCCTTTTGGCACTTCGTCCCCATGATCAAGGGCATATCTCGTGATGCGCCTTGGCACTCAAAGAGCTGTCATGGGACAGGGCCTCGTGCCCGGCAAGCGCTAAAACAGTTCAATCCTGTTCACCATGTGAAGCTGCGAATCCAGCTAAGGAGAGTCACATGCGTTTCCACCACACTTTGTCGCAGTACTTGGGTGCAGGCCTGGCTGAGCAGAGCCGCGTGGCCAGCTTGCTGGTCCACATTCATTTCGTTCACGACGCTGTGCAGGCAAAGACGACAAGGTCTTGGAGCCTGCGGCTGAGCAAGCTTCGGCCCAGTTCAGCGTGGTGCCATGCTGTGCATACTGTCTGAGGATTGGATGTGGCTATGGCGAGATGGGGCGTCAGGTTGCAAAGATCTCTGGTGCCAGCGCGCCTTGAAGATGCAAGCAACTGGTAGTTGGTAGGTCGGTCCGATAAGCTCCTGGGGGTGTCACGAGGGTGTTGTTTAGGGCTGACTTCCTCCACCAAGCACGTGCAACCCACCCGCAGATGCGCACTACAGGGCAGAAGCAGGTTGAATCTCCAGAATCTGCGAAATTCGCAGAACACCCAGGTGACCGGCCTGACCATGGCGGATGCAGAGATCGTGGGTGGCAACCTTCGGATCAAGGTCGCGAGACAGCGACTGCTACACTCGACAGGCAAGTGGATGCCTTGCTCAGGAAGCAGGACTCGATGACCGATGTGCAATTGCTGCGCACTCAGCTCAATCTGCAGCTCCACGCAGCAACTATCTTCTTGACTGCCTGGTTTTGTAGGTTTCCTCCTTCACTTTCACCGAGGTGCAAGGAGACTACAACAAGACGCCGTTTCAGGAGTGATGATGTGCTCTGGTTTTAGCTGCTTCGATGAAACGAAGGGGCAGCCTGTGCGAGGACTCGAGCTTCGACAAAGTCTTCGGAGTGTACACCTTGAAGTATTCTTCCAACTTGGAGGTGGTCTTCACAGAGGCGGGAGGTGCAAACTTGCCAAACTTCTAGGAGCCGTCTGTCCCAGGGAGGGTCACAGTACCCATACAGTGACCCTAAGAACGTTGGGCAGAAGGTTGGGGAGTGTGGGGGATACATGAGAAGCTATCTCTAAGATAGCCAAAAGCTCAGGAGGTTGGCTTTTGATCAGCCAAATCCGCTCGCGCGTCACCGAGGAAGTCTAGATTCGTAAGATTCATGAGGAGGAGAGCTGATCAGCAGCACAGGATGAGAATCAACATCCGGATGCACAGGATGCTGCCACCGCTGCATCAGAGCGTCAATGTAAAAGGCAGCAAGTACCCAAAGGGTCATCGACGTTCTTTGCGCCGAGTCGTTTGACGTGTCAGACGAGGAGATGCGATGCAATGTGCTGCTCGGAGGCGTGTACGAACATTTTTCCGGACAAGGTGTGCATGAATATCCAGAATGGTGAGCATGAAGGTTTTGTTTGTCTCATGTGTTCGCGTTTACGAGATCTAGTGAATCTAGTGCCTTTGACGACCCAACGCACCTCGCTGCATGAAGCTGTTCTCCTCGCGAGCCACGCTGTCGTCCGATGGCTCCAACGCGCACGAACCTTGATGCGCCATGCTTGTTTGTCCAGCCCTCTATGTGGCTGCCGGAGGTTGTCTTCAGACGAGATGTGCATCTGAGCACACCATTCCCACTCTTGAAATGAACGTCATGACCTCGCGACACCCCATGCCTGCTTCCCACTTGCTCAGCGAAGCATTACGCTTGGCACAGTCCTAGCCGAGCCCTCTGGTTGAATTCTTGCCCTCTGTGTGTGTGTGTGTGTGCGCGCGCGCATGTGTGTGTGTGTGTGTGTGTGTTGATGTTGTGCCATGCTGTGCATCTCTCTTGCAGATGGCAAGAGTGCTGAAGCCCGGCGGAAAGTTCCTGTCCTACGAAATTCTAGTGCCTTGTCTGCAGCGAGCTTACATTTTTGCGCGTGCCCGTGCCGCGCGCAGTGCGTCCTGACCTCATGCAGGTAACGGACAAGTACGACGCCTCCAATGCCGAGCACAGGGAGTACGCGGGTCTCTCAGTTTCAGTTGATGGGGTTTGGCAAACTGAACAAAGGACACGCTTTCGCGGCTGCAGGTTGGCAACATCTCTACTTGCACCTGTATGCCTCCGTCCTGACCCGAGTCCCTTCCTCCCCCCACGAAGTGCGCGGAGCATCTCGCGATCGGGTCAGGTTGTGGCCTGCGGAGGCCATGCGCAGCGCTGCGAAGAAAGCTGGCTTAGTTCCGGCGGTTGAGGAGGCAGTTCCCACCGAGGGATTCTCACCTGAGAGTTTTCCCCGTGTTTCCACCCCTCCGCACACGTGCTTCCCGGATTGTGGGTTTCCCAAACATTATCGAGGGAATGCAGGGGATGGTACGAGGAAGGATGAGGCTAAGACCATCGCAAGCGCCAATTGCATCCACTCGCTGATCTGACATTGCCATTCTACAATACTGGTAGTGATTGGTGGTGCCACTTTCATCCGCTGCGAGGACATTGGAGCGGTGCCGACAGCGCGGCCTTGGTACACCTGCTTCACCAACGGCATATACCAAGTCTTAGCCAGAGCCCCGAGACATTCCCAGGAAAGCAGACCGGAGCCTCTCGGAGCCTCGGGCGTTCTCTGAGGTCTGCCCTCTCTTGCTCCCCTTCTTCCGGACTGCAGAGGTCCCCCGTGCACCGCTTCTGTTTTCACACCATGGTCGTTTGTGCTGTTTCCGCCGCGCATGTTGTTTCTCCCATCGCCAGACGCTACGCCTGTTGCCGCCAGCCTTTAGTGATTGGTTTGAGAATCTCCTTGCCGGTTCCTCAGTTCCTCAGGCAAGCCACAGTCTTCCCAAGCAGTGCTCTGAAAGTGCTTGTACCTGCCTGCAACTGCTGTAGGTCCATCCGACGGTCGACTTTGTGCGCGCTGGCAGGCGAAGCGTTCTTCGGCTGCTGCGAAAGCTGCGAACCTGCTTCCAATGCGATCCGTGCAAGGCTTGGAATCATCAGCGGCACGCTCGTCATGACATGGCGAAAGCCGTAGTCTCGCCCGTTCACACACCGTGCGATGGTGATCATCACTGAGACGCAAGCTTAGATTTTTGCAAAAGTCCAGGTTTACAGCCTGCTGCTGCCGTGTAAAGCTTCTGTAAAAATTCAGTTTGAAGCAGCTTTGTTCAGTCTCCACTTGAAGAGGTGGAGACCAGCATTTCAATGGCTGATGCAAGATGCGCACTTGGTGCTTGTGTTTCGAGCGATTGGCTCGCACGAAGCCAAATAGACGCTGCGGACCCGTTAGAAAATGACACTGGTCTTTGAATTGCTTTCAGAAGTGCAGATTGCAACAAGATTCGACGAAGTAGTCTCCGTGAAGACACCGTCCCCGTCTGGTGCAGGAAGCCGAATCCATGGCCATGGCATACAAGCCCGAGGCCAGACTTGCCAAAACAACTTCTGGCACATGCCGGGTTTGGTTCTGGCACAGAGATTCCAGAGAATAGGTCATAGGTATTTAGTTGTACCCATGCTATGTTGCAGGCAGTAATGTACGTAATATGTCTAGAAAGTAGATAACAGTACAAATGTAAACCTTTCAGTGTATATATTGCATATGTTATATATAAATATTTTCCGTCGTGTCCGTTCAGCTGAGGATTTTCCAGAGTGAGGCCCTTTCTGTAAAATTTGAATTCAGTTCTAATAGCAAACGAGGCACGGTGAAGGCTTGTTTCGACTCCTTCATAAATTTGATTGCGACCAAGGTCCAGAGGCAGGTTTTGAGAGAAAATGCGAATCAATTTCGAGAATCTTCTGGGGGCCCCAGACTTGGGACGGTAGATCATGGGAGGGTGGCGGCGGGGGTGTGAGCATTCTTTATACATGTGTCTATAAATGTGCGTTGCATTCATCATTTATCATCATCGTGATGTGCTATCTATGAATTCCTATGTGTTATCTATGAATTACTATGAATCTATGATACCTAACATTGAACCCTTGAGGTGGGTGTCGAGATGCCCGACAAGCGCGTGGTCTTACAGGCACAGTGGGAGCAACTGACCCACGCGCTGGCGCACAGAAGGTCTTAGCTTTCCCTGGACCCTCTATGTGATGCCACCCATGTTCGCTCCCCCTTGTGGGGCCTGGGTCTAGGGGTTTGAGAAGGCTGTTTAAAGGTCCAGGGTTTCTGGGATCCTGTAAGCCCTAAGTACCGTGTATTTGCTAAGATGCCCCACTGAATACTCAGCAAAACCGAAAACCATGAGTTGGGCAGCATGCGAACTGGAGCCCTCCCAGGGGTTGGCGGACACGGGTCCATCCACTCGGACGGGTGAAGCGTCCGTTGCCTCAGTACGTGGTTGAGCGAGGCCCAGAAGCTTGCGCCTGACGTGGTTTAGTGATGTTTGCACGAGCTGTTCAGCCATGTTCAGCCCCAAAGACAGAGCCATTAATTACAGGAGCAGAGCAGTTTTGCCCCCCATTAATTTGGGGGGCTGTGAGCAGTTTGGGTCGAGTCCACAAGCGTAAGTGGATGCTGAGGGCTCGCCATCCCGTCGAGCGGCTGCTAGTTGACCATAGCCGCAGGGAGCAGCAGGAGGACTCGAGCTCTAGAGAAGCGATGCAGAGGGTTTGTAGTAGACGCAAGAGCATGTGGGTACCTGACATGACCCGAACTTGTCGGAGTTCGCGGCTCGTGGCTGTGCCTTCCGATGCTGCGTTGTTTGCCATCTGCAGGAGATGAGGAACAAGGCTTTGGTGAGCCCAAGTGGTGATGCTTCATGATTTGAAAGATGCCGGGCTTGCTGACAAACGAATCGCTTTCGGCTCAGCCTGTGGGCTTTGCAAAGGTCGGGAAGGCAACCCCAAGAATCGTTCTCAAAGACAAGGCATGACGCAACAGCCCGAAGAGCCCGGTACAGTCGCTGCACATAATGAGCAACCGTAGATGCTTGCTGTATGTAATGGCACAGTACCTCACCGCTGAAACAATGCCATGGCCGCTCATCCTGAAACAGATGAAACCTGCATTGGATGCTCACTTCAACACCTTGACATCTCTTTGGTGTTGGTTTGTGGTCACCGTCTGTGCCTCCAATGCGCTTGGTGTGAGCTCAAGGCATCGAGATCTGTAAGTGCTCGTTGTCCGCGTTGCTCTTCTGTGACACATGTAGACTCTCGAGCTGCAGAACAGATCCAGGAATTCACGCGCAATGCTTCGCCACAAGCCTCCCCGGTCGAGCTCCAGAGGGAGCTTGGTGCTCTGCCAAAGTTTGCAGACTGTACATTATCAGAAGCCAGCAGCCGTGGCTTGAGGTTGACACCACCGTCGCGGGGCTCCAAACGAAGCCCCGAAATTTCGATTGTTTCACCCACCACTCCTACGACTCCTGAAGACCGTCAAGTGCCTAGCTCCGAACCCGAGCTGCGCGAGCGACGCGAGGGTGAAGATGGAGCCCTTTGTGGCCAGTGCCAAAGCAGCCGTGCGCAGGTCCGCTGTTGCCATTGTGATGAGATCTTCTGCGCCGAGTGCTCGGCCCGAATGCACAGAACCGGCCGAATGCGCGAGCACCGCCTGGTACCAATAGCACGGAGGTGGTCAGACCAAGCTCGGGCAAATGCTGTGAGTGCTGTGAGTGCTGCAAGTGCTGCAAGCGCTGCGAGTGCCGCGAGTGCTCAGCGCGCGGAATACTATTCGAGCATGACGTGTCCAAAGCATGCAGGCGAGGCTCTCCAGTTTTTCTGCCTGAGTTGTGTGGAGTGCATCTGTGCAGAATGTGCGATTCAACGAGGAGCCGCTCATCATGGCCATGATGTTGTCAATGTGAGAGTTGCCTTTCAGCAGCTCTCACATTCGATCAAACAGGCCCTGGAGACTGCTGCCGTTCGCCTACAGGGAAGTCCAGCAAGAAAACAAGCAGAATTACATCCATTGGAGGATGCTTTCAGCAAAGTCAAGCTTGATGTCGTGAATTCCTTTGAGTCACTGTTCTCTGCCCTGAAACAGAAGGAGGAGGAGCTCATGGCAGGAGCGGAAGAGTGTGCCCGCCTTGTAGATCAGACGCTGCTGGCAAAGGCCCAGCGAAACGAGGCGCAACTCACAGAACTGGGCCACTTGCAGCAGATGCTGGACACGCTGACTGGGCTCACTGGTCATGAGATCGCGGACGAAGTCCAGCGTCTCAACCTTTATGTTGCAGCCAAGGATAGCTTGACCTCGCTAGCCTCGGAACGCAACTTGCCTGGTGAGCTGGGTTGAAATGGTTGAAAAGGGTTGATAGCCGGGCCCTATTCTCAGCATCGCAGTTTTCTTTTGAATGCATCGACAGCTTGTCCCTCCAAGGTGAAGTTGAGCCCTCGCAGAACATGCCCACTTCGAGCGGCGAAACGCTTGCGATTGGAGAGTCTGCCGCGCTGGAGGTCGCCGTGCAGCGAGTTGTAGAGACGTTGCGAGCCAAGCAGGCTGAAGTCCAGTCCTTTGCAAGAGATCTCCGCGACGCCTGCAGCCTTTGACCTTTGATCTGTCCGCGGACGACTTGTCCGGGCAGAGGTGGCAGATCCGCAACAGCGGAATCGCATCAGACAAGAAAAGGAAGCCCCATCTCCCTTTCTATTTGCTTCTGGCGTAGCGCGTGCACAGACCCAGGTTGCTGTCCTTTCGTGAGTTGCACGTGAGTCCTATCAGGTATTTGGTCAGCATGCTCCACTGAAGGCCAAAATGGTGCGCCCCCATGTACGACGTGCAGACGCATACAGGGGGGGCCTAGTTCTACCACATGTGACCTTTCAGGAGCGCGAGCTGCTGTCGCAATTCCAGCGCCTGCCTGGCTTGCCTTCGTCCCTTGTACGCGCCTCAAAGCATCCTGCCTCTGCAAGTCTGACAAACCGGCAATTCTTCTGGCTGAAGCGTGTGTACGAACGTCAACGAGGTGGGACTGGAGACGGTGCTGGACATGGATGACACAATCGAATTCGAGGACATCATGAACTTAGAGGCTGGAGACTTCGTCATCCTTGTGAGAATGGCCAAGCTGAGTTCTAACGTTCGGTTGGGTTTTCCCTTGTCGCCCCGAGGCCAACTCGGCACTGTCACGCTTCACAGGTCCGAACAGGCCGGCTCCTTGCCATGCCAACCTCCCACAACCTGGACCGTGAAGAGGCTTACAGTAGCTAGCGCCTGGCAGGGGGCTGCATGACATCATGGAGCAGCGCCTCAACATGCGTTTCTGAGAGCCTGGGAGTAGATAGAAGTTGAGTCAGAACAGGCTGTGAGGGTGCCGGGTTCATGAGGTTCGGACACGTTCTCACCATCTGACATGAAGTGTGCTCTCTGACCGTATGATTCTAGGTCGCGTCTAACGTTTCTAGCGCGCAACCCACTTGACTGAACGGCCTCTCAATGGCGTAGCAACCCAGTCCTGCAGATGCAGAACGAACAGAGCAGGAAAAACTCCGTGCGCCCACTGGTCGCCGCTCATGTCAGTGCTTCTTGTGCGCTTTGCTAAGCTGCCCACCCTCGTGATCTCCTGGGAGGGCCAAGCTCAACAGCTGCTCAAGCATTGCAGCATCTCTAATGAATAGAGACTTGAAGCCGCTACACTGCTAAACGTTGCGAAGTGTTGCAGCGACCGTCAGGTGCCGGGTGTAAGGTGCAATCCGCCCATCTCTCTGCCTTTTGCAGCTTGACCATGGGCCGGCGGTGCTCCAATCGCAGATCAGATTTTTAAGTTGGGCCATATGTCTGTAGGCCCTCAAACGACCCGGAAAACCTCAAGTCAATGGCGCTTGGATTTCTGCCTTTCTGTGTACAGCAACAGCGTGAGAGAACTTGTCCCAGTTCCCAGGCACTTCACTTTTGGCCCGAGTCCGCGCGCAACAGACTCCAGCGAGCAGGCGGATGTCAAAAATTGGTCCACGCAGGCTTAGACTGAAATGACATTCGATGAAGCATGGCCTCAGGGCTACATCGCGGAGCCTGTCCTTTGCCAAGAACAGAGCAAAACTACTCATGGCCCAACACCCTAACTGTCCCTAGCAATATACGAAGTCCTTCTCCGATTCCCAGGTGACCTCGACTCTGCTGGACACAGAGAGGGTCCAGTCGAGGCGGCACTTCCCTCCTCGGGAGGCTCCCTGCCGCCTTGTTGTTTGTTCCCCAAGGGTTTCGAGGTCCAAGGCTTCAAGTAGTTTTTTGTTTCTGTTTTGTAACATATGTCCTTTGTTTGCACATCAGTCAAAGCTCGCGGCTCTTGTGAGTTAGTTAGCGCCGGACACCAAGTACCAAAACCCTGCAAAGCCATGGGACCACCTGAAAAGCCCCCCGGAACAAGTCTGATCTCTCATAGCTTGGCCAGGCTTGCAAAACAGATTTCAGAGCCACACCCAAAGCGACGGCAAGTTTGGAGCCCAAAGTGCCTGGGAAAGTGGCTCGTAAACCCAACACCTCATCGTCTTGCTGGGGTCCTAGGGATTGCAGGGTCTGCGCGGGATGCTTCGAACACTCCATCACTATTGTGGGAAGGGTTTGCAGCATTCATATCGCAAGAACAGGCTTTAGACGGAAGCTCATCTAGAATTTTTCGGTGCCTCCGTGAAGTGTCTTCGCAGTCAGGCAGCTTGAGATTTGGCTTCGCGGCAGGTGACAAAGGGTGGCACTGCGGACTGTCTAGAAATCTATTCCAAGAGGCAGGGAGCTCAGTTCTCTTCACGCTTGTCCTTGCAGTTTGCCGAGCTTATCCAATTGAAGCTGAAGCGTTTGCCCATGCTTGCCCCACGCGACGTGGTGCAGCTCTGATAGGCACTGTCCTCCTCCATCTGCAGTGGAGCCGAATGACGGGCTCAGCTTTGGTGTGAGGTGTGCAACGGGTGGCCAGCCATGCTCACAAGTGTAGAGAGTGCCACGTCTTGGAGGCGGTTCGATGCTGTGGAGCACAGGCAGTATGGCCGGGAGGCCGCGCGTTGCAAGCCAGTGCGGCGCAGAGTTGCTGCATGTTGCCACATGTCCTTGGCTAGGTTGGAGACTCCAGCCAAGGACGTCGGCACGTGCTCGGCTCCTAAGCCCGTGCATGCTACGCGCTGCGACGCTGTGTACTGCGCGGATGTAGATTCCATGCGAACCAACGTGTCGTTTGTGAGGCCAGCACCTTCGAGTCATTTGGACGTCGCGTTGCAGGATGGGGCGAGCAGCTCTCGCTGTGAACGTCTGTGAGCATGAATGCCACATTGCTAGCCGACAACGAGCGACACGGCAGCCAACAGCACATGCTCGATCGCCAGGTCAAAGGGCGCGAGAGCCGGCGGTGCCGCCAGCCTTTTGAAGGCGCGTTCGCTCCCGCCAGTCACCGTGCAACTGAAACCCCTGTACCATGGATGTGGACGGCATCTCTACAGGCCAGCTGCGGGCGCCCAGGCGTGCTGCCCAGCGCAAAAAGCCGTTGAAGTGCATCCGAAGTGCAGATCTGCACTGGTCTGCGGTGGCGACCCGCGCAGATTTAGAGACATGATGCCGGGATCCCTCATTGCGGTGGTGCCTCCGAGGCCGGGCAGCCATACGCAGAAGCGACACATCCAGCGCCAGGTCTGGTGCTGGGGAGATCGGGGTGTGCGGACTCTCTTGCGGAAACAGAGCCCAAGGAAGATGACCAGAATTTTGCCCAGTCAAACATTGTGCATACGTTGTTATGCAAAGAGATACCTTTAAATGGGTGCGTAAAATGAGATGCGGCGCAGCTCACCCTTTTTTTAATGGTCCAACTCCAGGACCATCTGCAGTGGAGCGGTGCAGTGCCGGGACATTTCCAGGACTCAAAGCCCCAGGCACTCCGACCCAAAATCCCCCCAACTCCCCCCCTAAAATGGTTTGTTTTTGGGTTTTTAGTAGGCAGACTACCTGTTAACCAGCGCTGCTAAGAGGAATCGATCCCCTTGTGATCCGAGGCACTTGAGCTGGAGCCATTGGTAAACCCTAAACTCCCTAAAGCCTATAAACCCTAAACCTATAGGGGCTTCCCGAGCTTCCTAATCAGGGTGGACGGAAGATGGCCAAAGCCCACAAAGGGAGACAGGGCAAATTCACGTAAAACTCCGTTAGCTGCGAAGCGCAACTCCGCATGCACTGCGGTGGACTTTTCACGGTGCGCTGCCCTGTGCTTTTTCTTTGCAAGAGTTTACTGCGATATGAACGTGCCGCCCCACTTTTCTGGGAAGGATTTGGAAGATGCCTCATGCTGTAGACCCAAAAGCCTTTGCAGCAATGGATGCAGCTCTTATTCAGCGACTCTTGGGCATTCAGATATGCACGCTGGAATCGGAAGTACGCTTTTGGGCACGAGCATGGCCGCGCTGTGCGGATTGGCTGCTGCAGGGAATCCGCTGCAGCTCCACCTCGCCTACTTACCTCGATGTGCACACAGCATCAGCGTCAGGACCTTAGTCAAGGACCAAAGCCAGTTCAGTGAATGTGCAGGCATACGGTTGCGTCGTAACGTCGATGTTGTCAATGGCTGGTTGCCAGGCTTGGCATTTCCAGTTGTGGGGAAGCTGCTTCAGAGGCCGCGGACCGCGCGAAGCAGCGAAGCATCCGGAATCGAACAGTGCAGGCAACATCCTCGACGGCCCTGGTGTGTTTTGGGCCAAGGCCGGTTGGCTGGTCAGTACTGCTTTCAGGCAGAGCCGAGTGTTGAAGGTCACAGACGCCACGCAAGCGACGAGTTGAGGTGCAGGCCCAGCTTTTCCAAACAGGTTTTTCCAAAGCAGTTTTATGAAGGTGGAAGCATCCTGATTTCTGTTCCGACGAAGTTTTCGCCGTCATCAGGACAATCTGGTCGGAGGAACTCTTCGAGGTACGGTTACCTGCTACCTACTTCAACTTGGTGTTTGGCATTGCAGTATGTGGTGGCCCTTGACCGCTGGCTTCGTGGCGCCTCTGCAGGTCCGGCATCCAACATGAAGGTCGGAGAGATCAAGCCTTCCAGGCCAGCATGCCGCTGCATCCGGCTGTGGTGAGGCATGCCGGCACGATCCGGCATGCCTTTGGTGATCCGCTTTGTGTGCAGGAGGCCTGCCAACGAAGGTGCGCTGCTTGGTGGTCTTCGCTTGTGTGGCACGCCACAGTCGCTTTTCAGATCCCCAGGCACCAGCCTGCTTGGAGGATACTTGAGGTCAGCCCGCCATGTCCCACCACTCAGTGAGACCATTTGGGCATGTCCCGCTGTCATGCGACATGCAGGTCTGCAGCGTCAGATCGAGCGCCGTCACCCTCACTGCAACGGCCGCAGGACCGCTCAGCATCTGTTCAGCTGTGGAGGGGCTTACGGAACTCACACTGGAACTTGCTGAGAGGACAGTCTTGCCGGCAGTGCGTGTCTTCCCACAGTGAGGGCGCACTAGCGCAGCCTATGCTCAGGCATGGTGGTGCTGCTGTAACATACTTAGCCAGCTATGGCCGGGCCTGAACTGAGCCCAGCTGTGCTGGAAGAGCACTCAGTAAAGAACGCTGAGGCTCCAATCTTGTTACCAATGATCCATATGCCATATGCTGCGGACAATGTTGCCGCAGAACCGAATGTCGCAAATGCCCCAACAAAGACATGGCAGTCAAACACTTCACATGCATCAGCTGCACACCTGTCAAACGTGTCATTGAGAGGGGTATTGTGCAAGGGTTGACCTCACAATGTCTTTGCCATTTGCAGTCAAGGGTATGGCTTGACAGCTTATCCTTGCCCTTTCGCAGATCGAACTTCTGTGTATCCAGCTCCTGGTACGCATTCCTCTAGACATCCTCTAGACTCTAGAAGTGTTCGCGTCTTGCGTGATCCGATCCGAATCGCTGGGAAAGCCGCTTTGCTAAGGATCGCATTGAGATGACCCTCTCGATGCGAAGCTTTGTGGGGAACTCTGAGCTGCGGCCACGTCGATTTTTAGCAATTGCTCGCTCGGTGTGAGGTCTTCGGCATCTTGCTGGTGGTAGCGCGTGCTCACTTGGCCTACCACCTGGGAGAAGGTGGAACTCGTGACCCAACAGTACCGTGCGACTGGATACGAGCGGGTTTTTGGCAACCTGGCGCATGCTGACACAGGCGATGATCCGACCTCGCTTCTCCAGCGAGGCAAGATGCACACTACGCCTGCCAGCCGACAAAGCCAGATAAGGAAGTTTAAGGCAAGATATTCTGGCAAGATACTGTACTGCCTCCACGTGCTGGCCGTGTTGAAAAGTCTGTATTGGCATGTCGAGCTGATGCGGAGCCCCATTGATGTGGCAACGCTATGCTGCCGTGGCATGGTGAAACAAGCTGGCAATCGATCTGATTCTCTTTCAGGTGCAGAGGCGCTCCATGGACGACACTCTCCGCAGGTACTGCCTCATACAAAGAATTCATTTCACTACCTGGGCAATGCGCTGGTGGCACATTAGTACCTGTGTACCTTTAGGTGGTGCTGGCGGCCAGTGACCCGCCGCAGAGCTTGCCAGCGCAGCTGGGACACATGCGGCCCGCGTTGCCTGCGGCCGAGCAGGATCCGAGCGCCTCGAACGTGGCACATCATCTCGCAGACCCGAACACACACGACACGCGCGCGCGCACACGCACACGCACACGCGCACGCACGCACGCACGCACGCACACACACACACACACACACACACACACACACACACACACACACACACACACACACACACACACACACCCACACGCACCCACGCACCCACGCACCCACGCACGCACGCACGCACGCACGCACGCACCCACCCACCCACCCACCCACCCACCCACCCACGCACCCACCCACACACGCACACACGCACACACGCACACACGCACACACGCACACACGCACACACGCACACACGCACACACGCACACACGCACACACGCACACACGCACACACGCACACACGCACACACGCACACACGCACACACGCACACACGCACACACGCACACACGCACACACGCACACACGCACACACGCACACACGCACACACGCACACACGCACACACGCACACACGCACACACGCACACACGCACACGCACGCACACACGCACACACGCACACACGCACACACGCACACACGCACACACGCACACACGCACACACGCACACACGCACACACGCACACACGCACACACGCACACACGCACACACGCACACACGCACACACGCACACACGCACACACGCACACACGCACACACGCACACACGCACACACGCACACACGCTTACACACGATGACTCCTGGCCCAGGTGGGCAGTGTCCTGCATAACCGTCTTGTACTTCACTGCGTACGTTGCAGCCTTGGAACGCTGGGTGTCACCTTCTCGCGATGGCGATGTCAAGTGCGAAGGCCGTCCTTGCCGTCATCCATGCTTTCAACCAGGCTCGGTCGGCTCCTGGCTTCAATCTGTTGCCAACATTTCGGTTCGATTTCGTCTGAGGCGCACGATGGACCCGGGCCGATCGAAAAAGCTTTGGAGGCAGGAGAGCACGAATGAGTTGTGAGTTCACGCAACATCACGCAACGATCTGCTGGTTCGGGCTTGGTTGCAGCTCCTTCGGTGCCAGTCTGCTGTGATGGGCGTGTGCTTCGCACCGATGCTGTGCGTCCTGTTCCTGTCGGTGTCAGACCTCAGTGAGATATACCTGCGACACCTTTGGTCAGGTCTCCGAATTAGGGTCCCTATTTTTGGGGGGATACAGGCCTTGGTAGGATGATGTACGGTACCTCAGTTCGACAACAGACCATGGCTCCTGCATTGACTTCGGAAATTTGTTTGCATGTCTGCACTCTTGGCTCCAGTTCCTAAAGTTTCACCGTATGTTATATGCGACACGATGCATGCTTGTATTACCCCTCTGCACTGGTCATCAACAACGAAGCCGCGGATTTACGAATTAAGCCTTCTTCACCGCCTTGAGGCGTGCACTTTTCAGCCGATTTCTGCAGCAGCCAGAACGTACATATTCTGGAACCTGTGTTTCTCATTTGTGGCCCGGCCCCGGCCGCGGTGGATTTGCTGATTGCCACGCCCTCAGAAGTCTTCCGAGCCGGTACGTAAAGGATAGTGAAGGATGTGATGCAGGCGGTTCATGTCTCTTCACGGGACACTTGCGAGACGATTGAACCATATCACGACACATCAGAGATGAGAAGGCATCAAGGGGGCGATGCCAACAAAGGAATGCGTGCAATGCATACTGTGGAGGCGCTCCTAGATGTGTAACGTAAGCCGCATGAGGCTGAGCCACCACGGCCCTCCGCGGTGACAGGAACGCATGTCCCCGCTGCCCAGGCCAACAATGACCGACGCTGATCAGAAGGCTGTGTCCGACAGCTTCGAGGGTCTTGAAGGCGATTGTTAAGCGCGGCGTTGTGGTAGATGCAGCATCCGCACGGCCGCACGATGCTTGTATGAGGCATGAACTTGCCTGTGGCAGCATTTGTGGAAGCCTTCAAGACGAATCCCATACTGGAATCGTCCTCAGCGCCGGAGGGAAATCGGGGATCATTGCTCCCTAGCAGCCCATGGGAGTGTGCATGTGGCCATTTGGTGAGGTCCGAAAGATTGCCTTGGTCACGGGCTTTGAGGAACACATCCTGAAGTCGATTCCCCAAGAGGACATCTGCTTGCCGAGGGCGCCAGCGAAGATGCGCGTCAGCAAGCACTTGATTCTCGGTTCTTGTTTCAGCCGCAGGAGCTGCTGTCGACTTTCGCCCCTTGGATGCATTGCAGACTAGCGACAGCCAAGTCGACTGCGTCCCAGTATGCCGGGCTGTGAGGAGAAGTGGGACACCGATTCTACCGGCACCCTCAGCTTCGAGAACTTCGTGCAAGGCGTTGGAGCCCGTTTGAGCTGAGAGGATGCGCGAGTCAGTTCGAAGCCACAGTGTCCTTCTCTGCAGGTCTCTCAAAGATGCGGCAGTTCAACCGAAGCGCGACTGAGCAGGAGCTTTGCTGAGTGTTGTCAAGCCAGGTTTCCAGGGAACTGCAAAGCTGTTTCAGGCTGAGGTTGCCGAGGAGCAGGCTATTCTGGACGCTTCGGTTCAAGATGCCAAAGATGCTTTTCTGGCTGCCGGTGGAAGTCAAGGGAGCGAGCTCGACCTGCAGGCTCTTGTCCTGTTTCAGCATCGCAGCAGTACTAGGTAGTACTTCAAACGGATCGACCGTACTGCCTTGCTTTTTCAGTAGCATTGTGAGGCTTTTCTGGTGGCCCTTTCTGATGCCTCACTCGTGGATAGGATCGCGACGGCAACAGGGCCCTGAGGCTGCAGTCCATCTTAGTACACGGGGGTAGTTGGAACCCGGGTGGTATTACGCCGTCATGCATCTTTCCGGGTATCAGGCGTGCGTGGGCTGAGTGTCAGGCTTTTTGTTGGGGTGGGGTGGGGGGAGGGCAGGCGAGCGGGCTTACGAATGCATGAGCGAAGTGAATGTACGTAATGCGTGAATTGTGTAGAAGAAAGGGCGGCAAAACACCAATTTAAAAAAATCTTCGGCCGGCTTTCATTATGTTTTCATCACGGGTGTCATGGATATTTTACTAGCCTCTGCGATAAGTAGCAGAAATAGGTGCACTTCGTGATCAAAATAATTCGTGAAGCGCAAGACTCGCAAGACATCTATTGATAAGAGCACAGGTTGCGGGTCAAACAGCATTGACGTTTTGGGAGGAAGACGTGCTGTCGCACGTGTCCTGGTCAAGGCAACTTGAACGGAGTCATACAGTACCGAGCACCAGTGGCGACGCTCGTATGAGCAAGCGCCAAAACCCCCAGCCATTCAATTAAGTAAGGGGTGGACACGAATGCCCAAAACCCTGTAAAACGATGACCCTGTAAAACGATGGGAACACTTGAAAAGCGACACCCCTCATGTTGCGTCCATTAGCACCTCGAGCCAGTTTTGGCAGTCGCTCATATCACTCTCAAAGTAAGCAGCCCATTGGTGTCGCGAGATTGCATGCACTTGGCCTTAGAATCCTTAGAAGCTAGAAGTGTGGCTCCGAGTTACGAGTTCAGGGTTTTCTCATACGATCGCAAGTTTAGAACAATCCCCATATTCGCTGGGAGACTGAGGCTTCCGTCATCCTTTTTCGAAAACCTATCCGTTCCTTGGCGGTGTTGGGGTTCTGCGCACACCATCCTTTTTTTATTTGATGCTGGGGATTGACCTTCCAGACATGCCCTCTGTTATGGCATCGTGTCATGCAAAGAGCTGCGTGTCCAGGCCTCAATCGGTCAGCATGTTCCTAGATCATCATGGCGACATATGGCGACTGATCGTTGTCATCCTCTGCACGGGAATTGCTGCAGCACATATCGCACTGTAGTCAGGCTTGCTACAGCGTACTGGGTTTCTCACAGCTTCTGTTCCGAGGTGCGGCAGCTGCTTGACCTCTTCAAAGAAGTGGATCCTTCTCTGATACTATATACAAACACCGAGAGTGGCAATGCACACTTGATATCATTCTAGAGCACGCCTGGTCCGGCTGGTCAGGCCTGATCAAGCTTTGAGTAGCGCATGCGCTGCAGTGAGGACCTCGACTGCTCCGGCACCATCTCGCTCGAGGAATGGATTGAAGCACTCGTACGGATACGTACCTCTTCACAGCAAGTAAAAGAAGCAGCCAGAGCCCGAAGCACCTGTGCTGAAGCCCGCAAAAGGCAGCATAGCCGAGGAATGACGATCTACGATGAGCGTAAGGCCGAGCTGGATGCAGCGATGGACGCCGTCAGAAAGCATGCGGAGGTGCCTTGCAGCGATGCTTGACTGAGGCTGCGTTTAGCCGTCAACCTAGCCTGCTTTTGTTGCATTTCACTGCACAGGCGGCCTTAAATGAAGGTGACGAGGCTCCTTGGCTGATGCTCTGATTCTGGTTTTGCTTCCCCATATCGGTGGATTTGTCCCTCCACTCGCGCGAACACGCGCTCTCCCGTCTATTCATGCTTCCACTGCCGAGGATTGGTCAGGTGAGTTCGACTTCAGGGAGCAGCATGGCCGAACCCGCCATCGGGGCACTAGAACTGTTATTGGTGCCGTTGAATGGCCTGCGGCTCAGGTTCATCGTTGCCTTCAAGTATAACCCGACATTCGTGCGCAAGGCCACGATGACCATTTGAACCCTTGCTTGTGGAACTTTGCTCCATTGTCGTGCCAAAAAACCCTAAACCCTAAACCCGAAACCCTAAACCCTAAACGAACCGGTAGACTCAGGGGACTCAGGGGGCCACAGCATCGAGGAATCGTGGAGCGGCATCGGCGCAGATTTTTGCTTCACTGCGGGTGTGCAGGTCTCCCTGGCAACGGGGATTCCGGTGGAAGAGCTTGGAGCCAAGACTCGGGGTTTAGGGTTTAGGGTTTAAGGTTTAGGGTTTAGGGTTCAGGGTTTAGGGTTTAGGGTTTAGGGTTCAGCGTTTAGGGTTTAGGGTTTAGGGGCAATGAGAGGCAATAGGGGCAGCGCTCCGGTGCAACTGAACGGCCATCAGGTTGGGATCTCTGCAGGAGGACTCCATAGAAGACCTGTTTCTGGCCTTGGATACCGACTACTCAGGCGAATTGCACTTCCCACGGATAGGGCTTCATGGAAACGACCCTTTCTCTTTCGCAAATCACTGTCGTGATAATGTGATAGCTGTGAGAACTTCGGAGGCACCGTCTCCTTCGCCGAGTTTGTTAAGGGCCGCATCCCGAGTCCAGAACGTGAAGCCGTGAAGACGTGAAGAAGACTTCTTCGCCCATTTGCAGCCCCTGAGACCCTCTCATCGGATGTCGCAGCCATTTGAGTGCAGCACAAGTGAGTCGTCAAGGGCAAAACCACAAGGTCCCTATGAGCATGCAGGGCAAGACTTAGTGTAACCCCGCGTCACGAGGAGTGAGAGGCCATGGCCCATGGCTTGCCGCACCTGCGGACGGCGTGGCAGGTAGAGAAGGCTGTAACTGAGGAGGAGTCCCGGGTGCCTTGGATATGGGTAGAGTGTGTGTGTGCATGTGCCTAGATGAGCCCGAGTGGTTGACTCCGATCGTGAGGTGGTTCTGCTTCGCTTCGGGCATGACTATGACCCTGAGTGCAAGCTCACAGATGACATCCTTTTGTCACTGTCAGAGACTGTGAAGGACAAGCGCTCCGAAATGCACCCCTGCCTCTTGAGACTCACCGCCCATGCCAGCAGGAGAAGTGTGGCTTTTTCCTCGTGGACACTGACCTGGTTCCAGATTTTACTCAACAATATGCGCTTTGGATGCACCTTCGCGGGCGGTCCAGGATCAGGAACAGTCCACTCATACTGCACGGGCTTGGCAACAAGGAGCTGTACGACCCGTGCACGCTGATGTTCTTCTTTAAAGGACAGAAGTTGAGCTTTCATTGAGTTTTCCCAAGATTCGAAGGGAAGCCCAAGCTTCTCCAACTGTGAGGACGACATCTGCAGCTGGAGCTAGGGTTGGGGGTAGCTTGGCTATGCTTGGCTATGCTTGGCTATGCTGGGCTACTTGTTGTGGCGACTCGAGGCTATTGGTAAAGAAACCGCATGCTCGGGAACTGACCTGAGGAGAGGTACAAAATCACTTGGCCCATCGGCGGTGAGAAGGATACTGTCATCGCCTGGAATCACCTCCTTGTTTTTTTTGACCCTGACATGTGTCTGAATATGGTCAGCAGGAGCTGCTGACAGTGATAGAAGCCGTACATCGCGGTGCCCAGCAAGGAAGAGACTTGATCGTTGCCCCGCAAGACCGTTCGTTGGCGCAGCTCGCCTTCTTGGAGGAGTGCGGGAATTAGAGGTTTAGGCTTTGGGCTACACCCAGAATGTAGCAGACCATAGGAGACCTGTGCCGCACCTGCGCCCCCAGCTGTTCGCAAGATGAGATGTCCTTGGTGTTGCTTAGGTACCGCTTCTAGTCCCGAACATTGCGTGGACACTCAGCGGCATTGTCGAGTGAGCTGATTGCGATCGCGGCCCACCTGACGGACAAGCGACAAGCTCACAAGTGATCCAGAAGAGCAAGCACCCCGCGAGCCTCGAGCCCGCGCCGCATTTCCAGCTGCGCCTGAGGGAGCTTTAGAAAGGCAATGCCCTGGACGTCCAGACGCTTCTGAGAGCGAAGAAAAAAGAGCGCCAGAGCAGCCACTTGGGATAGAGAAGTGCGATGCAGCATACGATAGCGCGATAGCGGCGCTGGCCGAGGTCTCGCGGAGATCCGCTGAAGCCTTAGAGCTTCCGACAGATAACGGAGGATGCATGTGAAAGACCATGGGTTCAATGGGGCTCAATACCTTGCAAGGTTTGATCCGCATGGCCCGTGTGGACCAAGAGCGGCAGGCCCAAGAAGCAGCAATGTGGCTTGGCTGCATTGCCTTGAAAAGTCCTGATACCACCCGCCAGGCAACGTCCATGCAAAGCTTTTGATCACCCGCCATCCCGAGGTTGAACGAAGCCCTTTCCATTGCGGCAGAACCTAGCCGCAAGCAGACATAGCATGGACATGTTTTGGCTTCTGCGGCGAGGGCCGAGGAACATGGAAGCCACACCTGAGGAAGCCTTCGAGACAGCAGACTTCAACCTGCATGGCGAGTTGGACCTGCAATCCTTCATGCAGGTCGTTGACTGATTAGTCGGTTTAGCTTTGCCAAAGCCTGGTTACCTGGTACTGGCCCGCTTCCCTTCCTGCAGGCCCTGGGCAATCCTAGGGTGGCTGAAAAGGCATCTTGTCTTGTCTTCAGCAAATGGATGCTTTAGCTGCCTGTCGCTCTCAGATAGTTCACATGAGAAAGACGAAGATCTTTGTGCATCTGCTTAGCCCAGGTGTCTCAGGCAACTTCTGTGCCTGCAGAATGGTTCCTCTCCCTGGATGTCGTTCAGAGCCACGCCTGAATGTGCCTGAATGCACCTGAACTTTCTTGCATCCTTCTCTACACTGTCAGATGCTCCATCGTGTTGTAGCGAGAGCGAGATGGGTCTTGCGGATTCGTTTCCCGATTCTTCGGTCTCTGTTGTTGCGAATCAGATGCCTGGTCCCCCAAGACTTTCCTAACGACCCTCCCACTGCCCGGCACCCGGGTCGCTGGAAATCTAGCGCGCAAACGCCCTCGAGAAGGAATGATGGGTCTCGGATGCTGCGTTTCCTGGACATGTGTCTCAATGCGACGATAAATTTAGGCCGACAGTCACATGCTGTGCGTGTAACAAGGACTATGAAGAGAAACTTTGAAGAGTGACGCGTCCTATCATGGGAAGCAGCGGACCTGGTTCCATCCAAGGATGGTTGAGCTTTTCCAGGACATTGATGCCGATGCCAACGGCAAGGCGACGCACCCGCACAAGAGCCGGTCCTAGTGCTGCCTTGAGCATTCGCATGAGTTGTTAAGAACTTCGCCAGGTCGCTACCAATAGGCAAAGCTGTGGCAAGCTGCGTTGTGTGCCTTCTGACATGCAGGTGTCTTTCAGCGAGTGGATCCTAGCCCTCCTTCGAGTTCGTCAGGCGAACCACGAGGACTTGGCATGACATCTGGGATATTCACATTGATAGCAGTTGGTCCGCAAGCGTGCGCTGCATTCCCTTGATTGCCCGCAGGAGCAGAAGGCAGAACGACAGCAGGACAGGGTGACTTGGACAGCTTGACAGTCGACGATGGCAGCAGGCTTTACTTGGATGGCAGGAGCTGGCAGCAATCGAAAGCTTAGTTGAAGAAGCGATGGAGGAAGGAGACGAAGATTGGTTTGCGTCTTACCGCGCCCATAGCCCCTGGGCATCTGTCAGGCACTGTGAAGCATTGTGCTGCAGTGTTAGAGAGCCTGAGGTCTGGGGAGCTTGACTTCCGCGAGTTCATCGCTGCTTGGATTGGGAAGTGCTGGAAACGCTAGGTGCGTCGAAATCCTACAGTGGGACGTTGGAAGCCTTGGAAGCCTTGGAAGCCCTCACATGTGTGTGCTCCGAGGCTGCATTCCGCTGCAATCCACGCTTCGTGAGGAAGGTCGCTCTCGCAGCAGACACCTCTGTCGACGATCTCAATAGCCTGGCCAGCGAGGAGCTGGATTGCCAAAATGTGTTGTCTCCATCTGCCTTCTTCTCTGCTTGTTGTGCCACTCTGGTGCCAGCAAGGACTTGGAGCAGTTCTTCGCTGTCTTAGACACAGTGGCTCGACCAGCGCGAAAACACAACGCTGTCCATTTGTTCTATGTAGTTCTCTCTGCATTTACTGCACCGCAGGCTTCGGTGTAGTCTGAACCGCACAGTGGTCAAGAGGTTTGCAGTGGGCAGCTCTCAAAGGACCGCTCTGGCACCATCTCCTTCGAAGAGTTCGTCAATGGCCTGCTTGATATCCGCTTAAAGCGGCATGTCTACTCCCAGGAGCAGGCGCGGGAAGTCTGTGCGATTGTGGTCAAGAGCTCCTCCACCGAGCCGCCACGGCCCTAAGGCTGAAGCTGAAAACCAGGCGGTCATCGATGTGGCCTACTTGGACTCCCGGCTTTAAAAACACATCTGTGATCTCGGAGTTCGGGGCTGGATCTCGATTGGGTGTGATGTCTGAAAGCAGATAAGATCGTCGCACAAGCAGAGGAGCTGACTACTCCCGTAAAGCAATCCTTGAGCCGCCTGAAAAAAAGCAAAGCTCCGCTGCGCTTGTGGAGCGAAACATCGTTGACAGATGCGGTTTCTAAGCAAAACATCGGTCAAGCCCCCATACATCAAGCTCGTTGTCCGTCTGAGAGCATCTGAGACACAGACGGTTTCCCTAAGGATGCGCTGGATGCTTTTAGCCAAGCCGATTTGGGGGTGACAGGCCTGGGCTTGCTGTGATTGGGGGAGAGGAACCATGGTCTTGGGTGCTTGCCAGCTTCGACAGGAGAGCTGGACCTGGACGGCTTCCACAAAGCCTTGCAGCAGCCTGCTATTTTGGAGCTCCTCGGTTTCGAGCGTCAGGGCCGAGGAGAGTATCATGCTCAGCTAGCCCACATATGGGGGCTGAAGACAGGGGACCCCTAAAACAGACCCCCCCCCAAATAGAAGGATTCCCTTGTCATAAGGACCCCAATAAGGCACCCCTAGTTTCGGAAACCGAGATGCATTTGGCCAAGGAAGGTGGCGCTGGCAAGCCAGCTGCCGCCAGAGTTCTTCTCCAAGCTCTCGAAGCAGGACATCAAGGAGCCCAGCTGCTGGAGGCGTTAATTGTAAGCGCTTGCGCGCGCCGCCTCGGCAGCCGGGCTGGCCCACAGGAAAGGAGAAAAGAGGGCGGGGGTCCAGGAAGGGTCCCAGGCATCCCAAGAGGGGGCCCAGGAAGGGTCCGGGGGGGTTCAGGGCGGGTCCCAGGAAAGGTCCTAGGGGGATCTCAGGGGGGGGGTTTCAAGGGTTGCCGAGTCGAATATAAGCTCTTAATTAAGGTTCGAGGTTTTGGTAGTTTCATTCCTTGCGGCTTTGTCAAGGACATGTTCGCCCGCATGGACACTGACTGCTCCGGTGGCATATCCTTCAACGAGTGGGTGGCCGCAATCGCAGCTTGTCCTAGCAGCTCCCAGCAGCAACAGACCTGTAAATCGGTGAGCAGCTCCGCAGTTCATATTTTCGTCGAGGTAAACACTCGCCAGGCCTCTTGGAATGCACCTACTGCCACTGTTGCTGGAGTCGAAAACGAGTCTTCCTGAGCCTAGGAGGTCTATTTGACAGAGAAGCTCGAGCAGGAAAATGCAATTGCAGCTGCACTGAGCTTACCGTACAGACAGCCACGGTGATCATGCGTGCGTGTTGGTCTGCAAACTTGGAAGTTCACCGACATGTGTACTGAAGCCAGCTGCAGGTGATGGGCGATGCAGCTGCTGCCATGGATGAAGTGCTGGAGGAAGCAGCACCTGTCGCAGTGACGCGATGCTGTGCTGAGTTTGGCACCAACGAAAGGACTGGTCCGGCGAGTTCGAGCTTCAGAGGCTGACCAGAGCTTGGGGCAGAAGAGGCTGATGAAGGTGGCACTTGGACAGGTTTATCGATGCCTTTCAGACCAACAAGGCTTTCGTGCAGAAGGTCTCTCATGCTACAGGCCCAAACCGGAGAGAGCCTTGAGCGGCGAGAGACAGAGGCTTTTGCTCCAAAAATGAAGTACTGCACACGCAGCCAGGCATACCAGCTGTCGAATATCAGCGTATGCAGGCATCTCACAGAATGCGCTGCCCTTCGCGAAAGTTTCACAAAATTCCATGCAGCCAGGCCGGTGATCTTAAAGACCTGTTCGACGCTTTGGACATGGACTTTTCCGGCACTGTGTCTTTGATGCATGTGACACGTTGTGACGCACAAGCCGTGTGCTTCAGCATCATCTTGTCCCAGGTGTCCTTCAGCGAGTTCGTGGAAGGCACGCCACATAGAGCTATAGCTCACGGGGTGCTGTCAGCCAAACCCAACACATGCGCAGTAGCTACGCGCAGTGCCGACCCTCCTTTTTCAGACTTCCAGGATTAGCTGCCATCCGCCGGGCCCACGAGGTTGGGGCACCACCCTCTCTTTGAATCGTCCAAGCCTGTGCCAAGCCCTGGCTCAGGCGGCAATTTTGGAAGAGGTGCCGAGCCCCACGGAATCTGCCCACCACATTGTCAAGGATCCCGGGTTGCTTCCATCGTCTGCTTGCGGAGAGAACCTCCCTAAACCCTAAAATCCCTAAAACCCCTAAAACCCCAAACCCTATAACTTACAACCCCAAAACCCTGAAGCCCTCAACGGTGAGAGAACTCCGTCAGGATGCCATGGTGCAGAGCGCGCCGACTGGCATGGACAGCATCACGCCCACCGGTCTCAAACAGTTGCCCGGCACTGGTGAGGACGACGACGGCTTTGAAGTAATTGGTCTAACTCTTCAAGGATCTTTGAAGTACTTGCATATGGTTATGTTGATTGTTACCACTACCCATTTTTGTTCTCTTTTTGGACTTGTGCAAGTTCAAGCCCTTGGCATCGTTCTCTGTCCAAATCGCTGTGAGGTAGTCCAGTTCTGTCGAACACTTGATAGTGTGAGCACTTCTCCTCGATTTACTTTGTTGCCATTCGGTTGAATACCACCCACTCAGGTGTGCTGACTGCGATTATATTTCTGGGCGTTTTATAAAATCTTGTACGCGCAAATCTGTGCAGGATGCGGTAATCGTGAGTTTTGTCTGTGTTTTGCCAGGGTGCTTTTACAGTGATGAATGGCGAACACGTACCCGGTCCAGATGTTCTGAGTACACTGCTTGCAACAATAACCTCAGCAGTTAAGCACAGAGGTGCAGGTACAATACTTGTTTTTTGGGATGCCGTCCGGCGTCCGCGTGCTCTCCATTGCGGGCACGCAGAAACACCGAGAGGGTCGTCTTTGCGATTTGGAATGCGCGCTGCAGATCCCATCCTACGTTCTCAGAAGAGCACCGCTACGACCAGCCAGGAAGTAGAAGACATGCTTGAAATCATGCCAAGCCGACTTTGTGCGAGCTATCAGCAACATTGATGAATGAGTAGAGTGTTCCACTGAGGAGTGTGATCGTTCTCACGCCTAAGATCTTGCAGTAAACGCCAAGTATCCAACACTTGGATCAATGTTGTCATCTGACAAAGGTTGCTCCTGCTTCTGGACGCTGACCGGTGGACACCCGGCAAGCTCGAAAAGCTGATCGCGGGACTCCCGTGGAAAAATGGAGCACTACCACTGAGTGCCTTCGAAGCAGAAGCAGAATGTTCGAGTTTGCGAAGTGCATGATCTTCTGCATTGTGCTTGTTGCCGGTTGACGCATGCCAAGGTAACCTGGTCGACGTGTTGTGCCCAAGCTGAAGCATGACAGTCTTGCTAATCTTGCCACATCAGGATAGATTCTGACATAGGGGGCTTGCGTGGCTCGCAAACATGGAGACCATAGAGTTTGCATGGGGCAAGAACTTGCAAAGGTAATTTCCGAGAGACACTGTGAACTATCATCCTCCCCCCTTTACACGCGCCTATTAACCCACCTAGGAAAGTCAACTATCCCAATGCACCTTTCCTAGTCCACTGGAAGCCAATGCCGCGGCAAGCTAGGCTAGAGGTGCTTGCGTGATAATGTGGTTGTCGTTGTAAATTAGGGCCCCTTGTGCGGCACCACCTTGTCAGGAATCCTGTTTTACTAGGGGACCCTAACTTTAAACAGACTCTGTTTGGCAACGTTTGTCACCAAGAGCTGGAGAGGTACTGATGCAGCCTCCCATGACGCCGTGTTGCGGTTGAGTGGCAATGACGGGCCGGCATCCTTTTAAAGCATAAACTACACCACGTGTGCAGTGCAGTGCAAAAGCAAAGGACTAAATACCATAATTGTGATGGACATGCAAATCGGTTACGGAGATACAAAGAAGAATCATCTTATTTTTTTCTGGAAGTGCATGCCGTAGGCATGCTTACGATAGAAGCCTGCCCTGCCCGCTGCACAATGCAGTGGGTTGGGGGGAGGCAGGTCTGCCAAAGGCGACTGCTTCAGGCTTGAGAATGTCGAGGTAGCGTAGCCTTGTCGCAGAATGCAATTTAAACAGCTTGTAATGCGTTGCCAGCTTTCCTGCAGATGCAGATTGCAGTGTAAGCAGCTGAGTTCAAGTGAGGTGTATAAGCGAGCCGACAATTTGGGTGCTGGTCAGCACCCGACCAAGAAAGGTTGCTCCTGTCTTGCTGCGTTCTGAAGATAACTGCTGAAAACACCGGATGCTTGAGGCCTGGCGAGTATGGCCTGCCGCCAGACTATGCTTTCTCCTCAGCAGCCAAATCAAATTTCATATCACGTTCCAGGCATTTTCTCAGGCCCAGTCCACCCACTTGAGCCGAGGTGCGCGTTGCGATGGCCGTTGCAGTGATTGCATTTGTAGCACAGATGGCACCCTCGCCGGGATTTGGTTGAACAGAGCTTGCCGGGAGCGTGGAAGAACTTTGAGATGCCAGGTCTCCTACACTGGCCGGGAGTGGGCCATCCACAAACAGGCCCGGCCCAGCCTTTGCGTGGCCCCCGGAAACTGTGAGACACTTCATGCTCAGGCCGGCCGGCCGGTTCGAAGGGCTACCTCCTGAGCCCAGTGCTGTACTTCAGTGGCTTTGGAGGATTGTGGAAGTTGGCAATGCAACAAAATCGGATACTGTGCAACGAAGGTTCCGTCCTTCTGGAATAACATTTTCAACGTTGCTATGCGGCTGGCTCAGCTCTCTTTACGGCATCCCACCTGCCTGTGCTGGATTCATCGTCTCACGAGGCTTTGCATGTACGTGGCAGTGGTAGTTATCATCATCGGCCTCATCCAGATGCTCTGGCCCCATTTTGGCCAAAACCCGTACGGCAGTGCTCATGGCAGGTTTAGTTTGTGACAGTCTTGGAGTCGGGTATAAAATGCGTCATCCTTCATAACTTGCAGTATGGTGCGAAGTGTTGCGCTCCGCCTCTTGGTGAGTGGTGCTCAAACCCGTTTGTCTTTTCGAAGATCCAAAGGGTGTGAAGTGGAAACCTTTGGATCTCAGAACCCAAATGGGAGTTTACGAACATCAGGGACCCCTATAATAGACCCGCAACATAATAGGAACTCAATAAGGTACCCCGATTCTCGGAAACCCCCAAATTTGCCACCAGGCAGGCCTCGACCCCAGCAGCCCGAAGCTGTCCACACAGGATTTGGGGGCTTCGAGCTCCATGGGGTCCGGGGCGCCTCTCAAGAGCAGCATTTTGGCTGGTGCTCGGTGCGAAAACCCATGGCCTTTGGGTTTTTAACGGACCTCGGCCCTACCTCCACGGCGACCAGCTCGAAACGCAGCCGAAACGACGAAGAGCGCGAATCCGCGCGCTTTGCCAAGCCCTATTGGGGCCACCAAGGTTGACAGTTTGATTTCCAGGAGGATATAAAATGTAGGGCGGTTGACAGGAAGTTAGGTCCATAGCATGAGTCTCAAAGGGGTCCGCAAGTGGCCCACAAAGTCCGCAGCAGATCCGCACGGGCGTGATAAGAGCCCAGCAGTATAAGATTATCATATAAGATATAATATCATGTAAGATAATATTTTATAATGTACTAGAATATATATATATATATGTATAATAGAAAATGCCAAGGCAACAACCTTCGGAGCTGAAGGACATGTACGGTGCCCCTTGCATTGTCTCACTGCCAACTGCCAGCTCCAAAATCGTGCCAATTTTTCTGAGGTCCCCTACCGCTTTCGTCCGGCATCTTCTGCTCCAACTCGCTGATTGTTTTGTACTTCGCGGTGTGCGGCTGGCATGGTTGAGAAGGAGAGTATGTCACGCAGGCTAGCTCCTAGGTTACCCTGACATGCCATATCTTCGAGTTGCCTTTGCAGCAGACATCGTTGCTTTTGAACACCAGCCTGGCTAGCGGAGAGTTCCTCGCCTTTCGGCAACCTCAAGTATGGAGCAGCGCGACACGCCACATCTCGCTACCACGGTAAGACCGTGCTGTACAGGTACGCTGGCCTTCAGATTGTGGGAACCTGAGCCTGTGGGAGTGAGTCGCATCGCATTTGCAGGACACGTGGCTGTTGTGGACTCCTGTGCCAGGCCAAAACGATGGATGTGGACTTTCGAGAAAGAGGCACGACATCTCCGAAAGTTGCTCAGACTTGTGAGCCTGGTGATTGCACTCGCCACAAGGGACGTACCCAGAGTCCCTGTCGGATCCCTCAAGGCCGGCTATCGGGTACTGTTGATACGGCTTGTACCATGAACTTAGATGCTGCAGTCCCTGCACCATCGGTCACTTCGACCTACAAAGCGCTACGAAGTACTTCATGAAGTACTGCGCAGTACTAGGAAGTGCAAAGTCTCGGGAGGTACATCATCGAGGTGCTGAAGATGACCGCCTCCAGCGTGCAAGTCGCACCCATGCCCGTGCCTGATATGCCATGAGGGGCCCCACCTGGAGTCTCATGGAGTCTCCCCGCCGATGTACCAAGCACTGCCTAGACTCGGCCTAGACGAGTGTGGCATCGTAGTTCTTGCATATTCTTGTGTGCTTTTTGTTTTCTTTCTGTTTTATATGATGCTCCTTTTTCTGATTTCCGCTGCGGGAGCCGGTGGGTTCCATGCACAGCAATTCGACACACTGAAGAGTATTTTTCTTGGATGGCATCCACAACAGTTCTACCATAATCTACCCTCCACTGAGAATACCCACTCTGAGCCAAGCGCCAATGGAGCAGCGGGAATCGGATTTGGCGGTCGTCTGCCGCCTTGCGCATGAGCACCTGACAGACGGCCCGGCAGGGCGCAACGACGTGCTCAGGCCTGAGCTCTCTCGCATAAAAACTTGTCACGCATGGTGAACTCACGCTTCGGCATTCGGAATACACTACATTCTGAGCGTCTCTATATCAAATGGTGTTTTTTTGCAGAAGTTTTTACATTTACCTCTTTGTGCTTTCCCCATGCCTTACTTATTCTGAGAGGCAGCTACTGTGCTCGTCTGGACCCTTGCCAGGCGGCTGCCACGAGATTTCCGCAGCGGTGCCAATGAGATTGTCAAGGAGGCCGTTTGCGAGAGAACACTAGGATGACGGAATTTCATAGCTTCTGTCTCTTCTGTCTTTCACACTGGTGCGAACCATCCCCTGAGGACATTCACACCAGCATCGAGGTGCCGCCACTGCTTTCCACGAGTGGTGCCGTGAGCTGGCAGCAGCGACAACTCTCCACATGTCTGCGAGAGCTTTTGCGGCGAGAGTGTTTGCGAGAGTGCCAAGACTGCTAAGACCCTGTCCATCATCTTTCGTAAGCTGGCGCCTTACAGATCTGGGCAGTCAGAGAAGTTCCTATGCTCGTGTCTTTTGCGCAGATGTGTGCGACTGAGGCTGATCACATACCAGACGCAGCAAAACCACCACCAGCCTCCCGGTCGCCTACAGCGGCTGACCAGCTTCAGCACCGGGGAGGCCAACAACTGTGACAACTTCCACGCGAAAAGAGTAGTCTGCGAAGTCTTGCATCTCGGATTCAGAGCAGCACATGTCTTGTGCTCTTTCCCTCTTAAAGGTGCAATCAGTCCATGTGGCATGTGACATTTTGCAAGACACCTATGAGGAAAGCCTGGGCTTGCTGCAGCCAGGGTGCTGTCAGCGATGACAGCATGGATGCCCAGGAGGTGGATCCGTACTTAAACTATCTGCGCCACGTGATGTACTACCATGACCGATGGTCCTCCAAACTCTGGGGCTCGGATGCGTTCCTGGAAACCATGGTTCAAATCATCCGCAAGCTGGAAGCGTTGAAGCGTGACACATCGGACACCAGACAGAAGTATCTGAAAGTGCTGGAGCAGATACATGACCATGCCAGTGAGCTCGTGGAGCACGCCCTGCGAGTAACACTTCTCGCCAACACCGAGCACCACCCCGAATTTGAGGCACTGGTCGCCAAGGAGGGTGCGCTGACACTGAAGCTGCTGAGCCAAACGTCCATTCGACACAGCACGGGCTTTTGGTGCACGGACTTTGGCCAGGTGCTGTACTCTGCGCTCGTAAGGGCCGACCCACAGCGTTTCAAGCCGATTGGCGCCGGAGCCGAGATCGCGGCGCGCACCTGGAGTCTCTGGACGGATGAGCTGGGTACCATCAAGACATACGAATACACCTCTCCTGATGAGGCCCGGCTGGTGCTGGAGCAATGCCGTTGCTGCACTATCCTGGTGGGCCCGGAGGGCAAGATCCAGGAGAAAAGCTTCGCATCCAGCACCAGCCAAGTGCTCTCCAAGGCAGGTAAACCAGTGGCGAAGTCCGGGCATCTCGCTTTGTTGTGATTCAACTTTTTGTCTGTGCTTCTTTTTGACCTGACCTGCCAGGTCCTGCAGGAGGGAAGCACGCTCCGTGAACTTAACCGTGGCTTGGATTGCACAAATCCCTGCCAAGTCGCTTTCGAACTGCTTTTCCTGGCACATCGAAGGAAGGGTGGACCAGAACATCGGCTTGCAACAAGCGGCCGTGGGAATGCCACCTCCCACGCAGGCAGAGAGACCCCAACCCCCAAAGTTGAACCGATGTTCATCCGGCACTAAGTTTGCAAAGGGGTTTCCTCAATATTGACGTCCAAGAGTGCCGGCTCTGCCAGGTGACAGCCATAGAGGACTTTTTGGGTGATGGCAGCCAACCTGCCCCCAATCCGGAGGCAGAAAAACCCGACTTCTGGCGACTGGGACGAAGATGTAAGAAGCGTACAATAGCGTGCAAACACCGTGCAACATCCTAGCACTCGCCGACTGAAGCATTTAAGATTAAGCTCCGAATCTGCTTAGCAGCAAAGCCCTGGCTGACATGAAAAGCCCTTAACGAAAGCCATTCATGACTCAACGAAAGCCTTGACGACAGATCGCGAGCTGAGGTATGCTGCAGTGGACAAGGCACGTCATGACTGCTTCGACTGAGCGCTCCAACTTGCAGCTGCTGGATTCTGGGAGGTCCGAGATGCCTGGATGCAGGGAATTGCAGATCAAGCAGGCATTGCTGAGCCATTCCGCGGCTGCAAGAAGGCGTGAGCCGTGAGCTGCGGATTGGGGGTCTGAGAGGGCACTGGACGGTCGCTCTGATGGGCACTTCGTACTTTTGGTGTGCAGCAGGTGAAGTGGATCGAGGGTGTGTTCGAGAAGGAGTCCAGGTCCTCGAACTTCCCAACGATCATTCTTGCCCCTTGGCGCAGAGTGAAGAGTGGTTTGGTTCAGCTGGGGCCACGGCCCCGCCCCTACTCGGATAGTGCGGCCGCAGTCTGTGAGGATCTCCCCAAGACGCTGTCAGACCTCCTGTGCTGCTTCCGGGAGGCGCGAAATCCGGCAAGTTCTGGCAAATTCTGGCAAGTGAGCACAAAGTGTTCCCGACAGGTGATGACCGCCGTACGCGCCATGATCAGCGAAGGCAGAGGGTTCGGCTAGAGTGGGTTGCAGATATATTCAGCATGTGGAATATGCATTTTTCTAGCGTTGAGCAGTCGCGACTTCATCATGGAGAACTTGAAGTAGCCGTGAGTGGCTGCTCTGTGCTGAAGCACAAGTCGGGAGGAAAGCAACATTTTGACTTCTCATGAATGCTTCGCGCCATCGAACACTGCAGCGGGCCTCGTAAAACATGCAACGGTGGATGCCCACGCTGCCCATGCTCTTGGGCTCATGCGAGAGAAGGTGGCATCGGCGTCTCAGGCCGAATGCTCCCCCCAAAACATCGATCGGGAGACCGTGCATGCCTGCGGAGACATGGCCGAAATAGTGGCGTCGACGAGGATGGCACAAGGGCCGAGGGGAGAGGAAGAGGAAGAGGAAGGAGAAGGAGAAGGAGAAGGAGAAGGAGAAGGAGAAGGAGAAGGAGAAGGAGAAGACAAAGAAGAAGAAGAAGAATAAGCAGAAGAAGAAGAAGCAGAAGGGGGGGAGGGCGACTACGAGAGAAGTCGAAGAATAAGACGAAGAAGACGAATAAGACGAAGAAGTCGAAGAATAAGACGAAGAAGAAGAATAAGACGAAGAAGAAGAAGAATAAGACGAAGAAGAAGGAAAAAAGGAGAAGGGCCTTCAGGCAATGAGTTACTTTCGAGCCAGCGTGCCGCCCCAGCAGGTACCCTTCGTGCGCATGCAGATGCAACAGGGGGCGCAACTGTCCGTATGGGATTCGCCCACATGTCGGCGTGTGCGCTCTCAAAGGCCCCTCAACACAAATCTGACCAGTACGAAGTCAGTTCTCGAAGACTGCGCAGGCAGAAAGCAGGCATCCCACACACAGCAAAAACTATTGCGCCAAAAGCCAATCAGCCGCATGGTGCCAACCCATGCCGCGCCCACGTGATGTTGGCCAGCTCGCACGCCTTGATGAGGATGGCGACCGAATTGTCTCTCGTGCAGATGGCTCGGAGGCCAACTCGTATGCAACACCTGGCCTTTGTCAGCCGGCTTCCGTGTCGACTACCTTGGCAGAGATGTTGCAACCGTGCTAGGACTCGACTAGGACGAAAACACACGCGTGAAACAAGTGATGCCCGCAGCGCTTCTGCGAAGCTGCGTACTTGTTCAACCCTGAACACCATGCCCTAACTAAGCCCTAAACCCCAACCCCTAAACCCCAAACCCGAAACCTCGCCCCCGCTCCCTCCCTTGGCGTCCAGGTGGCAGCAAGGAGGCCTTAGCGGCAATCTATGCACTGCGGCAGCGAGGCACCATTACTGGCCAGTTGGACGCAGCCTGGCTTAGGGTGCCCGTTTTGGGTTTTGGGCATGCGTTTAGCCAATGAGTTTAGGGTTTCTAGGGTTTAGGGGTTTCCGAATCTTGGGCTTTTTGGGCCGTAGGCCCATGGTTGAGGGATTCCAGAGTTTGCATACGAGGGTTTAGGGGGATTTAGGGGGTTTAGGGGTTGAAAATTCATCGCAATCGTCCGCAGAACTCAAGGAAGGTTCGCAGGCTTCAGGCGCGAGTTTGACGGCGGCCATCGCCCCGCCCCCGCTGCCCCTCCCCGAAACTGGGGACTATTGTGTAACTGCGACAATAACAGGTTCTCTACTGGTTTTGTCTTGGACCCTCTCTGTTCCATCCCTCGGCTCCCCCGCTTGTCCAAATCTGGCTTCTTGTCAGAGGTTCTGAGGTCAGGTCCCAGGGTTAAGGGGGTGTGAGGTGCTGTGCAAGTTGCAACAGACTGATGAGGCCTGCATGCAGAAGTTTCTGACAAGTGCCAACCTTATGCACGGTTTCTTTGAGCACCTCTTCTTCGAAAGCTGCCTGGAGGCAACTATTCAGAATTCATTCTGCCCACCAACAGATGGGCAGATACCAAAGCAGCACCCAAACCTGCTTGTTTCCTGCTTTGAGCTTGAGGCTTGGAGAGCAACAAGAAGATCAAAGGCCAGAGCGCCACCTCGTCCTCATTCAGAGCTAGACTTCCGGGATTCCGAAACTTCAGGGGTGAATCCACTGGAAAGCCTAAAGCCTCCGCAAGTCTGAGGCCGCCATGCAGCGACTGTACTTCGAGACTCGGCCGATTTCAACGTCAAGCCGCCAAGCGATCGACACGACTCCTAGCTGTCGTGGATGAACGTGGGGCATGTGTGGCTGGTTGGCCGTGCACAAAGGAAAGCCATCGCGCGTGCAACAAGCTGCGGGATGACATACTGACCAAGTGGCACAAGCTCGGACTCGAGGCTAAGAAGGGTTTTTTGTAGCCTGGCGTAGACGCTGCACGTGGTTGCAGCATGCAAAAGCGCCTACACAATCACCTTGCAATGTTGCCCATGATGCGAGGTCTCGGATGACAACCTTGCCGATGAAGCAAAGCGTAGCATGGCCTGCCATGACACAGGCGCGGAAGAGTAGCCGTGGGTCGCCATGGGTAGCTAAGGCATCGACATGACAGAGAAGGCGGCCTTCTGCCAGCTCATGGGAGCCACAACTCAGTTTATGAGGTCATATGAGGTCTATTGAGTGCACCTCTTTCCAGTGCCAGCAGTTTGAAGCAGTCCGATCCGTTGATCCAAGGAATGCCTGCGCCTACATTGGCGTTGACCGCAGGCGAGTCCTTATAAGCGCTTGAGAAGCGCTTGAGAGTCGAATTGCGCGAATGGCAAGGTTCTGGGCAGCTTCTTCAGCTTCCGGATTCGCCCAAGAGCAAGGAGGCTTTTGTGCAGTGCTGGGTCAAAAAGTGTGTGAGTCGACATGGGGTTTACGATAACAAGGGACCCCAAATATAGAAATACAGACCTTATAATCCGGACCCCAATAAGGCAGCCCTAATATCATAAACCCCCACATTTGTCCAGGACGTATCGCCAAGAAGTGATGCGGGCACGCCTACCGCGCAGCCTGTGGCTTTTGCGCCATCTGCGCGTGTTGAGGACAGGCCTTGCACGGAATACTGCCTTTGCACTGAATCTTGCACGCGGTGCACGTTGCCCCGATCTGCATCACGCGGTGGACGAACCCCCCCAACTACTAGACTACTAGTTGCTAGTTCTTCACATTCTTTGCAAGCAGTTCTGTCTTCACCGCAGACCTGAAGCGAGTCACGCGGTCATGGCAGGAGGCAGCCAGCATTGCCAAGATCGAGGAAGCGAGTGAATCGGGAGACGACTTGTCAAGTGTCTTTCGGTGACACACTCTTGGCGATGAAAGATGCCTCTGCCCTACGCAACCAGAGACAGAACGAGGCTAACGAGACAGGCAAGTTCGACATGTTCACCGCCGCCACGATCCTGTAAACAGCTGGCCATCATGTTGATCGAGGTTCCAGCTCAACGTGACTGGGCGATGCCCGGTGCAGCCCCAACTGCAACGGCATCTTGCGCTGCACGCTTGCAGTGTGCGGCTGGGGCTTGTGCCTGCAGCTGGCGAGCGTAGCTGACCTGCACACCTGCATCGGCGGTTATCATTGCAGCTCTTGCGCTGAAAAAAGAGGCATCGAAATGCAGGCACCCCCTCCTTGAGTGAATCAAATGCTTGAACACTGACTACTAGGGAGTTGCAAGGTGTTTAGGGTTTCGGTTGTGGGAATGTCTTCGCTGGCACTCACAGTGCAAAAACATCATCGCCCAGGCTGGCTGTTTTCTGCGTGGGATTGCAGCTCACTGTAGACGCGCAGCGCGAAGCGCTGCCAAGCCAGGGCCCGAGAGCGCTTCAATCTTAGTATTGGCATACGTACCGTGACTGAGCGCCCATCTCGTCTCCGCATGTGCTGCAACCCAAAACCAAAACCTGAAATCCCCCCTTCAAAGGATGCATGCTTTGTGTCAGAGTGTGTGTGGGCCCAGCTTGGTTCCAGTACTTCAGCCTTGTATTGTAGAGATGGCATCAGGCGATGATGACCATGTGCAAATCGGTAGCATCACCCTTCGAAGGCCTTTGGGTATCGGGACAATGCAATGGGGCAAGACTTGGCTGGACCAAAAGCTGAATCGTGGTAATCTTGACGATCAGCTCTGTGCCAGCATCTGCCGGGAGTTCACCGAAGTCCATGGTGTGCAGTTCTTTGACACTGCTGAAGGCTACGGCGGTGGAACCAGTGAGGAGAGGCTCAAGGACGTTCTAATTCCCGGAGAGAAGCAATCACATGGGGCCCCGCATGTCATCGGCACAAAGTTCCTTCCGACACTCGCGCGATGGACGCACGGCAGCTTTGCACGAGCTTTGCGCGGATCATGTCAGCGACTGGGAGTTGATGCCATCGACATCTATTTCATTCACACGCCGATTCACCCGCTACCGCTGGAACATTGGGTGCGAGCTGCCTGTGTCGAAACGAAGGCGGGGCGCATACGTGAAATCGGCATCTCGAACTGCAATGCGCAGCAGGTGCGACGAGCATGTGCCGAAGCTCAAAAGCATGGCCTGCGAATCGCGGCGAACCAGATCATGTTTAATCTGCTGTGCTTTCAGTCTCCGGAGCTGCAGGAAACGCTGAGAGCGTGCAGGGAAAACCAGGTTCAGATTATTGCTTATGCGCCGATTGGCCAAGGGCTTCTCACAGAAGCGCTAACAGACGAGAAATTTTCGAAGATTCGACTAGCCAGAATGACAAGGCTTGTCATGGATGAGTTACAGGACCTGCGGTCAGTCATCAAAAGCCTTGCAGACAAGTATGGCAAGTCCATGGCCCAGATTTGCTTGAACTGGACAATATGCCATGGGGCAATTCCCTTGGTGGGTACCAGAAGCATGCAGCAAGCACAGGACACTGCTGGCTGTCTTGGATGGCGTTTGTCCGCTGAGGACGTGGCGGAGCTGGATCGGAACGCGCTGAAGCGCAGTACACTCTCCAAGCCAAGATGGAAACGGGTCATTTTTGTCACCTTTATCACGCTGCTGGTATTCGGTTACCAGGTCAATCATTGGGTAGACTGGCTGCAATCGAAGTGGCGCGCGATATCGCCCTGGCAAAGGCGTCAGGCAGATTGAGCCTTCTTGTCCTGCCAGAGGGTGGAGAAAAAGCACAGAAAGCTCAGCTCACAAGTTCCCGATGCTACAGAGCTCATGTTGACATCGGATCGGCACTCCCAGTCGAGACAAGTGAAGTGTTGCTGACATGCGAAAGCCTTTGAAGCCTTTGCCCCAGTCTGAAACTTCTGAAACCTAGGCACAGTGGAAACCGCGATGTACGTTTGCTGCCTGGCCCTTTTCCTCCAGGCTGGGCCAAGCTGGACCAAATCTGCACATGAGAGCCGATGACGCGAAAGTTTACGCATTGTTTAAACACTAGTGAGTCAAATTTTCGTTACTCATGCGAGAGCTCCTTTGCGCGTCGGCTTGTATTCTCCCCGCATTCTATACGACCTGCAACGTACTGCAAAGTGTAGATTGAAGATCAATGCCACGTGCGCGACTTCTTCGCCGCTTCACTTATCCACATCGGCTTTCCTTGTTGCTGAAAGCGACCCTTCTGACGCTACAAGCCCCGGCTTGAGTAGACCCCCAATTTTTGCACCCGAGTCCCCCTACTCCTGTACCGCTTAGCACTCTAAGCCACAGACCCAGGGGCTTCGTGATGGTAGCAGGCAGCCGTTGCCACTGCCACTCCCTTCGTCACCAGGGCGGAGCTCAAGGCGCCAGAACATGATGGAATAATGGAAGAAGTGTATATGAAAAAAAGGTGTATATATATATATATGTACATACATAACCATTAAAGTATACATGTTCAGTTTATAACGGATATGGTATTATGGATTATGCACATACAAAAATGTTAAGTTTCGGGTTCAGGGATGGTCAAGGCTGGGTGTTCCGGATTGGGGTCGTAGTTAAGTGTCAGCTTCTTGAGGGCCCATCTGGTGCTAAGCAGCAGGCAAAGAATCTCGACTTGAGGGATGTCACCATGAGCATTTGCCAGTCCGCGGCATGATGTGTGTTTGGTGCGTGATTTCGGTGCGCTCGCCAGAGAGCCTGGCAACTCTATTTTTTAATACATACACCGGTTCGTTGCTCTGAGTATGAAGGCCTGCCCATCCTTTCCCCCCTGGATTCTTTGGGCTCCTGAGGGGAGCTCGGCAGCGGTTTGGGGGTGCTTGAAAGGGAGGATCCAGGTTGGGCCAGGGCGGCCGGGGGTGGGACAGGGAGTGGCAGGGATCTCAGGGCACTTACAGTAAAGTAGAGGGCTCAGAGGAGCACGCAGGGTATATCATCATCCGCAGCACGACCTCATGTTAGCTTCGGAAGGTTAGTTGCAACAGACGGCTCCGCTTGATGTGTGCAAGCAGCATCAAACAGCTCCTCTGGCAGTACTTGTGCCTGCCGGATCCTGCCAGGTAGTTCCGGGAACCGTGGATATAGTTGACTTTTCGACCGCACATTCCCGGCTGTCGCTTGGTTTCGTTTGGACGTATCTAGCCGAAGTGCATTACCCCGAAACCCCATTGTCTCCAGTGTTGGTTTATGGGTCCCTGCATCAAACTCAACAATTCTGCAGCCTTGCTGCAGTTGCCTCCAGGATGTCCATGATTGCATGATAGGACCAGACTGTGTATGCTCTTGATATTCTTAGCAGGGTGCCCGACCCTCACATATGAATGTTGTAAATCCCTTGAGTTGCGGAGACGCCGAGGTACATCTTCATGAGCTCAGTGCGGTGGGTGAGCGCTGCAGCGCTGTGCGCCAGAAAGCGTAGGGTCAGCGTACTGAACCGTATTGTCGCATCGCAACGCCAAGTACTGCTCATCTCAGGTCCAACATAGCCGGCCCCACGTGTCACCGACTAGTGCAATGTGTCCATTCAGGTACCTTGGAGTGTGCATCATCTGCGCTCATCTGTGGCGCATGTGGCCCAGTGTCTTTTCCTGGGCTTGTGCTGCACGCCCGACCAATATGTGCCTAACTGCAAAGGTGACACTGATCAGCCTGTGTGGGTTATCCTGGCCCCAGCCTTACAAGGTTTAGAGTTTGAATTGGGGGGCCGCTAAACACTTGCCCATGATGGGCTTTATTTAAACCCATGCGGATGTCAGTAGTAATAGTGTTGAAGATGCATTCGCTGTGGCTGCTGCCCCCCCGCCTCATGCGGGTCTCTTTATGTTTCTTTATAGTCGCTCAACTTTGCTGCTTGAATGTCAAACATTCCTGCAAGCGGAACATAGTGAAGAGCACGGCTTATGGAGGCACGAGCCTGATCCTCCAGCCGCTACTAGGTCATGCACCTGGGCACCTACTTCTTCATCGTGACGCAGATGCACTTGGATATCAGAGGATCTGGGCTCTGACGGCATGTTGGATTGTGTCTGGTGTTTTTTTGTTGCTGCTCGAGTCGTTTTGGTTTGCATTGTTGTTTGTTGCCTGGCTCTTTGCTTTTTGGTGTGCGATGTCTGCATCCCTGCGTCGTGAACTCGTGAAGTTCTGACAGTGTACTGTGTACCCACTGGTTCTCTTTAATCCCTTGCCCCTAACAATAAGACCCTCCGAATACAGAAGCCTAATGAAGCCTACCTGTCCCCAAAACCCGGTCCGGCAGTCGTCCCTTAGAATCTACAGACTTAGGGGGCAGAAGCTTGAAGCCTAGTAACCCTAAAGCCTAAAGAATCTTGAAACCTGCTCTATGACTCTATGACTAGCCACAAGGACGGGCTGTTTGGATAAGAACCCCCCCCCCCCCCAATACTAAAAGCGTCTTGGGGGTTGGGACTGTTTTTAATGCTGCGGGGAGGTTTAATATTAGCTGGAAGGGATTAGTTGCCTGATGTTGTTGTCCCACGTCTTTGTTGGGTGACGTGCCGACATGAAGAAGCCAAGACGCAGGTGACTGAGTGAGCCTTTGTTTTTTCTTCTCACTGGGTCTTTGGGACCGCGGTCAATAGGAAGACGACCAACAGACGAGCGTGTGTCATGCAAAGCATGGAGATGCAAGCGGGCACTTCACAGTCCTTGCCTGATTCTCTCAGGTTTTTAGGGTTTTCAGACCGTTGAGGTTCTTTATTTTTGTTGTGAACGACCGTGTTTTCTAATTTTAACGCTACGCGACCCGCCTCGGCCCGGCCCAGCGCATCCGCGTGAGCATGGTGATTCCGCAGCGCCCAAGTCGGGTTTAGGGTTCCGGGTTTATGGTTTATGGTCTGGGGTTTAGGGTTGAGGGTTAGTTTAGGATTGAGGGCTTAGGGCTCAGGTTCTTGCTTTGGGGTTTAGGGTTTTTTTGGGTTTAGGGTTCAAGAGACGGTTCGGCTTGGATTGATCGTAGGGTTGAGCCAGGCCCCTCAGGGGGGGTAGGGGTGGAGGGGGAAGGGGGGCAGAGGGGAAAGGGGGGGGGGAGCTAAGATTGAAGGTTTCGGGTTTCGGTTACTCTTCGTCCCCGGAGTTGAGCCTCGAAAACCGGGGGGCGAGGTGGGGGGAGGGTGGGGGGGGGGTGGGGGGGGGAAAGGGGGGGGGGGCCCGCTGGGAGGGCTTCAACTGCCTCTGGTTTTGGCGAACCGTCCGCTTGCGGACCCCGGTTTCCCAGGGGGGTACCCATTTGAGGCAAAAAAGGGGGGCCTCGGCGGATTTGCGGCCGTGCTCACACCAGTGAGCCTCCGGCCCTCAAGCCAGCGCGTCGGAGCAGGAAAACTCCGCCTTTCACAAACACCTTATGTGAGCAAGCGCCAAAACCCCCAGCCATTCAATTAAGCAAGGGGAAAACCCTGTAAAACGATGGGAACACTTGAAAAGCGACCTCTTGTTGCGTCCATTAGCACCTCGAGCCCAGCCGCTCATGGGCTTTTGGGGGGAGGGGGGGGGGGGGTGGGGGCCGGGAAGGTGGGGGGGGGGGGGTTGGGGGGGGGGGGCGGGGGGGGGGTAGGGGGGGGGTGGTCGGGGGGGGTAGGGGGGGGGGGGGGGGTAGTAGGGGGGGGGGAGGTGGGGGGGGGGGGGTGGGGGGGGGGGGGGGAGGGGTATTGGGGTGATCTGGGGGGGGCGAGGGGTAGGGGGGGAAGGGGTCTGGGCGGTGAAAAAGGGGGGCCCTGCTGGGAAGGGCTGCAACTGCCTCTGGTCCTGGCGAACCATCCGCTTGCGGACCCTGCTCACCTAGGGGGGGTACCCATTTGAGGCAAAAAAAGGGGTCCGAAAAAGGGCTTTGGGCCTGGGGGGAGGATTTGGAGGGGGGTGCCTGTTCTGACTACCAATACACCTTCGGCCCGAGGCCTCGGCGGATTTTTTTTTTTTTTTGGGGGGGGGGGGGGGGGGGTTGGGGGGCATGGGAGTTTGTCTTCAGCACAGGTCCATTTCTGCCTGTTCCTGTGCGTGTCCCTGAGGCAGCCATCTGCTTAGCAAGCTGTGAACAGGAGACATCAAGAGAATTCAGGGCCGCAGGTTCAAGCTCCAGACACTAGTTGACGTGCGCTCAGGCTCTCCAACGTGAACATGATGGACGCTATCAGGAGACTGGCCTGATTTTACATGCTTGGTATTGGCCAAGTTGGCCCGATCTCTACTTCATTTGCAATGGGCAGAGTTTCCCGACTGAGCGTGTTCCAGTGTTCCGTAGCGACAATTTTCGCGCAGGACGCTGACAACTGCCAAGGACGAGCTGCTTTCTAGCTTGTATCCTGCTGTCACCCACCCCAAATACCCACATGCCTCACATTTGTCGTCTGTGTGCAAAACAGGACACTGTCAGCATTTGTCCAATGCTTGCAGTGCTCTTCATTGAGTGTTGGGCAGCATGCCTACAGAGCAGTAGACCAGTAGACTCCAACGGCCAGCGGGCATGATGTACTTCATCTTGTGCTGGAGTCGAGGTCGCGGCAAACGACATTCGAACTCCCGCCGGCTTGTCTGGACCTCAACGAAACAAATGAGGGAGAGTGCCACCGTCGAGCACGGCCCGGCAGTTGGCTACCTCACAGGCCTGGTGTTCCGCAGGGTTTCGCCCAGGACTCGAAATATCATGCAGCAACGTGCACCAAAATGAAGGAACATGCCAGAAACATCTGAGTGAGATGCTGAAGCATCATGAGTCCACTAGGAATGCATGCTGCTTGCACAGCCCAACAGGACTACATGTTCGTGGCGACCTGGGCAATGCTGATGCAGCTGATCGTGGCACGCCCTGGCAAATCCGAAAGCCCTATGGGTGGTTCTCTAAATTAGGGTCCCTTTTTGGATCCCTATTCTAGTACGGCATCTAATATTTAGGATACCCCCAGAAAGGATCAAAATTTTGACAACCACCCATATAGAGTATGCAAAGACGGGTGCCTCGAAGCAGCTGAACTTGATGTGCTGCCTGTTGCGCAGTGCTTGGTGAATGGCTTCGTCTACACCCTGCCGAAGGATACAAATTCCAAGGTGACACTTCTGCACCCTGCAGACCATAGAAAGCAGCAGTTGAGTCGTCTGCAGCGCGTCTGCGGCACGTCTGCAACTGTGAGATGCGCAGAGGTGATGCGATTCTGTGGAAATTCCTTGCGGGGAGGCATGGTACTGTACCCGCCAATTCTTGCAGTAGCTGCCCCCGCCTGCAGGCTTTGTAGAAACCTGCAGAGGATTCTCCAAACCCCGCATTGAGAGTTTCCACAGCATTGGTAGGCCTCACTGCCATATCGATCGTGTTCTACCTCACACTCGTTGATGCCTGAGAGTTGCCTGAACAATCATGGATGCGTTCTTACTTGCAGCAGTGTCGAAGTTTGTGGATTGCCCCGTGTTTTCCTCGTGGAAGGTCACCGTCTATGCTTCAATTCTGGTGGCGGGCTGCTTAATCTGGCACCCTGACATCTGTACAGTTGGGCAGTGCCCGCAGGAAGCCGAGACTCTTCGCGCCCAGGTCTTGGTCTCGCGCTATACCAACACATCGCGAGCAGCCACAGGCCCTCGCCAAAGACATGTGTTACGAGGGCTTAGGATTTTTGCGTTGAGCATTCTCTATCCTTTCGTTCATGGGGTTGCCTCGCTTTCACCTCCTCGCCTCTGGGGTTTAGGCTTGCCCCGGCTTGCCTGCACGAATCTTACTTGTCAAAACAGCACCACCAAGTGACTCAGTGAAGCAAGGCCCAATACATTCTCACATCTGTGACCCTCAGCCTCTGTCTCTGATCCATGGTCTTTACCTCCTCACTCGACCCTACTTTGGGATCCTTTTGCTGCAGCATCGTGTTCTGGCAGCTTCTGGTCATGGTGTCTTGGCCGAGGTAGCGGTGCGTGGTTCGCATGATGCCTCTTCACTGGAGTGCAAGCGGGACAAAGCTGACTGCTCACTCGGCGGGCATCAAAACCCATGAGCAACATCGTAGCGAGCCTCCCCTAAGCCTGACAAGCTGCCGGATCCGTGGTAAATGGTAGAGTCAGCAGCGCGATGTATGTTTCATGCAGACATGAAGACCTCGAGGCCATACTCAAATGTTGGAAGTAGAATAGAGTTGAATAGACTTGACACAAACGCATCAAAGTGAGCTTGTCGGCTCGAGAAGACGTTCGACGGCGCGGCAACTCAAAAGCAGCCGCCAGAAGGGGGGCACCCGGGGCACCCCACCTTGAGGCGCTGACGGATTCGTTCTGATTCTGACTCTCCATGTGTTCCAAAGACTGGGGCAACCTCTCACCTTGCTGCAGACGGTGGACATGCCAAACGCTCTGCGGCGGAGCAGGCAATCATCACCACTGTGCGTGGCTTTAACCTCAGACTGGGGACCTAACTAACTTCTGGTGTTCAGTGTTTCGCTAAGAGCTTTCCGAGGTGCTCTTGCTGTGCGTGGTAGCCGCATGTGACTTCGTGTGCAGCCAAGCTGCATGACGGGATGGTGTTGGCGTCGCCTGGCAATGCGAGGGACATGCCGCGACAGGTGTTTGGCCTCAATCTGCTCTTCACGGCTCCAGCTGCACAGGCTGCCTGGGGACATCATGTGACATCTCTCACTGGAAGTCCCTTCTCTTGGGAGCCCCATCTGGAGACAGGTTGCAGTCCGAACACGCGCAGCCTCGAGCTGAAGCCCTAGCACGAGTAGACGCGTTGTTTCATGGCTTCAGCCGATGATCGCTTCTGAATCATCCCTTCTATCATCTCCCATCCCTCCCGCCAGGCACATCACCTGTTAGTCTGCGGGCACGAGAAGTGGATGAAGAGGATCTCGAGTCGACGTGAGCAACGATGTTTTTCCCGGGGGAATGCTGTTGTTTCAGGAGGTTTTGTTCAACTTCAACAAGAAAAAGAAGAAGAAGGGCTACGACCCCGACTGGGAGGCGGCTGCTCCTTCGAAGCGACTGCTGAACTTGCATGTGTTTGGTACAGTACCTCTGGAATGTTCCCATGATCTGCCAGCGACCATTCCCGCGATACATCGTTGCCGGCGGCTTCTTCTTGACCGTTGTGGGCCAGACGCTTGTCGCTCGTGCAGGAGCTGAGTTGACAGTTGCTTCAACAAAAGAGTTGTCTCAGGCTACTTCGGTGGCGGGCCCCAGCCCAAGCAGTGCTTCCAGCGGCCGCGAGAGAGAGAGTACATGGTGCGGGATTTCCAGAGCTTTACGAAAACGAGGCCAGCACTTGCCGCTATCTGGGGCCTCTGCGGAGCTGGCTTCGGGTTCGTATCTCAGAGACGATGGCTCCAAATTTCCTGTGAGACCCTGCTCGGAGCTCGGGCAAGGTGCCTGCTCGAGCCCTGGCAGACCCCTGATGGTGAGATCAGCGGGCTCTACTGGGAGGAGGACGATTAGGGAAGCCGCGCGGGGCTCAGCCAGGCCAACAATGTCAAAAATGCTCAAAACAGCCTCATGAAGAAGAGCTGCAGACCTCACTGCTCGTGACCCGCTTGCGACCTTGCCTGACAGGTACAGGTCAAGAGGAAGCAAGGGAAAAGGCGGGGTCAGAAGCTTATGTGCAGCTGAGAGCCTTTGGTCTGCGGAGTGGGATCGATGGGCCACCTAGCAGACCTATAGCCGACGCCCTTGATAAGTGTTTAATGGTGTGGGCAGCACAAAGAGTCAGCCGGTTTCATTTTCACCTGCCACACCGATTTGGACATGGCCCTGCGGGCCCAAGCTGATGTGATGCTAAGTGGCGTTCTATCGGTTCGTCGTTTTGATTCAGGGTCCGGTCCTCCAAGTCTTACTATAAAGCAGTACCTAAGCAGTGTCAACATCAAGCCCGGGCAGTTCTGAGAGTGGAGGGGCTCCGCCTCCCAAAGAGAGATGAAACACTTCCCAGAGTTTTCCGTTGGAAAAGAAGAGTGAAACAAGTGAGAAGGCGCATGGAGAATGCAGATCCGTGGGCCTGATGCGCACGACTCCTGCTTGTCTCTTGAAAGTACATTGATGAAAAAGCAGGGCATGTTGAAGCCATCGGCTCAAGCAAAAGTGGCTGCGGAGTTGTCGAACATGCGACATGCGCTTGCAGATCTGAAATTCATGTACTGAATATCGCTTCGTAAAAATGACAGACAGAATTGAGCCAGTGCGACTTGTAGCTCACTAAGTCTGGTCTTGTGCGATTGCTTCAGGCATGCTTGAGGCTCGGAGGCACCCGAAACCCTGAAGCCCTGCAGCCCTACAACCCTCAAAGCCTTCCAGCACGAAGCACACTCAAGTACATCGTCCTGTGGCAGCTAGAGAGCCGCCCCGGCTACCCCTCTGTTTCAAGTGGCTTGCTCTGCCTGAACTTCACTCGAGTCAAAGGATGCAGACTTGAGAGCTCGTACCCCTCCAGGCTGAAGCCGCGTCTACACTTTACAAGGATGTGCCCTGCCCTCGAAGACCAACAGGAACCTGGGGCGAAATGTCGGGTCCGGGCTTGGTTTAAGAGTGCAGACCTGTGCATGTCAACAGCTTTGCTGCATGGCTTGGCTACGCGCTCCATTTACTTAAGCAGAGCTATTGAATTAACTCACAAGGTGCAGAAGAGCTGTTCGCTGAAATTGTGCTTCGATGCCAAGGCTAGGCGAGCCGGCCCTTTCGTTGCCGGCGGACATAGTGGTGGCCTCAGTGCACTTAGTCTTGCGCTCCACTGTGCGACCCCAAACCCGCGTAAACGTGAATTTGTCACAGTAGACGGAGCTGCGCACCTGCATCGGCCAAGGCTTGGACATTCACCGGCAGCCTGGCAGAGGGAGCCTCAGAGCAGCGTGTGGCGAATATGAGGTCTTGATCTATCAGTCCTTCCTTTGTGTAGATTTCTTTTTGAAACGGACCATGCGTTAAAGAGCTGCACATGTAACTTGTGCCGCTTACTTGCCGCAGCACACCATCGCTCTAAGGCTTTCTTCTTGCTTAGCGCAGCCCAAGCTCTTCAATCGTATCTGGAGGCCCGACAAATGGATAGGACTGCATAGGACTCCAACTAAAAATGCCTTGCGACTGCGTTGTGGAGGCGAAGGCCAGCGACAACACTGCCGAGGACGGGTTCAGCTTCCTTCTTGGTCCCTTATCGCATCCACATCAACTATTACGATAGGTATGGGTAAGGAGAGTTACGATAGTTATGGGTAAGAAGTCCCTATTTAGAGGGGAGGGGGGGCTTTAGCCTTAGGCGCCCATTTTGAGTCAGAGTTTCCACCCGGCAGACCGAGCGACTCATTCGGCAGACAAGCCCCAGCCACTCTCTCGGACTTGGGGACTATGGTCAGTTCTCTAAACTTTGGTCCCAACTCATAAGTACAATATACTACAACAGCGACTTAGACACGACCAAAGCTTGGAGAATGGACCATTTGCTTTCAGAGACTTTTTGTTTTTCATGTCCAGCTTTGCATGCTTCTGCGGGTCTTCGGCTTCGCATCAGGCTGCTGACATTCTGATGAGGAGCCGCGAAGCAGCTGGCTTTCTTGTTGGAGTGGTGGCACTTGCTTCTTGCTGTGCAGACTGGCAGGAGGCTCCCGCTGCGACGACGCCTGCCGGCCTTTTGGTCGTGGCCATGGTGTCCCTAAAACAGCCCACAATTTGCCAACCCGCACATCGGTGACCGACTTTCAGTGCATTCTGGCAGTTGCAAATTGCAGAGCTGCTTGCCCTCGAAGCCGGATTGGATCACTGTGAGGGGTGGGGTGAGCCACTTGCCGCTGCGAAGCCAGGCGTAGAGTAGGGTTATGCAGAGTCACGATCCTAGTGCACGTAATGCAAGCAACTTGTGGAATGTCAAGTCCAGTCCTTGTCGACTCGTCAATACTCGTCATACTTGCCTTTCAGGAAGATGGCTCCTCGCAAGGCACTGGCTTTGGCATTGCCGGCCGCAGGCCTTGTAGCGGCACCTTTGTTTGTCACCCCAGGTCGGGGCCTCGTGAAAACGCAGAGATAGGCAGAGAATGTGAGAGAATCAGAGGGGGTCGTGTACGGAGACATTGTGAGCATGAACTTGCCCTGCCCTTTTCCAAGGCACCGTGCCTCGTGCATCGCAGCTGCTTGCATGCATCAAGTTTTTTGCGGTGACGGCGGCCACATGCGGCCGCCACTGGGATGCTTGATGTTGTACCCGGACAGTTTCACTTCGGGATGTGGCATGAATAAGCGATTCTGCGAGGCCTGTCTCCAGCCAGCCGACCCAGGACGATGTTACACTGTTAACTCACACCCAACTAAAGGTATGCCCAAAAGCCCTGCACCGTGACGCAGCCAGTGGCATTTTGTCTGCGTTTAGGATGTTTTTGCCTCTCAGGTCGTGTTCCACTTTCTGGAATTCCTCGAATGCCTGGCAGGACACTCGCTCCGGCTCGGTCTCGGCGTTCACAGTGGCGGGCTCCGCAGCGGCGGTCGCTGTGGCCCATGGGCTTGAGAAACTATGAGACAATTTTTACGCAGCGTTTGCAGTTTGCATGTCGCCTGCCTGTGCATTTCCGTGCAGGTCAGTGCTTCCACACGCACAAGGAGCGCGAAAGTGGTCAGACACTTCTTCGGCGGAGGTCAGACGTCAGCACCCTCCTTCGATCCCGCAAAAGAACTCGGAGTACAAGAGCCCGTGGGTTTCTGGGACCCACTTGGGCTGAGCGCAGACAACGATGAGGCCACCTTCAAGCGCCGACGCGCGGTGGAGATCAAGCATGGCCGCATTGCTGCCCGCCTGTGTTGTTCGCTGTTCTTTGTTGTTCTTCGTCGGTTTGTTGATTCTTGTCTGTTGCGCGGGGGGACGAAACATCAAGCTAGAAAGATACAGAACAGAAGTGCTGCGCTTCAATGCATTCAGTAAACAGCAGTGTTAAGAAAACCAAAGGATAGGAACACCAGAGGGGCCACGTCTTGTTTTGTGTGTGTGTGTGTGCGGCATGTTTTTGTTAAACCTGTTTTTGGTAGAGTGAGCCAGCTTGGTGGCTAGGCCGGCTAGGCAAGATGCACTCTTTAGCAGTGCTGCTCCAGAGCCCCCGATGCTGTGCCGACACCCACTTCAATCGTGGGTGGTGTCTGTTTGTGGAGAAAGCGGGTGCTTGTCTCATCTTGTTTCTCATCTTGTATCACACGCTGTCACCTTGATTCTTGGTTGGTTGTGCGGGCACAAGTTCATTGGGCATCTCCGTGCTTCAACGTGTTTCAATTAGCCCGGTGCCTCGTGAAATGCAAACGCGAAGCCACAGGCAAGTTTGAATGTGTCTGCTGGGTGCAAGCGAGGCGATGTATGCTACAATGGGGTATATCGTGCCGGAGTACTTCAAGTTCCCGGGCTTTCTTTCCCCATCTTTGGGCCTGAAGTTCAGCGACGTCCCCAACGGCCTGGCAGCGCTGTCAAAGTTGCCATCTCAGTTCTTTTACTTTTGGAGTAAGCGGCAGCATCAAGCAACGGGTAGCATGTTCTACAGTGTATAGCGTGGTGCAGTTGAGGCTGCCAGTTCTGGGCGGTGCTCAGATCATTGCTTTCTGTGGGCTCATTGAGACCACTGGCTTCTTCCAAGCAGACTCCACCACAGGAGGGCGCGGGCCGCGCGAGGGCAAGTTCTCCATGAAGGACTCCACAGAGAGTGGCGAGCCGGGAAACTACGGTGTTGGCTTCCCCACGTTCCTTGGCACGGTGGATGACCCGGAAACTCGCAAGTCCAAGCTTGCAGCGGAGCTTGCAAATGGCAGGCTCGCGATGATGGCGATCATTGGCATGTTTTTCCAAGATGGGCTGACTGGATCTGCTTGGGGCGACTGGTCACTTTATACATCCTCCCCACTTCGGGCGGCGGAGGCTGAGGCTGAGGCCACGCCTCCTCCACCACCACCCTTTGACCCGCGTCTGGAAATCGGCGTCTTGCCGCCCTTGGACTTCTTTGCCTGGCGCCGAGACTCCAGATACTGCACTCAGAAGGAAGACAACCAAACAATGTTCCTAAGGATCCAGCTGGCTTCTGCCCTGCTGGTGACGAGGAGCCATGGTGGGTGCACAAGATCCCAGACAACTTTGCATAACGTTGCTGTTCCTCTCGTGGCACTGTCATGGCTGTGGCTGAGAGGGCTGTGGCTGAGAGGGCATGTGCCCGCAGGAGAACTTCAGGAAGCTGCGTGCTGCAGAGCTGAAGCATGGCCGAGTGGCATTCCGGCTGCATGCATTGTAATTGAGCATGTGCCAATCGCCCACAAATCGCTACCAGCTATGAGCAGCTAGTGTTTTGGGGAGGTTCAAGGTTTGGTAGGATGGTGATGGGCTTTGCTTGCGGTGCGGTTGCCTGAACCCTCAGCCAGTTTTACATGCTTCTGGTACCAAAAAGGACCCATAGTTTAGATCGACCCTCAAATGCCAGCATTTCTTCTGCCCTGTCAACACCTAGTTTAAATTCCCCACCCGCTCTTAAAGAAGGGAACCCCCGCATTAGTGACTTAGAGAACGTTCCCAAATCAACCCCAAACCACAACTTTGACTTGAGGCCATGATGGCTGCACTGGGAGCTTCGATTCAGGCCTTGCACGCCTTTGCTGCACGGCACTTTTTTGGAGCGAGACATGAGGTCAAATTTTCATACCTGTGAAAGTCGAATGCCTGGCAGCACTACGTGCAATTCCCTGGCTTTGACGAAGTTCCGACTGGCATTGGTGCGGTGACCACTGCGCGAGTCCCTCAGTAGCTCGGGTTTTAGGCCATCGTGCACGGGGCATGCGCGATGGGACAGTTGCGACATGTTGCGACTGTAGGCCGGGCACCTACGGCTTCGCTGCACTTTTCCTGGTCAGTGGAGTGTCCCCCGGCACCAGAAGCTCTCCCAGTTCTAAGACATCTGAATTGCAGTTCGACGTGCGAACCTCTCTCAACCCTTCGCATCCTCTTCAAGCCATCAAATCCTCCAATGTAAAGCTCTGGCTTCAGTGTAGGCTGGAGCTTGCGCTGTGGACGGAGGACCTGGAATGACAAACATGGCAATGGACTCAAAAGCAGCATTAGCAGCACCAGCAGCTCGGAGCGCAGACCTGATTGCATGCGCAGGACCCCAGCAAGGAGCCGGGCAACTTTGGCGATCCGCTGAATTTGGGCCAGTATGACATTGACATGAGGCACATGGTGCACTAGTACTATGTGCAGTGGTCTGTGGCATGCTCGGTCTGCTCACGGAATCATACTGTGGAGCTCGGAGGAACAAGGAGCTGAACAACGGCAGATTTGCCACTTGCCTGCAGTTTCTTGGGCCGGAAGTCGAATCATCTGACTCTTGTCACTCTGCGATTGCAAGGCCATGTTCGCGGCCATAGGCATCCTGGTCGCCGAGCTGGTTACCGGAAAGGACGCTAACAAAGTCGAAGTCGTGCTATCACATGCTTGGGATAGGCAGGACATGGAAGTTAGCCGCGACTTGTGCAGTGTGCAGTCGACAAGGATGGCATCGATCAGATTGGCCTCGACACCCCTACCATTTAAGTGCGATCCCTGAGCCGATGGACAGCGTAACCAGCCCTGTTACGCCTCTTTGTCGGGCATGCATTTTCGGCATATTGATTCGATGTACACAGTGCGATTTTCATATGTCGCTGCAACAGGCACGTGCTCTAGGCATTCGCCGTGAGTAGCTGTACAGATGTGCAAGTTGATGTTAGTATCACTGCACGAGAGACTTCCAATTTTCGACCGTAAGCGATGAGCACGGCAGAAACCTGACGCCGCGGGTGCTTCTGCCAGAGCTTAGTGGTGCATTTTCTCAGGTATTCTATAGGGTATCCGGCCTTCCGTGCGTGCCTTGGTGAGGCAGTGCTGATAGCGGTGCCGAGCCTCGTCGGATCCTGATGCTGGTGCCAAACTTACAGTCCATCGACTTTCCAAGAATCGGTGGAAGCTTCTTGCAAGTTCTTCTGGTTTGTCGTTGTGCCTTACATACAAGTAGCTGTCCGCAGCAAATCTACACCCCAAACTTGCAAAACTCTCATGTCGATGTGGCTCACTTTGCAGCTGTTGCTGGGTGCTGTATTGTGGAGATGTGGCGGCGCTGCAGAGTCTCAGACACAGTACTGCATCATTGGTGGCGGCCCAGCCGGCATACAGCTGGGCCATTTCTTTCTGCACGCTGGACGTGACTACGTGATTTTCGAGAAGCAGGCGACGGCTGGCAGCTTCTTCGAGCAATATCCCAGGCACCGTAAGCTGATCTCCTTGAACAAGAGGAAAGTCAGGGAGGGGCGCAGCGAGGATTTTGCCTTCCGTCATGACTGGAACACCTTAATTGATGTCAGAGAGGCAGGGAGACGCACGCCCCCTGTTACAGAGAGGTCGAAGGAGCTATTCCCTCATGCATCTGTTTTGGTTGAGTACCTGAGCGAGTTTGCGGAGGAGCAGAATGAGCACATTCGATACAACAGCAGCGTTCAGAAGATTCAGCGTCAGGGATCCATCTTCGAGCTGACGGTTGCTTCACCTGACTCCCCCAGCCATCGCTTTCTTTGCGTCGAGGTCATCATCGCGACAGGCTTGGCCAAGCCCCGCCTCGCAAACCTGCGCGTGGACGGGGCGGAGCACGTCCTGGGATACGAGGATCTGCCGAGCTCCGGGGAGTCATTCGAGGGCCAGGCCGCTGCTGGGAAGCCAGTTGTGAGTCAATTGTGTCATAAATCGTATTGGGCCACGTTAGGGTATTACGTATGGGACTACAGCGTTGTTTTCTTTAATGTTGTATTGTATGCATTGCATACAGTATCTTCTACTTTTGGCTATTTGTGGTTCATGTGGTGTTCTTCTTTTTTCTCCTGACCCTGTTTGGATGTTGTTGGTTTCGTGTGGGTTCCTAAAGATTTTCAAGTAGCCGTCAACATAAGGAAAGGGAGGAACAACGGCGATGATACTGTGATGTACTGAGCTTGCTGGATGTTATTGGGCTACCAAGGTTCTCATCCTGGGTCAGGGAAACGCGGCTTTAGAGACGGCCCAAGAGCTGCAGCAATACACCTCGGAGGTCCACCTGGTGTCCCGGGCCCGGCCCCTGCCTGAGGGTGGTTCCGGTGTGCGACTGGCATACCAAACGCATTACGTAGGAGACATCCGAGCTGGAAGGACGACAATCCTAGACACGTACCTCTTAAAGAGCCTGGATACATTTGACTTTGATGGCATCGAGGCATTCATGAGGTTCACTGTGGTGCCATGTGGCGGCAGACTGTGCGTTTGGTATATAAGCAAGGAGGAGTGTAACAGTGTGCGCTGCCGTCAGCAACATGACATTGGTGGCCAGAACCTTTCGTACATGGTCGAAGTCGCAACTGTCCATGTGAATTCCACTCTTCACATGCGATTGAGGAGTATCGTTGAGAAGTATCCCGAGTTTGCCAGCAGGCTGCGGTGGGAAACTGAGGACGTTGACATGTTCGACGAAGAGAATGAACAGCTCACCATGGATCAGCTAGACAGGCTTGGCATTGACCCATCGGTTTTCAACATGAAAACTACGAAGCTGGAAGTTTCTACAAGCGCCTTGAGGGCAAACCCACAGCTTGCAGAAGAACTGTCTGAGATGAGGCAGCTGGGTGGACATGACAATCTACGGTATCCTATGGACCATGTCATCCGCTGCTTTGGATGGGTGTTTGATACACAGATCTTTGATTCCTCCTTGCCGATCGATCTTGTGCACAATCGCAAGTACCCCCAAATCACTCCAGCTTGGGAACTGAAGGGTGTTCCCGGCATGTATGCCGCAGGCACATTAACCCACAGCTTGGATTTCCGCAAGTCTGCCGGGGGATTTATACACGGCTTCCGCTACACGTCGCGCGCTCTCTTTCGGCTCCTCGAAGAGAGGAACTTCAATGTGTCCTGGCCGCAGACCTCCTGGCAACTGCCGGTCACGTGCAGTGCGCTGAACGAACTTAGCGATGCAGCCAGTGACTGTGACCCCGAGATCCCCGAAGCAAGTGACAGCTTCGATGTTGCACTGGAGCCGCTGCTGGAGATGTTGCTGGAGAGGATCAATGGAGCCTCAGGACCCTACCAGATGTTTGAGTTTCTCGGAGACATGGTTCTTTTCGAGAGCCGCTCTACGCATTTGCAGCTCCGCTATTTGGAGGAGGTCCCCCTAAAGCACTTCCACGCCCGATACAAGAACGTCTCGCGCCTGACCTGGGTATTTCGGTACAGCGACTCTTTCCATGGCCGGAAAGTGCTTGGCGAGGGGAGGGTCGGAGCGACCCGCGCACAAGATGCTCACCGCTCGAACTTCCTCCATCCGATGTTGGCATTTTATCCAGCTGGGGCAGTGAACGCCACCATGAGACACTGGCTAGTCGAGGATGTTTTCACACAGTGGCGCGGACTTGACGACCGGGTGCCTCTGGCCAAGTTTCTACATCGCGTTACGGCGAGTATGATCTCTTAAGCCTTTAACACTCTAAGAGCGAAGGCAATTGCAAAAGCTGGGCTACCATTCTGTCAGCCCAGAGTCTTGGTAATAGGCCCCTCCCCCCCCATTAATGTTGACTTCGCATTAGTAAACCCCCCCCCCCCCTCATTGATCAATCTCAGCGGCCAGGGCCTCCTCAATAATGTTCGCCTAAATCCTGGTAGGACGTACTATTAGTTTTAGTATAGGGTAGTAGCACCACGCCCGTAAAAACCGGATTTCCCGGGTCGGATTTTACAATTGTGGCGGGCTACACTATTGTGTTCCGGCAGCGGGATTTTACAATTGCGGCGGGATCCACTAATGTGAAGTCAACATTATCCCGTAGTGAGTGTTGGCATTTGCTAGGTGATTGGGTCAGCGCTCTCTTGTCTGGTACTAGGTACTATCTTGCCTCCAGCCTCCAGCCTCCAGCCTCCTTCCCAGGATGTGGATATTCCGGTTGTGCGCTGTGCGTTCTCGTTCCCCCCCCCCCCCCCCCCCCCCCCCCCCCCCCCCCATGGTATCCACATATACGTCCCCGCTCCCGCCCTAAACCCTGAGCCCCCCGAAACCCCCTAAAAAAAAACCCCCAAAACCACAAAACCCCAAAACCCCAAAACCCCAAAACCCCAAAACCCCAAAACCCCAAAACCCCAAAACCCCAAAACCCCAAAACCCCAAAACCCCAAAACCCCAAAACCCCAAAACCCCAAAACCCCAAAACCCTAAAACCCTAAAACCCTAAAACCCTAAAACCCTAAAACCCTAAAACCCTACGCCCTAAGCCCTAAAACCGTAAACCCGATATAACCCTAAGGCCTAAACCCCAAAAACCCTAAGCCCTAAAACCCTAACACCCCAAACCCGAAAAGGGGGGGGGGGGGGGGCCAGGGGCCCACCGGGGACGGTCGTCGGATATCCTGCTTACATTAGGAGTACCCTAACTCCATTTCGTGCCCCACCCACTCTGAGGCCCCTTCTTCTGGTGACCGCGATGGGTGCCGGCAGCAGTGTGGCATCGCAAGGCCACCGAGAAGTAACTTCCAGCTCAGGTAGGCCGAAAGAGGCTCCAAGCCGAATTATTCACAATCCTACGTCGGGCATGGGATGCATTATTCATTACAGCCCTCAGCATCGATCCTTCCCACATGCTGGGAACTTGGCCCTGTTGAACCTTCAGGCAAGAGGGAAGCCTCACACCACTTCTCTTTCGGAGCGAACATCGCCTGCATCTTAGATTCCCGCAATGGTTTCTGCAATGACTCGACAAGTACGAAACCTGCCTGGAGGAGCCTGAGTTGTTGTTCAGTGCACAGGTGATCTTCACATCAGTTCTCTGGCGCATCGCCGCAGAGACACCCGAGTCCGCGCGCTCATGCCTCCGGAGGCCTGCAACGTGGTTCGGAACCGCTTGCACGTAGTGGAGCTGAGCTTCGAGCTGTTGCGTGTGAACAGGTGGGGGCCCTTTATCCTTGCCACTTTCGGCTGCTGCTTGGTCATGCGACAAGCTCAGGACCCACTTCCATCTGTGCCTCACCTTGTCAACCCTCTTTCTGTACGGACCGGCATGGGCCGGGGCAGGTGGGATTCTTTTCGGCACATCTTGCTCGACCATGGTGGAGTCATTGCCTTGCTATGCACGGCAATGCGCGGGATGGGGTGATGGGCGGCTTATGGCTGATACTTTGGTCATCCATCCAAAAGCCTCGTTGTTGAGGTCCTCTTTCCAGAGGAAGTGTTGGCAATGCAGTAGCCTCACCTCCACGTCGTAGTCGAGCACGTCGGCTTGTGATCACAGGAATACTTTGAGGAATCCTTGGCTCAGGTACCGTGACGACGGTGGGCTGACAACAATGGGCCACATCAGCCAGTTCACAACGATCACAGGGCCGTGGTCTCATATTCAGTGCAGAGTAAGTGGCCGGTAGTCCTTGATAGACGAGCATGCGTGACGGACTTCTCTGCACTGCTCCGCAATCAAGGTTCGTAGCATTCCTCCTAGGCCGGGTTCTCTGCGCCACTGAAAATATGCTTGCCACAATAGAATTACGTCTCCCTTGTGTTTTCGGTTGCTGCTTCATGCGTGGCAGGTGTCATTTGGTTTGTGCTTGCCGCGGGCTCACCGCATCGATGTGGGCTAGCAGTTGCAGGGAGCAGATCTGTTCGCGGCATCAGGAGATGCAGCCATACAGCTGAGGCACCAAAAAAGCGCACGCAACTTGGTACTGGAGTTGCAAGGGTGGTGCTCTCCACGTCATGTCGAGCTGTATGGTTTCATGTGTGTATATCGATGTATATCCCCGGACCCTGCCTGCTGCGAGGCCGAGTCCCCCATCAGATGTAGGGCAAGTCTTAGTTGCGAAGTGTCACCTCAACGAGCTAAAGAAGCTCATCCAAGCTCCCGTCAGGCTTAGAGGAGGCTTAGGTATTGCAAGTTCGATGCTGTACCAGCTACACGTGCGAGTGAATTGTGTGCAAGACCTGCTCAATGTGAGCAGCAGTTTGCATCGCAATGAATGTCATGCTGAAGCTGAATCAGTTGAGGCACTTGCAGAGAAAGTTGGCCTTGCAGAAAAGGTCAAAAGAACAAGTTTCACGTGACTACATGCCGTTGCATAAGCCGCCCTGAGCCATGTAACTTTTGTTGTTGTACTTGGCACCGACGATGCTGCACGAGAGCAAGTTGAGCCCTTACCAGTAGCATGATGATCTAGAATCGGCATGCGACCGAGAGGGTACAGAAGTAGCAGTGGCTGCAATGCGTCTACCAGCACTTGGGTTTTTTCATGAAGGCAACTAGTGTTTGTGGCAAGACCTCGAAAGTATTTCTCTGAAAATTTCAGCACACTGCATGACGAGCAAAGCTGGATAACTGCGATCATTTGCTCTGCCTGCATGAAAGCGTGTCCCTACGATGGGCAGCTGTTTTTTGCTTATCCCGCGCATGCGGCCGGTCACAGGCGGATAGTTCCATCCAACACACCACATCGACCTGCGCACTGAGCAAACATTCCTGTTGGGATTAAATATCTGAATAATTCAAAATACTGTTGGGACTATCTGAATAAATCAACATACCTCAAAGGGAACATACTCTGACTTCTGGCAACGCTACCAGCTACCTTAGGGGTTGCGTGTCCCTGGCTGTGCAAGATGCCCAGCCCAGCTGCCAGCCGTCCTTCCTATCGCTTTCAGCTGAAGCCGCAGCGATTCCGAGAAGCGCCTGAGCCGGTTCTGAAGTCCTTGACGTGGAAGTCGGCTCCGAGCGAGCCTGATGCCCGTGAGAGCGATGCTTTCTGGTGCGCAGCAGCCTCCGAGATCGCCGACAAGCACGTGAAGTCTGCTTTCGGGGGCTTGAAGGAAGCCCTCCGTGCATTTCGCGCCGAGAAGGTCGAGCGACCCCCCAGATCCATGCCTGTGGTTCTGGCCCTGGCTGGAACATCAGCGAATGACCATCATGCCACAATGCGCCGCGTAAGAGAGCTGCTTCACCAGGAAGTACCAGGCGTTTGCACAGCCCTGGTTCGGCCCGGTGATTTCGACAGCCTCGCCGCTGCAAATCGTCGCATTGGCGAGCAGCTGCTCGCTGACACGATGGCCCGCCAGTCAGAGCCACAGGAACACCTGGAGCACCAGGAAGCAGACGCTGGTGAAGCTTGTGACGACGAGGAAGACGCGTGCGCCGCGGCATCAAGCTTCGTCCGCTGCCATGCGAACTCAAGGTGCATGACCGTCCTGTGCGTGGAAGCGGCGGATGCAGCACCCAAAGACGTACTAAGAGATGTCCTGGCATACTGGCACGTCAACTGCATGGCTGCTAGCATTCCTGTCGTGGCATTCCTCGGGCCGGTGCCTCAGAAGAGGGCCTAGGGTTGGGGGTTTTAGGCTTGCTGTGGAGTTTGGAGTGCCTGGGAAGCCATCGTGAAAGCAGTCAGCTGACAATCGGAATAAGACAATCTGCAGACCAGTCAGGCTGAAACGGTTGAAAGCAAGTCGAGCTGAGCTCTTTGACTTGGGGAGCGTGGCTTGGCAAAAACGACGGACATCTAAGCGTATGGGCTCCAATCTTGGTGTCGCTCACCCCAGGAGCCGGGCGCGTTCCATCACACTCAGACTGTGTCTGGCCCTCGGAACACTCTGTCACACAGCCTTGTGCATTGTCGGTCAGCACTGAAAAGCTCAAAAGAAGTAGGGCAGGGTGGGGATGATCGTGGATGCAGGTGCTTCTTCGACCCCGAGAAGGTGTTTCATGAACTCCTGAGCAAGATGAAGGAGGCCTGAATGGCGAGGGTTTATGGATTTATGCGCAGTGAGTAGCTGTGGACACCCCATTGAGGTGCATTCGTGTCCAGCTGTGCGAGCACCAGATGTGCAGAAGCGCCTGAGGCAGCCAGTGTATTTCTTCCGAAGGTACGGAATGAGCCCCCCCGTTCTGCTAGCACCCCGTTCTGCTGGTTGCAGGGGCATCTTCCGGCAGCGTCAGCAGAGCGTATCCCATGTCCTACAGATGGTTTGCCTGCTGGCTGCCTGAAACTTACTGCACTCAGCCGATGGTAGTGGATGCAATGTTGAACTCAGCAGTGGGGGGCGTGAAGATAGGTGAAGCTTGGGCGCGACACCTCAGAAACCCTTCAGAAAGAGGACTATAGTAGAATGTATTGCACGTAGATCTGCTCGAGGCAACTTGCATGCTTTAAATTCGTTCGACATCACTGTAACAGTCGAAAGGACGCCATGCAGAGAATTTTTTTGCGGACCGTCTTGACACATTTTTTGCCACCCTGGGAGTCATCCTGTGAAATCTACTTTGCACGCAGAACTCCACAGGCACCCCTTCGGTGTCTCCTCTCTGACTATTGATACAACCGTAGCAGAAACACAAAGAGAAGAACCGATTGGGGAACTCTAGCCCTTGTCTAGTGTAATGTAAAGAATCTCCATGATCAGTCAGCTGAAGATCGAGGCGAACGGCTTCGACCATGGGCAGGCAGGTTCTTCAGTGCCATTGTGATATACTGAGACAGAGCACTTGCGAAACGCGCACGACCCCACGAGGAGGCTCTGGATGATGCCGAGCGGCACTTGGTAAGGAAGACGGAGGCTTTGATCTCCGCTTTCAAAGTTGTTTCCCGCCTCTCACCCCGAATGGTCAGAGTTGGGCAGCGCAGCGGCATCTCATGACCCGGCTTGATGTTCTGGCCACGTGCCCGTGGCCACAGGGCAGGCTGCGCATGCTTGCCGCCGAAGAGCCACATGATGGTGCTGCCAAGGATGCCCGTCTCTCGGACCCTTGTGCACGGAGTGCTCACGGTGAGTAGTGTTGCTGTATGGACTTTACTCTCATGCTTTCTGCCGCCTGGAGATGGCACCAGGCAGGCAGCCCACTGCGAGACGCTGCTCGCATCTACCAGTGGCTGGCTCAAGCAACACGCGACCATGGGAATCTCCCTAACGCTCACTGCCTCTGATAGCCGCAGTGTTGAGAGAGTTGCTGTTTTATGGCCGAGGTATTTGGAGTGCTCTGTTGGGCGGCAAATCAAGGCATGTGACGTCGCCTCGAAATGGGGCGGCGGCCCCCCCCGGATGTGCTTTCGCCAGCTTTGCCAGAGCCAGGTCGCGGATCTCTGGGCCTCGTGCCAGAAGAACCTGTTTACTTCTGTGGCTGATGACGTGTGCGGCTCACTGCAGTAGTTCGCTACACCTCGTCATATGAGTGCTTCTAGTCGCTCTTTGTTTGCTGGGACGCGGAGCCGAGGCTGCTTTGCCCAGATTCCAGCATGCCCTAACCACGCTTCACTGGCTCGGGCCTGGAGCTTACAGTAGTCTTCAGAAGCGAAGAATCACAGGGCATGGGCTTTTAACAGTGAGTACACACCCTTTTTCGCCTTGTACATAAGCGACAAGGCTTTATGTAGCAGAGTGTGTGCGTGTGGTTGCTTGGTTAGTTGCTTGTTTGCTTGCTTCTTTGGCTTGTTTGTCTGTTCGTTCGTTTGTTGTTTGTTTGTGGAATGGAGGAGCAGGCTTGAGTCAGAGCGAGCAGCTGTAGATCCACGAGCAAATTCGCGATACCGGCACATCGACGTTGTCTTGCACACTCAGGATCGTTGCTTTCGTACGCGGTGCCGGTCAGAAGCCAGCTGCTTAGCGCACACACTTTTGGTCGCAATGCTGTGGCAGTGGCCAATGCCAAGGGGCGCCAGTGGGTGGCACCTAAAGCGGCGTGTCTTTGGACGCGTGCGCGCTTGCATCCGGTGCGGGAAGCTCTCATGTAGTGGTTCCAAGTTAAACGATTCGCTGCTTAGCTGCCTTCCATTGCGTCAACATGATACTCTCTGGAATGCTGGAGCCACGTGGTCGAAGGTTGCACGAAGCCACAGGCTGCTTACTCAGGCGGGAAATCCTGGCAAAAGGCTAGCCCGAAAAGATGAACAGGATGAATGCCACCTGCACAATTGGGGAGGTGGCCGTGTGGGAAACCTCCTCGTATGGGGAATGATGTGTCCCATCTGTAATGGCTCAACTGGCCAGACACATGCCTGAGGCGAACGAAGTTCATCAAAGTGTTGCTCCATGTTGAGGGGAACATCTATTGAATCTATTGCGTCTCGCAATTCGATGGATTCCCCCCCGCCCCCCCCCGAAACGAACATGCCAAACGGTGTTCACCATGTTCCCTTTCCGAGACCTGCTGTCTGGTGCCCGGCTTTATGCTCTGTAGACTTTGTTGGGGTAGGGGAACCCACAACTCACGGCATCCTCGACCCTCTTCTGAGACAGGTATGGTGGTACAAAGAAGTGTCCAAGCGAATGCAGGCGCCTTCGGCTTAAAAAGAGGCAAGGTTGCGAAGATCGTTGTGCCTGCAGAAGCGCTCTTGCCAGGCACACGCCTCTGGCGAGCCAGACAAAGCGTCACCAAGCAGGAGTCTGTCAAGGCAACGGGCTGCACCTATAGGCATGAGAAGTCAAGTAAGTATGTGAAGCTGCTTGCAAAGAGTCTGTCTCAGTGTGCGGTTGGAGTTCTCCATCAAGGAAACCGATCTGAGGTCGGAGATATTGATGTCGCCAGAAAAGGCACCTGCGTGATGCCCTCGGGTGTCCTCACTTCTGACGCCTCACCGATTCTGTCGAATCGGCAGACCAGTCACTGAGGCCGCAATCCTTCACGTCGCCAGTCAAGGTACCTATGCGATGCCCTCAGATTCGACTCTTCGGCCCCCTTTACCCTAAACCCCAAAACCCTAAAACCCCAAGTCCCAAATACCCCAAATACCCTATCTGAAGCCCTCTGTAAGCCCTAAATGCCCCGAAATGCCCGAATTTTCCCCCTAAGACCCCCAAAGCCCTCCAGAGGTCACTGGAGCCTGGCCCCGGGCAGCTGCTCAAAAGGCTCGGACTCTGCTTTGGGGGTAAAAACTGGTGTTTTTGAAGGGTTTGTAGGGGTTTGGGGTTCCGAGTGTTGTGCCAAGACAGAAGCATGTCGTGTCGAGGTTTTTTGAGTGGCTTGGGGCAAAGTTTGGCACTTCAGGCTGCCATATCCGCGAGTTTTCGATGTGGAAGAGGGAACGCCTGGGGCTTAAAGCGACACCCAGCAAGTTTTGAAGAGAGCTTCCCAAGTTGTGATGCGAGGTTCACTACCCCGCCAAAGAAGAAGCAGCGCAATGCAAAGATCATTCATGGACCAATCGATGTAAACTGACGCGGGCAGTGGAGGCTGCTTGGGTAGCATTGAATCCTGTCGACTGCGAGAAGGCAGTCCAGGTAATGCTGTGGGGTGTCGGACGGCGAGGGGTAGCAGAGTCGTCCGCGTGGACAAAAAATGAGTTGCAATGTGGGGTTCGATTGGTCATGAACATGGTAGCACTAAACCATACACGAAGTTCTGGACCGTACACTTGAGCAATGTTGTGCACCGGTGAATTTGGTGCCCGCTGCATCGATGCCGTGGGCGCTCAAGGGTGCCTTTGTGGGGGCACAAAGGCCGTGCCAAAAGTGCAAAGGGGCAAAGGGTTCTCTGAGGTAGGCGCTCTACCCAGTGCCTCGACAGCGAGAGTTATAAACAACTGAAAATCTAGGCTCTAGACTATAGGCCGGTTTTGGGAAGGTGAGGCAAAAATTTCGGGGAGTGTTTAAAAGTTGTGTGGCCAATGCCTGAGGACATGCCGCCCGAGGGTGGTGCCGAGGAAGCATCTGAGATAGATGGCTCCACACCGGCTTCAACTCCGGCCCCCTCGCCTCCCGCATCATCTCCTATAGATGAGGACTGGGTCAGGCTGCCAGCAAAAACCCCCAAAGAGCCTCGGAGCATCTTCATGCCGACTTTTCCAAAGGACAGAGACACAAGACAGACTCCGATTAGCTTCCGGGCTCAATTGGATCTCCTGCTTGATCGGTAGAGCACAACCATCATCAGGAGTTGGAAGTCTTGGGGCCATGCCCTGTGTCGCATACTGACGTACTGTGGACGTCCAGCGCCTTTGCACCGAGGCGAGGGCGGCAAAGACACGCCAAAGGCAAAGCTGGACAAGGGCCAGAAGACGTTCAAGGAAACCAAGGGCACCAAGGAGCGCTCTTCTCTCGAAATCTCTTTACACGGTTTATAGGGCTTATTTTAATCTGCCAGGGCTTAGGAGGTTTTGGAGATAGCTTCAAGATGTCTCATGGCAAGTCTCAAATTCAGTTGCAAGTTTGCTTGTGCTGTCTTGTGCCTGTTACACAAGCAGCCTGGCAGTCTCAAGTCTTCCAGACCGGACCTGGCCAGCCAGGGCAACAAGCAGAGGAGCTTCGTCGCATAGCTGTTGGACCTGATGTTTGTTGCCGCTTCGTTTGGCGAGCTTCACTGCGAGGAAGTGATGCTGGCCGAAGCGGAGGAGGACCATCAGGCCCAGAGCAGCTCTTCGAAGAAGAAGAAGAGCGAGTCCAGCAAGGCGCGGCATGATATCGGACTGTGAGCCGCAGCAAACCAAGGCAACTGCACCCTAACCAAAGTGCTGAAGACTGAGGTGGGCGAGAAGCCCAAAGGAAAGAGTGACAAGCTCCATGGCCCAGGCTCAAAACAGAAGACCAAGGCAGGTGAAAAGAAGGCCGCACAAGATCTTCCCACAAGGGGGATTGTTCCTCTAAATAAAGGTCCGTTCTTTGCTGGGAGTTAGTAAAGAATCCTAGCTATGACAGGTAAATAACAGGACCCTGATTCACCCTCGTTTCCTTCCAATTTGCCGTCCTCATCCAGCGTCTGACGCACGCAAATGAAATCGCTGGCACCCACGACTTGCCATTGACACAAACATGCCCTTTTCCGGAGTAGGGTAATTCTCTGAGCCATGGGGCTCTGACCATGCAAGTGCCATCTTCTCGTCAGTACCCGAATGAAATCCGAATGCAACAAGAGCTACCTCTTTGAAACGGCTCACATCGGGTGGTCAAAAACTGCAGCGGATGCTGGAAGCTACTGCAGTTACTGCCGTAGCCGTTGTGGTCGACATGCCTCTCGGTCCTCTCGGATGCAGGGAAAAGAGTCGAAGCCTGGTGAAGGGGCTGATGTGGAGGCCCTGAGGGCGCGCCGTGTTCGACCTGGTCAAAAGCAGGGCATTTTGAGAGCTTCCGTAGTGTGTCTGTTCCAGGGAAAGACTCCAAAGATGACGGAGGGAGGAGAGACCGAAGGTGAAGAATCGGTACAAGGCGGAAGCACCCGGCGCGGCAGAAAGAGGCGTTTCGGTTCTGCCCCCGGGAAACCAAAAGACAAGGGCGAGAAGATGGGTGAAAAGCAGGCGGGAGCTGAAACAAAAGCAAAAGCCCTAAAGCGCGCACAGCTATTTCAGTTATTTCAGTGGCGCGTGCCAGGGCAAGACAACTGCGCGCCGTGCGGGATGCATTTTCCCTGTGGCTCGCATCCACCGGTTCCTCAAGTCGTGCCCCGCCACGTGTGACCATCGATCCCCAGGTGTCTGACCACTGTGTACATTGTGTACTGCTGTGTATTGAAAATTTAATTAGACTCTGTGTGCCTCAGAGGATGTTCGTAGCAGGTACGCGACGGCAAAGATGCGAGTCGGCGGTTCTGCTGGTATCTTCACGGCCGCTGTGATGGAGTACTTGGCAGCAGAGGCAAAGTAGAGTGTAGAAGTGCAGTAAAGTAGGGCATCGTATGCTGTGGCCAAGTGATGTTCCGGGACACAGACTGCAAGCGACTAGCAGCTCCAACATTTGCGTGCCAGGTGCTGGAGCTTGCTGGCAACGTTTGTGGGGACCTGCTGTACTGAAGCACGTGTTCCTGCCCTAAGGTAACCAGGTAGTTGCTGCAGTCGGCGTGAGGTAGATTTGCGCAGGACTATCACCTCAAGCGCATTACGCCGCGGCACTTGCAGATTGCAATTCGCAGCGATGAAGAGCTTGCCGGCTTCGTCAAGGCCTGGCCTGCGAAGTACGGCGAGACCATGTTTCTTCGTGATGTTTCTTCGCGACTGTGCTAGCTCAGGGCATCGAGCTATGAGAGCACCTGTGAGCTTGCTGCGAGGCAACGATTGCTGGAGGGGGCGTCATCCCAAACATCAACCAGTCCTTGTTCCCCAATATTCGGCTCCGCGAAGATGAAGCGTACAAGGCAACGAAGACGCAAGAAATCAATGCCTGGTGAGATACCACTAGAGACTTCTCTCAACAGCACAGAGACATCGACTTGACAGGTGAAGTTCACATCCAAGAGACAGCTTCACATCGATCCTGGAGCCGAAATGACTCCGCGTGCGCAACATGGGTTGCTGCGGAGTTAGAAGCATGCTCCTGGCTTAAGCGCACTACTCTTGAAGCGCTTCGAACATCCCCACCCTGCAGGTAAGGAATTTGCGGGCTCTCTCTGGGGTTGGGCACTCTCTAAGGATTCTCTGGGGATACTCCGAGCTTGGGCACTCCAGGGATTGTCTGGGGATACTTTTTTAACTCCAGGGATTCCCTGAGGAATGCTGCTGGGACTGGGCACTCCAGGGATTCTCTGGAGATAGTGTGAGGTTGGGAACTCCAGGGATTCCTAGAAAAACACCCTGGGAGTTCCCTGGATATCTCTGGGGATACGCTGGGCTTGGGCTTGTCTGGCGGCACGGATTCTTTGAGGATGCTCCGGGCTGGCCACTCCGGGGATTCTCGGGGGATAGTCTTGGGGCTGGACACTTGTCTGGAAATTCTCTGTGGCCAGGGATTCTCGGGATGCTCTTGGGTTCTGTGGGGTTCCTCTCGGTTGGGCACTGCTGGGCACTCCAGGGGTTCTCCTGAAAATACTCCGAGGCTGGGCACTCCAGGATTCTTTGGTTTGGGGAATACTCTGGATCTGGAGAGGGATACGGGTGATGCGTAGACCGGACGAGCTTTGTTAAAATCTAACAATCCCACACCGAGGGTGGGGAATGAAAGCTGTTGCATTTTTTGCGTGGTGCTTTGCGACAGGTACGGACCCGGGCCGTTCGGAAAGGGGCTCACGAGTGCCAAGCGTTGCAGGAGCAACCCCCCAGACGGAGGATGATGAGGGCTTCCCTGGAGATCCGAAGAAGAAAGGTGAGAAGGTGCAAAAGAACAAGAAGCCTGGGGACAAGAAGAAGAACAAGAATGCAAAGACAGTGCCTCCTGCCAAGTACTGAGAATTCTGAATGTACCTTAGCTCGCCTGGCGAGAATGCGAGAATGCTGAGAATGCTGCGCGGTGAGAAAATTAAATAGTCCTTGACGTTTTCGTGCGTCTGATCCGGGGGCCTTTGCCGACCGGAGCGAGGGTTGGACATGGCCCATCATGGCCCAAGCTTGAGTGTCTGACCACTTCGACTACTTGGCGTCCGTGACCGAGTAGTTGAGTGGTGAGCCTGCTCAGCTCGGATTGATAGGCTTGTCGTGCTTTAGCCTGGTGCTTTGCCAGGAGCAGGAGTTGTCTCATAGGAAACGCCCACTCCACCTCTCTGCCCCTTCTGCACAGCCTGGTTGGGCTTGCCCGGAGATTGCCTGGTAAGCGTCTGTTTTGGTGTGCAGCCATGTCAAGCCACGACCATACACCTAGCCATCTTGGCCATGCGACTTGAACCGACTTCCAAAGTCATGCGACCACTACACATTGGAGCATGAGTTGCCTCCAGAGCGTGTGCCGGTCTTTGTCTCGCCCACGACGCCCTTGCTAGAGTTCGACTGTAGACAAGATGGCTGTACCGATCTGTCCTGCTTCAGTGTCAAGGTCACGCCCACTGAGTTTACGCCAGCATTGTGTTTGCAAATGGGGTCTGCGCCCTCGCCAACCCCGATGGTTTTGTGATCTTTAGCAGAAACAGCAAACACCTGTTTACGATACATTGTTGACCTCAAGCAAGATGTCATTGTACTCGTACTGACTGGTCAATTCCAGTAAGCGGTTATCGAGCCGGTTAAAGGGGTAGATCAGCTTTCTTCCTTACAGAAAGTGTGCATAAAACCAAGAACGATTTCAAAAGCCCGCCGGAAGCTTTACGTGCAACTTGCAACCATTTCTTCTTCAAATCCTCTCGGAGAGCATTCCATATCCTAAACCCTATACCCACAGCATCCTAAGGCCCTGTCCGCAAAACATCCGCCCTGCGGACCACTGTCGGAGAACATGTCTTCTGAGAGGTTCCCATGAATGTAGATATCATAGATGCCATCGAAAGTATCCGAAAGGGTGATTCGGTTTTTGGCATATTACATTGTTACATTGATATTGGGAATCTTTTCCCATGTAAGAGACTAGTTTTTTAAGAAATCATAACTTGCATGTCATCAAGTACATTCACCTTCATCCGAAACACTCATCCATGTACTTGCACCAGCTCAAGACAGGTTTGTACAAGGAAGACATGCCAGCATGTAAGTGGGCGTGAGTGATTCTAAGGTGTTGCGCTCATGCTAGCCAACGTGTTTCTCCAGATCGCATGCTAAGAGCCTGACAAGAACCCTCACCACCGAGCAGCAGCTCACCTGCTACAACCCATAGGATCTCTATGTGTGCTTCTTTCAATCCATGCCTAATGCCAACGTCTCTATACCTTAAATACTTGACGTGCAGTGAAGAGCAGAGTGCTTGCCTGCGCCATAGCAGCCATAGCACCACGGTGGATGCTGAGGGCCCGTCCGCGGGCATGCAGGGAGTTAAATTGGGGTCGGTGCGCGAGCCGCTTGTGTGCAGGATCAGGCTGAACATGAAGGCCGAGAGCGAGAAATTCCGATCCCTCCGACAGATGCAGCCGCCTTGGAGGCTTTGCGAGTTTTTGAACACAGCCTGAAACGGCGCCCACAAGCGAGGACTCGAAGCTAACAAAGCTAGCTGGACTCATGGGCCGCAGGCGCATGCGAGGCACTACCCCGCAAACTTGGTCATCACGTCAAAGTACACGATCTTAAATTTTGCCCGAGGCCCAGTTGGACTTCCGCAGAAAGTGAGGAGCGTGCCATGACACAATCCATCTAAGGTTCCCCTAAACCTTTGGGAGCAGCTTCATAAAGCCGCCAACCGGTATTTCCTCTTCATTTCTGTGGTCATGTTCATAGGCAGCTTGGCAGGTTCTATGAGGATCTTTGCAGTTTGGGTAAGGCCCCTGAACAAACTGAATGCGTGTTTTGTTTTGGAAGCCAAGGCAACTACACTCCTTTATTCTACGGCTTCATTAAGTTTTACTCCACATTCGCAGCTTTGCTCATCATGATGACAGCATCAGCCGTCATTGCAGCCCTTGACGACAAGCGTCGCCATGAAGCTGATGTAATCACCAACAGTCAAACAGCTCACCGACTCAGAGTCCATGGAGGCAAAGGCGTCCTAGAGGACGTGGTTTGGGCAGATGTGGTGGTTGGTGATGTTCTTGTGGTGGCTGGAGAGGAAGAATTCCCTGCTGACCTGGTTCCACTGGCCTCATCCAGCGAGGGTGGGTGCTACGTGTCGACCGCCAACCTCGATGGCGAAACAAACTTGAAGCTCAAAGAATCAGCTTCATCGACGCAGCGGGCTTTGGTCCGCGGCGCGGACAACGCGCGGCCGCTCTTGGACCAAGCTGTTGAGAGGCTCAGTTCCCTTGCTGAGGGTCTTCTGGTGGCGGAGGCGCCCCAGAAATCCATCCACACCTTCAAGGGATGCTTGCGCCAGAGCGGCGCCGAAGAGCCCCTGAGCTCGAAGAACTTCTTGCTCCGTGGCACGGTCCTGAAAAACACCTCCTGGGTTTTGGGAGTGGTGATCTACACCGGACCGGAGACACGGATGGTCATGAACTCCAGAAAGGCCAAGGCCAAATACGCCAACATAGAGAGGGTAATCAACCGCTCCATGTTGGTGGTTGTTGGTGCACAATGTTTGATGGCGCTCATCAACGATATCGTATACCTCGCGACCAAAGAGCAGTTCATGAGGTACTGGTACCTGTTTCCAGCCGGAGAATCCCGGCAGATCATTCTGCCAGAGTGTATAGGTTACTGGCTCACCTTTTTCGTGTCCGCGCCTCGAACCAATTTGCTCCCATGAGTTCTTTTGTGAATTCATCGGCCTGTCGTGAAAGGCTTTATTCGAATTTGATGCCCATATCTCTTTACTTCACAATGGAGGCCTGCTCAATTTTTCCGAGCTCCCAGAAAGCTTTGTAGAAGGTGTGCGGACCGCTTTTCTGAGCACTGGTCTCGCTGTCACACTGTCAGGTGTGCAATACTGCGCAGGCCCGGGTTTGGGCTCCGGCGACCTGCAAGTGCTGGGAGTTCCTTGTTTTCAGTCGCAGGCATACTTCATCAAGAACGACATTGAGATGTATGACGAGGTGCGGTTTCTCGTAGGCACAGGTCCTACGAGGCATCTTCGAGGTCATGGTCGCAAATAAGTCGCCTCAGTACTCGATCCTTGAGCATTTGCACAGGCACTTTGTTTGTGTGACATCGTGCGACTGCCAGGCCCAAGACTGCCCAGCAAACGCTCGAACAACGTGCCTCACAAGCAAGCAATTGCGATGCAGCTATGGAGGGTTCGATTCTTTCGAGGAAGATGTGTATGCTTGGGTTGGTCACTGACATTTTGCTTGTTAGAGGCTTATGAGGTGCAGACGGCAAGTTTTGCGAGAGCTGCTCCGACGCCACAGGAACCTTTGCCATGAGCTTGGGCAAGTCTCATACATCTTCTCAGACAAGACGGGAACGCCTCCCCTGCGTGTTTAACAGAAAGAGCTGCTGCGAGCACCGGTTCTGACCGTGCTTGCTGGAATTCGAAGCGCTTCTGGTTCCGGCAGGCTGACACAGAACGTCATGGAGCTGAAGCGCCTCTCCATTCAAGGCATGGAGAAGCTCATGGAATCGCTGTCTGCTGGCAGTACCACTGAGCTGTTGTCAAGGTGACGTGTACGGTGAGGTCGGAGAGGCCACCTGAGATTTCATTCTTATCTTTCTTGCCTGTCTCTCAAAATCGGTTCAGGAATGTGGGTTCCAGGGTCGACCGGCGATGAAGCTGGCGAGGTGTCCTGCCTTCTTAGGAGACTGCTCCTTGTGCGTGGCGTGCTGCCTTGTTCATCTCCGATCAGTATTTATAGTTGAGAGGTACAGTGACTCCAGAAAGGCTGCCGGCATCGACGCAGCGCTTGAGGCCGAGAAGCGCTGCGTCATCGAGAAGAGCGTCTGAGGATTTTAAGACCAGAATTGAGTTGCCTTCCCTTGGAGGTGTTGGCGGTGTCGCATACAGTGGTCTCCACTCGCGATCGAGCCGGCAACCTCAAGTACGAGGCTCGCACCGAAGTGCGTGACTTGTCTCATCTTCGTTTCTCACAGCACAGATGACAGGCCGAAAGCCCCGACGAAGGTGCTCTGGTTGAGGCTCCGACCGCGAAACTGGACCACATTCCTTTGCCACATGCGCTCAAGAACTAAGGCTGTGAGCGACCTGGGCTGGAGCTTTATGGGGCGAACCAACGAGGAACTCACAGTCGAGGCGATGAGCAGAAAGACAGTTCTGACTCCAAGAACAACTGCGCCCACATGCACAGGTGGAAGCTGAAGCCTCGAGGATACCTAGGGTGTACCAGGTTTTGGCCGCTTGCTTGCAGACAGCAGATTCAGCTGATGCAGAGCTCATGGGTGTCTGGCTTTCTGGAGAAAGCGGCAAGAAAGGAGCCTCTCAAGACTCAAGAACACACTAGTCATACGAGTCATACTTGTGTGTTTCCCAGCGGATGCCTCCCATAAGGGCCTGAACGCCTTCACGTCAGCCAGGCGGTTGCTGGTGATCTTAGCTTGTGCGCAGTGCTGCTGCTTGACCTCTGCATCGTAGTTTTCACAGTGCCTCGTGCAGGAAACGACAATCCGTTGTCGTAAGACGACCTTCCGGGGAGGCTGGGCGTCACTGTGACACTGTGACAGGCAGTGCAGGTCCTTCCAGAGTGTCAATTGCAGAGGCCCTCCTCCTCGTCAAGGGTGCGGATGATATCATGCAGCAGCTGGCCAAGGATCCGAGAACCTTTCCGGAGGACTTCTGGCAATCTGCATGAACAGGTTTCACGTGATCTCCACTCCGTACTGGCACACAGAAGCAGGAGCATCTACAGATGTTTGCCAAGCAGGGCCTGCGGACGCTGGTTCTGGGGAGGCAAGTTGCGGCAAGTTTGCCACATTTCGGGACGCGGATCTCCGTGGTTCTGAGGAGGGCATGAGTGGCCTTGCAAAATGTCCAGGCGCTTCCTCACAGAGCAAGAGCTCCAAGGCTGGCAAGCCGACTACGCCAGGGCACAGTCTTCCATGGAGGACTCGAGACTTGAGGGCATGAGGGCATGTTTGGCAAGCCACTTGCAGCTTCATTGCGCCGCCTCAAGAAGCACAGGACAGAGAAGCTGCTCTGGCAGGTGTTGCTGCTCGGATAGAGAGGCCAGATTTGACATCCGTTTTCGTCCTTCATGCTCCATGTCTCGATGGCATTATTCTGGCTTGGCAGTTCACTGGAGATAGTCGGAGTCACAGCCATAGAGGACAAGTTGCAGGCCCGCCGAGCTGTTCGGAAGGGAGGTGTCGAGCGTTCAACCTCAGAAGGCCAGCTTTTGCCGCAGGTGGGTGTGGAGGATGCGATCGTCAAGATTCGGCAGGTTGCCCGACTGTCTCGCATGTAGGCACGTAGGCAAGGTGCCTTGAAGAGCTATACTGGTTGGAATCGAGAGTTCAGGGCATTGGGCCTTGGGTTGAGAATGAGGGAGTTGGGGTGAGAAGGTCGGTCTTTGTGGGTCCTTACTAGTCCCTGTTTTGGGCCAAAGGCTGGAATCAAGCTCTGGGTGCTGACCGGCGATGCTTGGCCACCTCTGGAGGGGATTAAGGCCGATGCTTGTGTTCGATTCGGTAGTCGGCCGCAACGAGGGGGCTCAGGGTGCGGATGAGTGCAGTGTAGAGGGCCGCGGAGGCCGCTAAGTTCGCCCTGGACAGCACTCTCCGTTGGCAGAGTTTTGGGTTTGGGGGCTTTTGCGCTGCTTGATCAAGCGTGCCGCTAAGGACAAGTTGGAGACCGCAAAGAACATCGGTTTCAGTACACAGGTGCTGAGCCACTGCCTGAGAACCATGCACGGAAAATGAAGAAGAAGAAGAAGAAGGAGAAGAAGGAGAAGCGGAAGAAGAACAAGAATAAGAAAAATAAGAAGAAGAGGCAGTGATGAGGCGATTTCGCAGTGGTGTCATTATGTTTTGCCGAATGCATGTGACTTCTTGAATGCTGAGGCAATGACATGGAGATCATGTGCTTGGATGCATCCCCCACTGCAATTGAGGATGGCCCTTCACACCAGAGTTACAACATGTTACAGTAATGTTACATCCGTTTCAGCACGGTTCTCAAGCATTCTGGTACTGGAGCCCCTGTCAGGACGACCTTTACAAGGTGCTCCAAAGCTCCAAGAAGGCTGGAGCACTCTGTGTTGACAAGACTTCAAGAGTTCATCGCCTGAAGGCTGTGGCTGCCCAACGCACGCTGGCATTGATTGTCACGGGCCACGCTCTAGAGGTGCAAACATGCCTATGGGCTAGGGCGTACTGCGGCATCTTGTAGAGCATCTCTCGCCTTTTGGTTTCCAGCTTGTTGGTTGGGTTTTGTGTCGTCTTGGCTCCAGGCATTTGGCTTAGCTGTGCTGTCGAGGGAAATATTGGTAGCCTCCCTGTGCCAAGCCCCTATTGTGAGCCCTAAACCGATTGGCAAAATCGGCAGGAGATCTTGCAGCCCTCGAAGAGGACCAGCTCCAGTGCCAGGCGATTCGAGTGAACAGTTGCCGAATACGAGGAGCTGTGCGTTGTATGGGTTGCCCTTCGCGCGTCTTCAGGCTACCGGCTGCCAAGCACGAAGGAATCCTCCAAGACCAGTTCTTGGAGGCAGCTCAGTCCGTGCGATGTTTTGGCAGTGTTGCTGTAGGGGATGGTTCTAGGTCCGGAACAGCTTCCGTGTGGCGCAGTTTGCAGGTGGCTATGGTCTGTTCCGTGGTGATCGCCTGCCGCGTTTGCGGCCTGGCCTCTGACATCTCTGATGCAGAAGTTTGTAGTGATGAATCGATGATGCTGCCTGCTCTGCCTTTGTGGCGACAAGGTGTCGCCCTCGCAGAAGGCTGAAATCGTCAAGATTGTGAGGACTGACTCCATCTGTTTCCCTGTATCCTCCAGTCCGACAGAGTCTAAACACTCCACCCCCAGACAAACCACTCACCCAAGGCAAGTGCGGGGTCAGCGCCTGGAATTTTCCCAAAGAAGCTCCGAGGCCCAAAATGCCTCAACACCAAGCCTGTTTCAGGGCCCTCCTTTCCCAGAAACCTTGCAGAAGATCATCCTCGGTCCCTTTTGGAATCCTTGTGATAAGGCGGCCCCTCTTATTCAGGGTACCCAAAAAGGGACCATCATTTACAGAACTGACCAAATACCTCACCATGTTCAATGCAGGAGGGGTGTGCACCCGGCGCCCGTGACGTTGGCAATAGGCCGGCTTTGTGGGCGCGTGCCCTTTTGGGGATTCACCTTGCGCAATTTTTACTAAACCCTAAACCCCTAAATAACCCTAAACCCTAAACAGGGTAGTGGGGGAGCCTAGGGCAGTGAACAGGTGATGGTGCCAACGATGTCCCGATGCTGCAACAGGCGCAGGCGCAGTGGCTCTGATTTGCTCGACCTTGCAAATTCTGACACAAACCGGAGCCCTAAAACACTGGCTGTTCGAGGGCTTCGGGCCTACAAACACAACACTTCCGCGAATCCTTGACCAGGTCGGTGTGGGTATCTCCGGAAGGGAGGGCAGGCTGCTGGCTGAGCTGGCTTGAAATTGGCGTTCGAACAATCTGGAGCCATGTTACACTCGTTGCTGAAGGCAGGCGGTGAACTCCGCTGACTTCGCCATCTCGCAGTTTCGGCCCCAGCCCCAGCCTCCATACGGCAGACGTCTTGCAGGGATTTGGGCTGATGTTAATTATTATCAAGGAGTAGAACTGCCTGGCATCTCGAGCCCTTGCACTGCGCAGAGGTACCTGGTCAGACTGCTGCTTGTGCATGGTCGCTGGAACTATCAGCGTGCGTGTGCTTTAGCTGAATGTAGCAGGTGTTGTGGTCACCAAAGTGCAACCAAGAGTTTAGAGGTGGGTTTTTGCCAATCTCCACTCTGTTGTCGTTCGAGGTAAGTTCGTCATCTATAGTTTCTGGAAGAATGCTGTGCACCTGAGCTGCAAATTAAGTCGTGAACGGAGACTGCTCTGTCCGCCTCATGCAGCCACATTCTGTTTGCATCCCAGGATGGTGCGACCCTTAGACGGCGCAAGCTGCGGTTGTTCTTGATTCGGGGCTCCTTGATGGATGAACAGAGTGTTCAAAGTACTTCAGCAATCTGTGCTCTTTCCTGACCTGACAAGGTCCTCTTGATGTTTTACTACACCTTCTACTCCGGCTATGCAGGCCTAGAAGGGCTTCCGGTTTTGCACCGCAAGTGTAGGTGATAAAAATGCAAAGGGCTAGCCCCGCCTTGTCTCGCCCTTTGCAGGTCAGAGCCTCTTCGAGGACATGGCTGCTCGGCATCTCACGAATGGTAGATCATGGCTTCGATGTATCTTCCAGTGTTTCTTCTGCCCTGCGAAGGTGCGGGCTTCGTACAACTTCGTCCTTGCGTTTCCTATCATCACAACCGGCATGTTCGAGCGGGACAGATTTTTGCGAATCTGTTGTGATTCGCAGCTCATGTGCACCGCATGGGCGGCGAGGATGTGGAGGAGGAGCAGGTCTTAGCCAACCCTGGTCTCTATGTGAATGGGCGTGAAGGCGGCCTTGCCCAAGGAAACCACAAATGCACCTGGCAGCACACGGCGCTGGCAGAGCTGAATAGCAACGAGATTTAAGTTCCGACATATACCTAATCATGTATCTATCTCACACCGATCATTTTTTCATTGATGCCTCTTGTACAGATACTGTGCCCCCCCATCCCCACACAGAGCAGATCCTCTGAGAGAAGCAGGCCTTGATCTCAATGCATCCAAACTGGCGTTGACCTCGGCAGGGAGATTTGTTTCGCAACGAACTGTGGAAAAGACATGCCAAGCGAGCCATGACTCTTTAAGTCACTTTAGGTTGAGATGCTTCTTTCTGCAGCAGTCCACTCATGCGTTATCGGCTTCGTGAGCCCCTGAGTCACTCAAAACGGCTCATGAGAGTCTCAGACTCTTTCTCCAGAATTTGTTCAATGTGCAGTGATTCAAGTTGGTGATTCAAGGTCATGCTTCTCGTCTGTCGAGACATGTACCTCTTGCAAGCGGGTGACTACTACACCTTCGGCACGATTGTGCCTTGCCAGTGTTTCTGAACAAAGCCAGATTGACACCGAGAGCACCTTTTGAACAACGAACCCGACTCAGGTGTTCACCGTGCTAGTGATTGCGATGAACTATCGGGCCGCATTCCTTACGAGGACTCCTTAGCCGATGAGTCTGGGTCACCAGGCTGGAACCAAAGTGAAAGAATTGTTCCCAAATTGCAAGCACCCAAAGCATGAACCATGATGAATCTGAAGAATTCGACAGGCCGTGACAGACCTGTGTACCGTGTGTAAAGGTGGAAATTCTTATGTTCCATGTCGCTCCTTGTGCGGCACCTTGGCTTGGGTCAACCGACAAGGCTTAAGCCTGCGCGCTTTCAAGCCAGAGCAAGTAAGACACAGTCAGCAACTCTGCGCAGTTCAAAGCAGGTTCAGAGCAGGGGCCTTGTAGATCGCACGTGTGGGGTGGGGGTGCATTCTTACTTCCTCCTTTGACGGCCTAAGCCCCTAGATTTTCCAGAGACTCGGAACTGGCCGCAGTCTGCAAGGACATGGAACTGGGTGACGGTTGCTGGGCAACTCTCCTCCTTTCTGACGTACCTGCATCCCAGCTGCATATCCCGAATACAGGGGTTCAGGGTCGAGGGCTTTAGAGCAAGGACACTGCGATGAGTTCGGAAATCCGCTGTTGGATGGCTCAGATTGGCTGAGGTTGTTCCTTGCTGTCTACTGCAACAAGTCGGTGAGTGACCAACTCCAGCCAGACTCCACTTGTGATGCGTGGACTCCTGCACGGTCTTGCTGGCACGCGTGGCCTAAGGCCTTGGATGTATGGCGTGCGCGGCCTACATCAGATGAGAGCCCAAAAAAAGCCAGCCCCAAGACAGAAATCAAGTAATGTGAGCGGGCAAAGTCAGATGAGTCAGATCCATGAGACAGGTTCCCACACGCATGCTGAAGTCTCCTCACTTCTGGTGGCCACCTCAGATCCCCAAACAATGCGAGCATCAAGGATGCACAGAGCATCGGAGAGCGTTGTTTCAACAACAAGCACCCAACACAACACACATGCACTTAGTGGGTACTCTGAGAAGCCTCTGCGACGCCCTCTCGGCTCGTCCCTTCTGTGCCTTGTGAGGATTTGTGCTTTCATGGTTCCGGCACTGGCGATGGTTATTGATGTCTTCAAGGTCGGGGCATATCAGAAATGCCGACTCACCTGGCGGTGCCACACGAAAGTGAAGACTCGAAGGCCTACCTATTGAGCGAATTCTATCCAGATCGTCTGCCCCTCAGCTCATGCATTCTTGGGCCAGCCGCACTGACTGGGCTTCAACAAATGTCTCTGCATAATGGTTCCTTCTTGGGCCGCTGGCAATGCGGGCCCTTGTATTCAGAGCACCCGAAGAAAGTGCCTAGACCATGCTTCGGAGAGCTGGCTACACAGAGGGTTGGCTCGATGACTGTGCTCGTTCGTCGATTGCCAACGAAGTGAAACAAATGAATCAACTTTGCAACGTGCCTCCACACAAGGCTTACAGGTCATCATGGAGCGGTGGCAGGCCCCTCTGCATAACATGTTGTGTGGGGGTAGGTGAGTTCCGTGGCAGAGGCCAGAGGGCGAATGAGGTGTGCATGGTTCACATGTTCTTCCAAGTTGAACCCATCTTTGGCCATCTGCCATTCTAGCCGCCTTAGTGCCTTAGTCTTGCCGGGCATGCTCTCATGTTCAGAGAGGGAAGGCGAGATGTGAACAAGCCATGTTGATACCCGGCACCTCGCCAGGAAGGTGAGCACTTCTTGGAGGGAGAGAGTTTCCTGGAAGAGGAGGCACAATCGGGCACGTTGGTCAAATGCGATCATGTAGGAGCTGAGGTAGGAGATTCTCGTTGATGGCACGGCATGCCCGTGGACAGGCTATTTCAGAGACTGCCCGAAGGCCAACGCGAGAGCTTGAAAGCTCCAGGCCTGTGAAAGTAAAGTGGGAGCCATTGAGTCCCTGTTTCTTACAAGCAGTGTGTCAGTTGAATCTCGTGTGTGTGTGTGTGTAGTCACCAGCATCGGAAAGTGGACCAGCCAGACAGGACATCACCAAGACCCAGCTTCGATCGATGGCTCGGATCTTGGGCAGCCAGCTCCAGGTTTGCCAGCAAAGGGACATAGCAAACAGGTTCAGTAGCATGACGCAGTTTCGCATTCTAGCTACTTGGCATGGCTCGACATAGTTCCTAGATGTTCCGGGCCCAGGTCCTCCTACGACTTCGCACACCCTGGGGGCGAGCCAAGGCTGTGCGCAACAAGGATCTTTGCGACTTCTGAGCTCAAAAAGAGATCCGACCTGCAGGCATCATACCGCCTTCAAAAACTCGCACCCCACAGCGGGTGATCTGTCGCTGGTTGGGGCCTGCGACCTGGGGTGAGTGTGAGTGAGTGAGTCTGGGCTGGGTTGTGGGCCTTTTTTTTTGCGGGCCTCCACTGTAGAAGGAGGATGTCACGGGATGTCTCATCGTTTCGGGTACAGGACCCATATCTTATATGAACCCTGCGTGTGTGCGAGTATGCAGAGGGGCTTCGGCAGTGAGTGCTTCTCGGGCTAAGGCATCGGAGCATCTTGATGGGTACAGGAGGAGAGCATCTGCAGATGTGCGCCGCTCGCGGCTGCTCTGGCTGCTCATGTTGGTGTTCGTATGTAGTTGTGCTATGTTTTGCTGGAAGATCGTATTGGAGACAGCTGTTTTTGTTGTGCATGGAGGACAGGGAGCAACATGAGCAGCTCTGGCGCTGGCACTGGCGCGTCGTTGCAGCAGCTCCCCTCCCTGGAGGCACAATCTGCGGTGGAAGATGCAGTGCATGCACAGCCTATGATCCGTCACTCTGCCAGCCTGGTCATGTCAGGAGAGCGATTCGTTTTCGGAGGAGCAGGGTTCATAACCGCGAACTCCCTTCGGAAGCTATTCCCAGCACGACGGCCAGGACTCGCAAAGAAGCGACCTGGCAGGGAGCTCGACATGGGGTTGCTCTAGATGGGGATCCCCTTATACGGGTTCTTCATCTGATCACAGGCACCTACCCCCCCCCCCCGGCACAAGGGGGCTAATTTGGGTAAACACCTGGGATCGCAGTTGGAGCTAAGTGTCCGCCCAGGGGCACAACCAGAACTCTCCTGACCGCGGGCGCCTCTGTGTTAGGCAGAATTCGCTCACCCTTGGTGCCTTGCAGTCCTTAGGCGCGCGGGGCTTTCTAAGGCAGCTGTCAGTTGGAAGCCATGTGAGTACGTACTGTGGCGACATGTATGGCAGCTCGTTGTGGTCGCTTTGGTGAGTTGATGTGTGTGTGTGTGTGTGTGTGTGTGATGGTGTGCGTGTGTGTGTCAGACGGTCAGACCCTAGGCCCTGAACACGTGTTGATAGACATGCCTGGACTTCATCGACGGCAGTTTTGTGAGTAGAGCCTACTATAGTTACTAGAGGTTCTCGCTTCGCTCAGCAGAAGCTCCGTCGCCTTCAGATCGAGTTCACAGCGGGAAAGGTGCGGCTAAACGGCAAATTCCGATGATTCAATGGTTCTGCCTGCTGGTGAGCTGCGCTACGGCAGGTCATGGCAGCAGCAGCTGTTGTGGCCACCTTGCTTTTGTTGTTGGGCTTCACCGTCTTGCGGTTGGGGGAGCAGGCTGTTGAGGCGGGTCCAGCCGATTCCTGTGCTCCCGCGCAAGAAATCACCGTGGTTCCTCTATGGGCCAGGTCCGGATCCGTTATGGCGGAGCAGTTCGCAAGCATTCGGTTCCGTTTCAAATGGGAGAAGATGTTGCGTGCAGCTCAGGAGCAGGCTGAGTCAGGCCACTCATTAAGTATTCAGCAGACAGAAGGAGCTCCTCTGCATAGAGCTTCAGTACCCTGCAACTTCAATGAAGATTTCAAGGCTGAGCATTCGGCTGACTGCGACGCATCCGGCACCTGCAGCCTGCAACTCTCCCTCAGTCAGGAGTCCTGACGGCTGTCTCGCAGCATGTCAGAAGCTGCAACGGCACGCAGACGGCAATTGCGAATGATTGTTTTCGCCGGGCTTTGCAAGGACATGCCTGCGCCTGTTCGGTTACTCTACCAGCTGGACCCGCAACTCAGCCAGTATCAGTCTATTTGTGGCCGGACGTGCCCGGGTTGCTGGCTTCTTGCATGCTTCGCATGGGGCGTGGGAAAGCCACAGGTTCTACCAGAACTTTCCTACCTACATTGCCTCAGGCCATGCTTCCACAGATCCCCAATGTGGACGTTTCGAGTGGTTGAAGGCAAAAAGAGTTAAGGGGCCCCCTGGAGGCTCATCCTCGGGAGCATGGGCAGAACTCACAGGCGGCCCGGCATAGAAGTAGTCTGCTTGGAATCGTTGGTTCTCGCTCATCACGCCCTGGCAGACTTGATCCATCTTGATTCAGGTGCCTGGTTCGGACACGAGGAACGGCTGAAGCCGCAAGCACAGGGAAATAACGGTGGTAGTGCAGTCTACACCGGCTTTTCTGCGGTTCCATGTGGTGCAATGAGGCATTGCCCAGCGAAGCCCACACGAATGACTGACAGTGGAGATGTCATTTTCCCGTGTGGATTGCAGGCGGGTGGAACTCTCTTCACAGTTGGTCATGCAGATGTCTGCATATCCAACAGGTTGTCGGAGCAACCGCGAACCCCGCAAATCTGATCAAACCTGCAGGCAACCAGTCTCTTCAACGATAGCTTCGAGCGCGGCGCTCAGCCGCCGGAAGTCTAACGGATCCAGCCTTACTCTTGCGTCCACCCGAGATTGCTCAAAGGTTGCGGAGCGGTGGAGATGCCGCTACCTTGGTACTTTTACACAGTTCTCAGTTCTGAGCATGCTTCTTGTAATCGGCTATCTGCCATCGTTTGGCCCTTCCTTCAGGCTCTCCAAATTAGCAAAGAAGGTGTGGGGCTGGCCGAAGACCTCAGCAGGTTCGGCTGCATCACTTCGATCCTTGAGTCAACCACCCACAGCATAGGGCACTCGCGAGGATGGCGAATCCTCCGGGCTATCCTGACAAGCCCCTCGTCGTCCGGAGCTTGGGCGATCTACCCAAAGTCCGCTCAAATAGACTCAAGGAGCTCAGATTGAAACGTCGGCACAGCTGCAAGGCCTGGCTCTTTGAGCGGTACCCTGAGGCCTTACCCGCCTCCCGCCGCCAAAGCAGTGCTGTAGCGTAAGCAAAATCCCATACACCACGCGTTGCCAATCCATGAACAAACGCAGAGAAGGCCAGCAATGTCAGGGCGTTGGAGCTTCGACCCTGCGAATGGGATTTGAGTCGGCCAGACGTTGTTGCGAGCTGCGCAGGTGATTTCAGCTGAGCTGGGCACAAAGGATCCGAATTTTGTGGAGTGGATGAGGTTGGATTGCATGGCTGCTGCCTTTTTCGCAAGGATTGCCTACTTGTGAGCAGTACAAGTTGAATGTGGCTCTCAAACCTTGCGGAGGCCTAGCGCAATGCCCAGCCTTATGAAGAACATTGGTCAATTGAACGTTGCGGCCCGGGAGTCTCGAGATTTTTTTCTGCAGAGTGGTCGTGTACACGAGTATCTCCAGTGTTCTGAGTACACTTACGAAACCAGCATCTATTGGCATCCCTTGTCGCTTGTGACATCTCTACCGTCCCGAGGTGCCACTTCTGCGACATGACATGCTGACCCTACAAATTACGGACAGGCAAGTCTGCGAATTCCACCAGTTCACTGTCCGTCTGACTCTTCGATGAGTTACGAGCCGTGCGCTGCTAAGAAGCGAGGTTTCCCGTGTCTCATATCAATGTCACCAAGACCCTGGTGGTGGCCTCAATTGCTTGGGACCCCGTCGTCAGGCTGAGCCATTACTTGTACATGCTCGTTCCAGCTGGCCAAGGTGCTGCTCAGCCCAAGCTTGCTTGGTGGGAGGTCCAAAGCTTTGAGATGCGGCCTGAGAACCCCATCATGGGCCATGCCATGATAAAATCTTCATTCTTCTTCAACTGCATATTTGACCTCTTTGGGCTAAGAGGCAGTTTCTTGCTCTACGCCGGCTGCTTGTGTTGGCTTCTTGCAGTGATGGCAAGAGGCTCAGCCTTTCTGGGGTTCTATCCGAAAGTCTATGAAAGCCTCAGGGAAAGCTACTAGAATCTACCAGCGGTCCACAATCTAAGAATCTAATCTAGTTATCTGCCTCTGAGGTCTTCCTCATCAACCGATTCTGCAAGCGCACTCCTGGGCAACTCCGCTTCCGGGGCTCGCGCATGGCTTCGGAGGCCTGTGGCCGCTGCTCACAGATACTGGTAACAAAGCTGGCACAGCTGATGTCTTTAGCGAGTTCAGCTGCCTAGAGTAGCTTCGTTGACAGCGTGTCGAAGATGCCAGGATTCTGAGAGCAGTACTGAGAGCGATGAAACAGTCTAGTCGTTGTCAGCAGAGCTAGACAGCTAGAAGGTCCCTGCTGCAGTTTCAGTTTCACTGAGATCAAAGCATCTTTGGGCATGGTCCAAGCAGGCCACTTTCTGGGCTTCCACGGGCATTTTTTCCAGAAATGTGTTCGTGGCATGTTATGTCAATATGTGTCCAGCTGTTAATCTTCATGCCAGCTGACGACCGATTGAGCTTGACCAATGCGTTGGTTCCTTGGTTCCGGCAATTTTTGCTGCAAGGCCCGCAGAACAGTCACGCACTCTCTTAAACCATCCCCTCTAAGCCTGGCCAACGGAGCACAGCCCAACCCCCCAACACCAAACCCAGCAAAGACAGTCACAGCAGCTTCGAAGCAAATAAGTCCATGCGCCCTGCCGCTACAATTGCCTAACTTCTCCAAGAGTACGTCGAATGAACTCAGCCGTCGGGGACTGAGACCATGCGATTCCCGGGTCGAGAGTCTAGAGTCTTTCAGGGGAATGCTACAGGATGCAAATGACCCCTCTTCATCTCGAGAGTCGTCGCCTCAGAGGATTTTGTCACTGTGTATTCGCACGTTGCTACGGGATGCTGTGGCCAATTCATGTGAGCTGGTGATGAGCAACAGGCCTCGAGATGCGGCTGCCAGCATAAGCAGCAGGGAGGCCAGACACCTATTACCTCGGCAAAAGAAAAGCAAAGAAGTTATGTTGCTGCATGGGGTCTTTGAACTTGCGGCAAGCAGCTCTTCCTGCTTCCAGGCGTTCTTTCCGAACGGACCAGGCGCATCTTTGGCAACACGCTGCCCATGTTGCGCTTTGTGCCGAGGTGTTGATGCTGGTGTGGTTTTAGTGATGGTATATGATGAGTTCTCGAAAGGCCTTGTTTGGCTTCTCAAATAAATGGGGACACGAACCATGATCTGCATCAACTTTATGTGTTCGCTATGAGATCAACTCGCAAGCTGGCCTGACTCTTGAAACTCCACACTCCTTATAGAATTATATGCCAGCGCAGACCCCAAACAGTGAGAGACCACATGAGTGACACGCGAAGAGCATGTCAAGCTCTCTCCAGACACGAGGAACACAATGATCAGCAGCTGCAGCGACAGCGAAAAAGCATGCACTTTCGAGCCACTGGACCTCCAAGTCCCTGCGTCCTCGGCGTACCCAGTTTACGCTACTGCGCCTAGGTGGGAGCGCGATGACCAACATCCCGAAATGCAAAGACGCCCAAAAGCGACGACATCTTCGCATTTCACGAACCCAAATGTCCAAGGGGGTCCTAACGAGAGCGTCTTCCACACTATCTTCCGATTGGACGATGGATTTCCGTCGTCATTTGTGTAAGCCCAGTTTAAGCAGCACCAAATGTCATTGCGTCAAAGCATTGGAAGCGACACTTTGACGACACCATTGGCACTATTTCCGCCATCCTAAGCTCGCCACCTGATTCACCATCTCTCGTCCTCCGTACGCGATATTGTGTTCTGCGCTGTCTCACCTTCATATGATCCTCGACCTGGAGTCCGGAGTACTACTCCACAAAAACCCTACCGCATACGTAAGTTTCCCCAAGTAGGGGAAACTTTCTTCGGGGTTCTTATAATCAGGATGATCGTGTTGCATGTTGGGCATTATCTGAGTCTGTAATTCGTTCCACCTATGTGATCCGAGTGCCGCTTTTGTACCTCCAACCGCTAGCAAAAAAGATTAGTTGAATAAAACATGCATTATGCCATTTGCGACAGTGTGGTTGGCGCCGAGCAGCGACAGCTCCGTGAAGTTTGCAACGGGTCACGTGTCTATTGAGGTCCGTTGAACGATTTAGCCATGTTGGTCTAGGTTGTTTCTCAGCCATCGAAGAATTCGGCTAGGCTCCTTCGTCACTAATCCCGCACTCCCGGGGTCTTGTGGTATGAGCCATTTTTTTGCCTTTTGCGTTGCATCAGCTGTTTGCGAACAATGCAGCCGTCATCCTCCCATGCTTGTTCAGCATAGAGCGCTTGTGGCGTCTCCGACTGCAACATGCGGTATCACGACCCTCGACCGATTGGTGCTATGCAGTAGTCCATGGACGCGTGCGAAAAGGAAGCATTTGAACTAGCATTCCCCGAGCCCAGCTGCACACATCCAAGGACCTACTACAACTCACCTACCTAATTGCATGAATTCATTGGAACCACGACAGCCTGGCAGGCGGCGAATGTCCGGAGACTGGTCCAGGGGATGCTGGCAGTGTGTCCGAGAACCCTAGTCCAAAAGGCCGCTGCTGTCGACCCGACCTGTGTTTTGCAACTTGCGGCGTCAGCTTTGCCAGATGTTTGGGTTCACATCTACCACTGCGACCCGTACACTGGCTTTCTGAACAGGCATCTTTCCTTGTCTTGCATCTTGCGTTGGTGTGCTTGAAGCTGCTTGGAGCTGCAGGATGCTATTGAAAAATTCTGAAATAGGCGGGGGGGGGGAGCCTGGAGGGGTGTGTTCTCTTGTTTCTAGAGTTCTTAAATTTAGCCGGCGCGAAGCTACCGGCTTTTTGAGGCATTTACCACGCCGGGATCGAAGTCTACGGCGAGGCCAAAGAGATTCACAGCTTGTGCTAGGAACACCCGAACCCACCATGCAATGCGAGACACGTGCGACTAACTGCCAAGAGCGTGTGTCTGAGTCTGGGCTGCTGCACAGCAAAGTGTCAGAATGATCTTCATTTTCCAAGTGAGATCGTGCACATATTCCGTGTTCGGCCCGGGATTCGCGGCTCTCAGGGCTCAGGGTCCAATTTGATACCCTTCAACAGTCTCCGTCGACATCGGGAAGAATGCGAGGATTGCAATTGCTAACCACCAGCCAACTGCAGGCAATGCCACCAATGCATACAAGCCAAGCAACAAGAGCGACTTCTTCTTTTGGTTCGTGGCCGCCCTCGCACAAATGATAAAAAGGTGTTAAAATACTTTTGGTCGGGGTTCACATCACGCGATGCCTTGTCCAAGACCAGCAGCACAGTGGGCAAAGGCGTGCTTTCTGCCAGTGATGCCGTTGCAGGTTCATGGTAAGTTGATGAACGCATGCGACATGTTTGGCAAAGCCCGGCCCCCGATTCCATTAACCCACTCCTTTTTGGCCCAATAGTGGCCCATTGAATTAGCACAGGTGGCCCAACCCATCAGTCCATCAACTCCATCAAGTCATGTTGCCACCATCGGCCCACCACTCGCCAATCTAATCTAATCTGCCACAGCCCGTCGAGCAGCTTTGGCCCTCTCGAGTGCTTGCCCGAATGTTCCGAAACTCGGTCTTGTGCTTTGTTCTTCAACGCCCCTGACCTGAGATTGAAGATGCAACATAGCCAGCACAGCCAACGCGTGAGAGATCTGGCTTTTGTTGAGCCTCTCTGGGTCCCTGATCCAGGAGTGGTCTTTTCAGTACTTTGAAGATACGTGGAATGATCCAACGATTTCTGGAATCATTCGTTGCGCCCCAAAGCAGATGAGCGGTAGAAGCCCCAGCTTCGGGGCACCGCATGGAAGTTTCCTGCTCTTGTGTGCGCGTGGAAGCCAAGCACCGTAAGCCCTCTCGAGCTCCAAGGCTATGAGTATCAGGAGTCGCTGAATCTTGGGCCCACCACGTTGAGTGAAGAAGAGGCCTGTCTGCCTTCAATCCTTTAGAATCTTTAGAAGCCCTTGCGTTGCAGCCCTGGCACAAGGTTGATGACCTCTTGGACAAGCTGTGTGATGAGTACGCGGCCAGCACGTCACGGACTCAGCCAGCGCTTGCGTTCATCCCGAATGGCATGCTGCTGTGCCAAGCACCCGATCCTGATAGTTATTCGGGTGGTGGAAGGAGTGAACTTCAGCTCTGCACTTTGCATTTTCCACCACGACAGAACAACGGAATTAGCTCATCCAGTCACGGGACTTGGCAACCATCCACATTGCACAACACTTAGACACACCATACGAGCAACCTGCCACAACAAGCAAATCTCTGTGAGACGAGCACCCAGGTACCACCTGACACACCGGAACTGTTTGACCTTCGCGCAGCATCTGGCTGCAAGCAAGCAGCTCAGCTTTCGGCGCCCCTTTAATGCTCTTCGGAGCTCGACAGTGCTCTGGCGCATGTTCCGAGGCTTGAAGCCTCCCAGACCATTCCCTGATTGGATCCTGGGCATCTTGGAGGTGCCTTGAGAAGTGGAAGCTAGGGTGGAAGGTATCTTTGTGTGGTGTCGTACACTTTGAAGTTTCGCAAGGCCAGCACAAGGCTTGGCGCAGTGGATGCCACCGTGGACTATTTCTGGTCCTGGGCCAAGTGGTCGGGGCCTCTGAGACTTCCGGCATCTTCCGGCCAGCGGCTGCCCTGAGCTTCTTTAAAACTTGGCAGAGACTGTGAAAAGTTAGCTTCTTGACCTAACTCCATGCAGCTGAGTAAAGATCCCTGGGGACCCAATTCCCGAACTCCCCTCTTAATGGTAACCTCAAGCTTCAAGCCATCTTGCGGCGTCAGGTACATGATCCGGAAGCATGAGCCAGCGGAGGCAAGCCTGCTCTTGCATCATATTGCTTCTGATCAAGCTTCATCGGATTTGTTTCTTCCATGCCTCGACGCATAGCACGTGGCGCTTGTCAGCCCCAAGAAGTTGTGCTCTCGTGTGCTGGCTGCTTCGTGTTCGCCGATCTTCCTGAAGGACCCGCCTCCGCAACCTCCTCCGCAGCAGGCCATGCCCGCAGCGTGCCGTAGGTGTGCCTGAGCTTGATACACTGATACACCAATCGAGAGTGGTTTGAGTAGAGGCCGGCAGTTGGTCAATGCTTGGGCATCTTGGCAGCAGATGGTGGCAGTGGCTATGCGGGCTGCATCAGGCCATGTCCCGCACTTTGGGGAGCGTGGGCATTGCAGGCTGTACCCAACTTGCTCGCCTTCAATGTGCCCGGGCCCAGCGCAAGCCTCAAAGCCTCCCAGATCATGGGCGCTGCCGTGCTCAAAGCTGACGGTGACTTGAGTGGTGGACTTCGCGGTGTTTGCCAGGCAAAGGACGCGCACGACAGCGTCCGGAACTCGGTGCCATCGAAAGATTGGAGTTGGAGCTGCACGAAAGCCTGGCTCAGGAATCCGCACCACCTGCGCCCCCAGGCATCGGCAGCCCGTACTTCGAGAAATGTTGCGTTCTGGCCCTCAGCTGGTGACCAGGCATGCAAGCTGTCAACTTGCACGATGAGTCAACTCCTCAGCTCTCGGCCACGCAAGCTAAGCAGTGCATTCTGAGCTACACGAAGCAGTCTCCTACGTGCAGTCTTTTCTGCATGCTGGAGGCAAAACGACAGACTTGTGACGGAGTGAGCGCAGTGTGAGTGCGAAGAATTCGACCCGAACCGCGCTTTGTGCTGCACGGCGTTTGAAACCGTCGAACTCAACTTGGAGCAGTGTACCTTGAGCCTCGAACAATGTTGAGCGAATGCTGTAGAGTCTTTTGCTGATTTGCCGCTTTGAGCGTAGAGCTCAGCCGACGAGTTGAGGTGAAGCCGCTGCCAGCATACCGTGTAGAGATACATTCTCAGTCTGTTTCACCTCTTTCACGCCACGAGTCCGTTGAACATGCAGTGCATGACAAAGGAGCCACCATGTTGCACCGACCACGCCTCAACCGACGGCAGCACTCTATCAGCAAGCCTGTTTCAAGTAACTTGCAGCAATGTCATGTTGCTCTCCTATTCACAGGTGCATTGGCAACAACAGTTGGGGTGCAGGTGCGAGCATCATAAGACAGGGTACTTGACGGAATCGAACGCGCAAAGGCGCTGCTGCACTGAGAACAACTTAGCTTATGAGAATATGATGGACAATGGTTTGACGTGCCTGCTCATCGAAATAGTCGTCACCGGAAGCTTCGCCACCGAAAGGCTCGCCGCCCAAATCTTGGCCATCGAAAGACTGCCACAGACTGATGACGAAACAGAAAGCGTGTGTTCTAAAATGAAGGTAGTTTTGTCTGTTTAAGTTCCGACATCGACGTTTTGTCTGTTGAAGTTCCGACATCGACAGTTTACAGCCCTCCGGTCACTTAATGGTCCCCTGATGGCAAGGTTGCTTCAGCACTCCCCCCTGCAGACAGGACTCTTCGGATCCGTAATGTGGTTAGCAGTTACCTAGGCCAGGTTGCGGTGTCAGTTTGGTTTTGTTTCTGGAAGGCGTGCCGCGCAAGCTAAACCCCTGCGTGCACGCGTAGGTTTGCGTTATTTGAGGAAGCTCCGATTCTCGGACACCCCGCCCCCATATTAGGAATTCTTATCGGGCAAGCTCGGGCTCAGAAGAGGCCAAATGCCGCTTCATGCCGCTGTCTTTCCTTTCCCTTTCCCCATGCGCTGCGGCCTCTGCGGCCTCTGCGGCCTCTCCTTCGAGGCGAGCGCTGCCTCGAAGTCCTCGAAATCCTGCCGCGCTTCCTGAGGATGGCCGGCGCACTGCTCGTAGTGGGGTTCTACTCAGAGCGCTTTACCTTGGAAGTAGCTTGCAGGCGATATCCAGGATAAGCAGGATAAAGATGAGAAGCTCCAGAAGGAGCACGGGTTCGCAGAAGAGACGGGAGTTGGGTGCGAGCATGGTCTGCGCGACATTCTGTCCTCCAGCGCGAGCCACGGCAAGTGCACAGAGTGCGGCCATGGTTCCACGCGTTGGACTGGGCACCTGCTGTTTGAAAGGCCAAGACTGCTTGCAGCAGGTTTCGGAGGGCTTGCAAGTGGGGTACCGCGTCATCGACACTGCAAGCCATTATGAGAATGAGCCCGAGGTCGCAGAGGCTGTTCGCCGTGCGGAGCTTGAGCGAGACAAGATATATCTCATAACCAAGATCTGGTTTGATGACATGGGTGACAGGGCTCCAGAAGCCATCCAAGAGTCGCTGAGGCGGTTGAACACAGATTACGTAGATCTGCTCCTCATGCATTTCCCCGGGGCAAATGATGTTCTACAAAGCCCAGCTGCAAATCGCGAGCGTCGAGAAAGGACTTGGCGTGCCATGGAAGATGCGAAGTCTCAAGGCAGAGCAAGGTCCATTGGGGTTGCAAACTTCACCCGCAGGCACTTGAAGGAGTTATTCGAGTACTGTCGCGAACCCCCTGCTGTGCTTCAAACCGAGATCCATCCGTACTTCCAACAAAGCAAGCTGGTGGACTTCTCCAAGCAAAACGGACTTCAAATCCAGTCATTCTCGCCTTTGGCACATGGAGATCTCAACCTCTTGGAGGATAAGGTGTTGAAGAGCATCGCTTCCACACACCAGAAGTCTTCTGCACAGGTGGTGCTCCGATGGCTGCTCCAGCAAAATATCTCACCGATTGTTTTCAGCCGCTCACGGCAACGCCTTGTCGAGAATCTGGACACCAACTTCCGGCTGTCAGATCAGGACATGGACCGAATATCATTCCTGGATCGAGACTCTGCAGCGAGGGTTGGATTTGACCCAAACTTGATTGCCTGACTGCTTGGATCGGAATGACAGTCTTGTCATGCTTTGTGCGGCTCTCCACGGGGTTTCTTTCGACACGCCTGGAAGGTCAGGTTGGTCTTGCTCAAAGAGCTCAAAGCACTGCAGCACTGACGCACGATTGTAAGTTTCAACTGAACTGGGCAGCTTCTCGGCTCTCAGGTGCCTTGCATAGATCCGTCAAGTGAGCTCAGCTTGAGCAACTCATGAATGTGCATGCCTTGCGCAAAATCGTAGACGCACAGCTCTGCGTTTTGAGGTGATGTTCACTCTTGAGGAGGCGCATCATCCTGAATAGATGTTACTTAAACCACCACCCGCACACTGGCAACGATAAACTCCAAGCATCTCAACAAGTAGCACAGCATGTTCGAGTACACGCTCGAAGAGCGCGCCTTAGTCGTGTTCCAGCACGGTTGCCACCCGGACATCACACCGAAGCTGCAAGTTTTTTCCCGAGGCCTTGCACATCTGCGTATGGGATGCCTACGACTGCCAGAGCCCAAGGCAACTCTTGGTGGGAGGAAGAATTGACCCAGACAGCCGTTCAGATGCGTTCCTGACTTCTCGTTTGCGCAGGGGTCTTTGGCAAGAGTGAGCGGGAGGACCGATTGTTGTGGTCACATTTGCGTCCAATACGCGTGATAAAGTCTGCAGACAGGAGTGGCTGGAGAAGCGCGTAGAGGGGCTCGAGCCTTGCGCCAAGTTGTGGTCTTTCATGTTGAACCCCTGAACAGTCGAGGCTGGATTTGCTCCCTTTTAGACGGCCCTGAGGGTTTATCTGATGTCAATAGGGAGGAGTTTAGATAGGTTTAGAAGGGGCAGTGATGCCTGGCAATCTTTTTGAAGGCGCGGCACGTGGAATTTTCTTACGGCGCCCGGACGATTTGGCTTTAAACAGACAGGAACTCCCAAACAGTCAGGGTGTCCTGAATAACTCAGCCAAATTGGCTCAATACCGGAGGCCCTTACTAAACCAGGTCCAACATTAGGGTGTAGGGCAGTGTAGGGCGTAGGTTCAAGATGGTAGCATGCTGCTTCACGTATGCTCAAATCGCAAGTTTGTATCTTTGTAATTAGCAACGCATGTCCACGGATCGTGTGTTCAGGTCGGCTGTGGCGACTCTCCAGGTGCGCGTGTGGACTCGCGATGCGCGTCAAGCCGCCGCGCCGGCGGTTGTGACAGCGTGCAGGAGCTTATGCAAGACGTAGCTGAGAACCTCACTCGAGCACCGCGCTCAGCCGTCACGTCCATTCGCATCCAACAATTCAAAGTAAAAGCAGCAGGCATCATGCACATGTTTGGAATATTTCCGATGATGTTCAGGCCGCGGACCGGTCAGAGCTTCAGGCCGCAGAGCCTGTGCCTGAGCTTGCGGACGGCTGGTCCTCTGTTGCAGTAGATATAATGGACGAGATGGGCGTTTGCTTTGGATTTGTTGAGGACGCGTGTCATGAATGCCATCCAGGCGGATGGCTCATGCCATCGGAACATATAGGGAATGGCGAGCAAGATCAAGACTAAAGACATCAAACATTCCATGACAGCTGACCAGCATTCAAAAACACAAGTCGTATTGATTGTGGCTGAGCGGCATGGTGCTCGAGTGTTGGAAGGTCATGTGTTCCAAAGCCGGGCAGAATCCAAGTTCGTAGTGCGCAGTTTTTCTTTGAGTGTCTGGATGATGCAGCTGATGCGAAGGCAGCCATCGCAATGCGGCAAGCTCCTGCCGTGTCGTCAGGAAAATCACGCTCAGCAGAATGCACTACTGCAAAGTCCTTCGGAAAGGGTGTTGCCGTGTTTGGTTCCTCCCGTGCCTGCAAGGTCTACTCGCCATACGTGCAACCCACGACGCCTGACCCATGGGGCCGTTTCTGAACTTCGTAGCACGGCCCCTGCGCACTTGGCAAGCGTGACAAACCCCGGGCCCCAAAACGGTGGCTCGCGTGCAAACGTTTGTCTGCTATCGGGTGCCTTTTCGTATGTCTCATTTCCATCTCTCGGCCAGCGCCTGAACATGTGAACCTTTCACACCCCCGGAGTCGGTAGATCCTCACTCCGTGCAGTCACCGTTTGAAGTGGTCGAGGGCGAAAGGGCTCAGCCAGCATCGGTAGGTGGTTAAGAATCATAAGTCGTAAGCGCTTAGGGTTCAGGGTGTTGGATTACAGATTGACTGCTGGGTGAAACATTGCCCATCTGTCTCATCGTTTAGCGAAAAAGGATCACCTGGTGCAAGTCCTGAATTCCTAAGCTTATGTTTGATAATCTGGATTCGTGCAACGCCACCGTAATTGGGAATCTTTGTTTTCTCTCTCTCTTTCTTTTCGCCTTTCTGGGATGCCCTGGGTAATTGGGGGTGGTGGCGGGCTTTTAAGCACGACGGGGCATCTTGGAGAATACGAAATTTGCGTTATGATTTGTTTGGCTTTGGATTGATTCCTGGAAGCCTCTTGCTCCGAAATCTTTAGATGACCAATCGATCTTGGAATTCTGGGCTTTCTAAGATATCTCGACGTATACGAAGTCCCGCCACCATCCCCAATCGACGAGGCGTCCTAGAAAGACGAAAAACAAAAGAAAACAATGAAATTTGAAAAATGAGATATATTAAGGAGAAATATCCCTATAAAAGGCTACGGGCTCGACCCTATTTTCGCTCCTCTTCCGGTCAATTTGGCTGCTTGTGAGGGCCTTGCAGGGGAGTCCGGAAAATTCGGGAATTTTCAAGCTTTCTGTTCAAAAATCCTTGGAATTTTGGGAATCACCCGGATCTGAAAATTCCCGGAATTTTCGGAATCACCCGGATTGAGGTTCAGGCTTTCCGGGTTGGGTTTGGGGTTCCAGCGCAACAGTGATGACGTGGGTGCCCCTTCACCTTCAAGGAAATCTTCAAGGAAATCTCTTGGTCCGGGGTAGTTCCGATGACGGTCGCCGCCCGCCAGCTGTTCAAGGGTGTGGCGTTGCGCGGGTTTTTCAAACAATCGCCCGACGGTGCCTGACAGCTGCCTTCAACGTAGATTGGGGTGGTTAGCGCAAGGAACTCGCTTTGATCACCAAGTGATACAGCACATGGCAGGCGTAAGAGCTCTGCTTGCTGACAGCCGGCATACATTGTATCATTGCCCGCGGCTTTCCGCGCACAACGGTGCCTCCTATTGATTACTGCTACCCATCCACCCTTCAGCATTTCGCATACGTGAGGTCAAAATACTGTTTGTGTGGGGCATTCGAGTGTGGCATTCCTGTGTGACAATTCCATCACAATCATGCTGGTCTGTGATGGAATCTCAGAAGGCTTGGACTTCAATTGACACAACCCGCACGTTGAGCTTAGACGTGACGATGAACATGAGCGTCAGGCAGATTTCCGAACGATGCTGTCGTCAAATTGGCAGCTGAGAAACTGCGAGCGACCGATGGCCGACCTGTTGATCCAGCTCAGGCCAGGCGGTGCAGGAGCCATCGCTAGGGCGAGCCATCAGGCTTGTGGAGATTTAGTTGGGTCGTTCCTTTTTTGTTGTGGCAAGTGCATCTGGGAGGCCGCGATTGCAGTCTGTCACGAGGCCGGGGGTTTTGAGAAGAGACTTCTCCCTGCACGTTGCAGACCTTTGCAGACTTTGCCCCTTCAAGTCTGTTTGGATTGTACAGGCGATACATTGTGGATCCAAAGACAATCTTTCTTGTATGATCGTGCTCCTGGGCGGTGGTCAGGTCCCAGCCTCACCCAGGGTGTAGAGTCCAGCCTTCACTGGCAGACGGAATGTTTGGATTAGGTGCCGGGCGAGGCGGTGGACTTCATTCCAGGTCCGTTTGAAGCACCGGAAAGCGCTGCTTTTGAGAAGGCCAGCCTTCGGTGGCCGTCTGTCAATTTGTGTGTGGTTGTTTGGTTGGCTGGTTTTGTGCTTGTGCTTGTGCTTGTGCTTGTGCTTGTGCTTGTGCTTGTGCTTGTGCTTGTGCTTGTGCCTCTGTGTCTCTGCGTGTCAGTGTCTCTGTGTGTGAGAGAGAGAATGTTCATGTCGGGGGCAGCCTGTTGGAGGGCCACCACGGAGGGGGGGTTTAAGGGGGTGAGCGGGAGCATTTGGGTATCGGGGAAGGGTTGGGAACGGGGAACGAGACCGAAGCGAATAAAGGAAAGGAGTAGCAGGAGAGAAAAACAGCTGCACCTGTCTGAGATGAAGTCCTGCTCTGATCCTGTGCCTTTTGCCAAACATGACTGGAGCAAGGCACCTTGTTCACCACCCTTCTCTCCTGTGCCCTTTGCCAGGCCTATGCATCCATGACCAAGCGAGCTGGACTCTCTCTGCAGCAAGCGCTGCCTTTTGAGGCTTGGGTTCAGTTGCTTTGTCCCTTTTAGGGTCTAGTAGTTGAGTATCTATTATGGGAAGGGACCGGTTGGGAAAGCCTGAGACCGACCTAGATACGCAAGGCATTTCTGATTGGTGGTCGAGCTGTTCGGAGTCTAAGCTCCTGCCACTTTGACAAAGATCGAAGCTGCAAACAAGAAGTCTTAGACGGCCATGTGGCTTCACATGCACCTTCAAGCTTCAAATGCGAGACTTCTACGAGTTGTTTTTGCTGTTGCCGCCTTTAACACGCAGGTTGAGTTCTGGAAGGCTGTTTGGTTTAAAATGACCAGCTGGCTAAGTGCAATGTGCTTGGTTGCGACACGCGACGCTGCAAAAACCTCTCGGTGCCAGGATGCGGCGTTGGCGAAACGAAGCCAGATGCCTAGCCAGAACGAAAACGACATGAGCAGACCTGTCTGGAGGCTGTTGAAGGCAAGGCTTTTCACAGAGGACGACGACAAAGGTCTGCCAAAAAAATCTCTCTGGAG